TGGCGTCGACGTTGGCACGAGTTCCGTTGTGTCCGGGGGCAGCGTGGAAGTTGGCGCGGTTGTGGTGGTTGGATCATTCGTCGTTGAAGATGGCGCGGGTGTGGTGGTGGTCGGTATCTTGGTGTTCGCTGGAGCTCCCGTTGACGTTGGCACAGGTTCAGTCGTGTCGGGGGTCAGCGTGGTGGTTGGCGCGGTTGTGGTCGTTGGATCGTCCGTCGTCGAAGATGGCTCGGGCGTGGTGGTCTTCGTTATCTTGGTGGTCACTGGAGCTGGCGTCGACATTGGCACGGGTTCAGGCATGTCGGGGATCAGCGTGGTGGTTGGTGTGGTATTGGTCGTCGTTGGATCTTCCTTCGTCGAAAATGGCTCAGGCGTGGATGTTGTTGGTGTGGTGGTGCTTTTTGGTGGTGACGTGGACGTTTCTATTCGTTCATCATCAGTGCTGGGAGGATGGGTTGAGTTGGTTCCCGTTTGGGGTATTGTATCTTCTGTTGTAGGAGGTGGCTGTGATTGTGAGTATATTTGGCTGGGATATTCACACTGCCATATACTTGTGGTTGTGCCGCTTTGTTCATTGAGTTGTGATCGAAATGTGCATTGAGCGTCTTCTGGTGCGTGGCATGAGTGGGCCTCTTCACTCCAGGACGGCATGGTATTGTTGCATGGGCTTGGTATTGAAGACGTCGATCCTTTGCTTGGGCATAGAGTTCCTTTTGGCCTACAAAGTCCAGTGCCACCACATAGTTTTGACGTGGAATCTGCCGTAACATCGTAGCTGGTGTCCGAGTCGACAAGAACAGGCCATGTTCCAGGGCTATGTGGTTCTGCAGTTCGTATTACGTTTGAGCACCCCTGGGATGGGAATGTGCATCCCCATGAACCGCCTGATTCAAGACTTCCAGATACCAATGAGCACACGGCGTCTTCTGGGGCAATGCACGTTCTGTTTTGTTCGCTCCACGAGTTGAGATTGGAGTGACAGCCGTCGATGGCAACGTCACCTTGGCGAGGGCATCTGAATCCTCGCGAAGCGCATCCGACTCCGCCGCAAATGTCGTTAAAGTCTGCTGACCAGCCGAAGATCTCGTAGGTGGCGTCATCACAGACTGGAACGTGTTGGAAGGACGCAGGTGGTTTTATTCGGCAGTCCTTCGCTTGAGTTTGGCGGGCGATATGAAGAAGCAGCAACATGAGCGGGCCATTCATTGCAGCATCGACTGCAGCAACGCGCGAATACTTCTTTGTGGAAGGTTTTAGCTTGTGGGGCGCGCAATCCCGACATATGCAAGCTTGAAACCGTGAAACGGTGCCCAATCAGATCTTTAGCACATGGCATCGATACAGTATAGCATGTGTTTGATTGCATGTCGCGGTATCTCTATTGTCGACGGACAATGCTTAAAGTCTTGAGTGAAGCGATTCATGCAGCAGTACAGACAAATGAATACACCTGGACTTGAAGTACTCATTTCTCATTGAAAGGTCTACTATAATAGTACTCGAAGTACTTCGTTCAGAGGTGATGTGTGTGTGCTCACAACCTATAAATAGAATTTTCGAGCAACCTTATTCGTATGTAAACACCTTACACTATTTAGTGAGTATCGTCGTAAGTGCGTTGTGAATAGTGTGTATTTTTCCCACATTACAGTAATGGGAAGGTCGCAGCTCCAATTCCGGACGCGCGGACGCGGTGGTCGAGACGGCAGCAATGGACAGCGTGGCGGTCGGCGAGATGGTCGAAAGGTCGAAACTAAGCCTCTGGAGAGCAATGCGTATCGCTTCGCTGAGGATGAGGACGACGAGGACGACGGATATCACGAAGTAGGAGACGCAGTTGGCGACGGTGCGACTACCAAGCGCAACTTGCGATTTAACCCTGACATTCAGCATCAAACCTTGGGCACGGGGGGTGCCGGACACTTTCAGACAAAGACGATGCGGGAATGGGACGATGGAATCCAAAAGCAGCCATTGGCCATGGCATTGGTAAGAGCGACGTTCTCATTCATTCAATGCATCCTTGTCGCTGTTCATGCCCGTTGCAGGACTTGCATGAGATTGGACGACAGTTGCAAACCGTTGCGCCAGACAAACGGTTCCAAATTGACTCCAAGTATTGCATCGATCTACCCTACAAGGCACAACCGGCCACGGAAGGCCAGACCACGCTGTCGCCGCCGTCGTCACAAATTCCACCGCTGCCCGCCACGAACCTCCCGACTAAACCCTCGAGCTTGACGGCTGCCGCTACTTCGACCGCGCCAGTCCCTCTTGTGGCTGCATCGCATCAAGCGCACACGTCGCCGCAGGTGCCAGTATCGGTCGTTCAAGGGACAACGCCGGCAAAAGCAGTAGTCACGCAAGTGCTACCTCCCCCACAACCTGAAACGCCCGCGCCAGCATGTGAGATTGACGACGAGTTGGACGAACTGCTCAACATGTAGCATTGTGTTGGTTGGCAAGGTGGATCAATGTGACCTTGCTTCGATCGCAGACACAGCCACACGTTGATGTTTGGAATTATACACGCATCTAACAGTTCTACCGAAAACAATTTATCGCTAGTCATTTATAACGCCGACGACGCGACCGCCTGGACGATCTCTGCCATCTTGGACGGGTCGCGCTGCTTGGACACGACTGCCGACAGCAACTTGGCCACGTCCACAAATCGGACTTCCTCGGCGATCTTGTCGCTACTGAACGTCACATGCGACACCATGTGGAACGGGAACATTTCGTTGTTGAAATGGGGCGCCAATTGGTGGAATGGCGAGCTCAGCGCGATGCTGCTCGGGGCGTTGGGACGCAACGACGCTTCAATGTCCCACTTGATCATGGCCTTGTCGTGGGCTTGCCAGTCCGCCGAGAAGTTTTTGATCTTGTAGTTAGAGAACACGCTGGCGGAAATCCGCTTGTTTTCAACGATCACGTCGATGTTGGTCAGTTTCTCGCCCGTGACGCCGTCCACAATGGTGGCGTTCGGGGTCCACACCGACTTGGCCGACGCTTCAAATGACATCATGCCTTCGTTGATGATCGCTTGCACCAGTTGCAACGTGTTCGTTTGCTTTGCGCGGAGCTCCAACAGCGCTTCCTCCGTCATGGCTTTGTTGATTGGGCTGCCGTCGCCCCGACGCATAATTTTGGTCTTGAGCTCGCCGTTTTCCTTCTCCAGCTCGTTGTTCCGGTCTTCCAGAAAGTTCAACCGGTCTTGCTTGCGCTTTCGGCACTTTCGCACGCGTTCGCGGTTCTTTAACCGGCGGCGCGCATCGAGTTCGTCTTGCTTGTCCAAGTTGTCCGAGCCCGGGGAGCTTCCGCCATTGGACATGTTGGAAGAGTGGTGGGCGTTGCTCATCGACGACGACATCTGTTGCTGCTGCTGGCTAGGGTGATGCATCATGGACACTCCGTGGGATGGAGCATTGTGCTGCGCTTGCTGTTGGCTTCGGTTCAAGTATTCGTACATCAGGGGATGCATCATTTCGGGGTTCATGTGTCCTTGATGTTGATCTTGTTTTGCCGACATGGGTTCTACGGACACGACACAGTAAGACTCTAATGTTTCCGCATTGTTGTTGATTTGTACCTTGGTAGCGTCCCTTGAGAATAGATTGGCCTTTTGGGGAATACCCTCCACTTCCCATATGCGGCTGTCCAAATCCCATACCGCCGAGACCGCCGCTGCGAGGGGACAACGGGAATCCGCCGTGTCGGCTCATGTAATCCCGCGGCGTGAATCCTGTGCGAGGAGTGAATCCTGTTCGCGGCGTGAGGCCGGTGGAGAAACGCGGCGTCAATCCCGTCTTGAACGCGCCAAGGGGACCGCAGAAGTCTCGCAGATCGTCCATGCCCAAATTGCGCGGTGAGAGCGACAGGGGTTGATGTTTGTTGTGGTCTTGGTTCATTTGAGAGGATGTGGACAATGACACGGGATTGCGATGGCGGCGACGACAGTACCTACAAGACGCCAGTGTGTTACAACCTCGTGGTCATCCCTTGCGGTGGTACCTTCTGCTCGAAGCGCGTTGCGATCGGGTGCGGCACTCCTGGGGAAATGGGAAATGGGAGGCAGTAACCCGTAACAGGCGTGAGTGCTGCTCAACACTGACTTACAAACGCAATTACCTTCGCCGTAACCAAACGGGGGGACGCGGAGACATTTCATTGGCTGAAATGGTCATTGCCCCACCCCTTGTAGGCCGTGATTATCCGGACAACCCCTCGCATACAAAGAAGCAGATCATGCGGTAAAGATCGCGGATGTATCCGGATAATACTCGGGAGAGAACAGCGTTCAACAATGTGAAGGAGGGGCGACGTCGTCCCACCCGCCCGTTTGTATGGCTTTGTGGTCAGCTTGGGGATCAGTACTAACGACTCCAGGCGGGGGGATATTCCACCAATACAAAGTGAGCGTTGAGGTGTGAAGGACGTGGATTGGCTCAATTTCAAAATCGTACCGACTGGAGCACATGCTAGCAGGGAAAAACGCGTATTTCTTAAGCATGTGCAATACAAGTGTGGGAGATGTGCAACGATGGGAAATACCCTTGGCAACGCAGGGAAAAATCGCAAAATCAGGGAATAACATGGTAACTATTATGAAAATTAATTCACCAAGTGCTAGACATCACGATCGATGGAGTTATAATTCGAATGAAATTATTTCGGGACTGCTGGTTAACATGTACTATGCACTCATCCCCCCAAGCGAATCGGGGCATACCGGTTTTGAATCTCTTGATCTTTCAAATATTTGGGGCAAACTGGTGGGCAACTCCAGACACTTCGAACTTGTGGTGAATTGGTAATGTAACGATCAATTGGACGAGTCGCTGATTGTACTCTGCTCCTTCGCAACGCAACGTACCACAATGAGAGACATCGCATTCTGATGTTCGGAAGATTTCGTTTGGCTCTCGTGCGTTGGTCGGAGTAGAGGTCTGTCCATGCATTCCATCGACCAATGTTACTACTACCGTACTGGTACACGTATTTACAGTTCAAATTGCATCAAACTGTAAATTTATGTAAATTTATACATGAACAAAGCCAAACATGGACTTCCCTTCGTTCATTCGGCAGTGCAAAACGCGCCCCCTTGCTTTTTCTAGGCTATGTACCTGCAATGCACTACCTAGCGCCTGTCGGTTCGCTTTTGCTGATCCACTTTGGTAATTGTTGAGGATAAAAAGTCCTCTTTCGGTAACAACACCGTTTCGGATAGGATTTCAGTGGGCCAATCAAAGCTCGTGACTTGGGCAAAATCATAATGCTACGGTTGGCATTCAAACGGCGCCTTCAGGCATGGATGTCCACGGCAACCCATACGACTCATTGTGTACCGTTAAGCACAAGAGCATCCGACGACATTGTAGTCTTGGATTTGAAGAAACAGCGAGCACCCAGAAACGTGTTGGTTGTCGGCGACGGGAACTTTTCCTATTCCAAGGCGCTCGCTGGCGCATTCATCCGTGAAGGCATTACACCAACGACCATCATTGCCACGTCGCTTGACACACAAAATGAGATCGACACGATGTACCCAGGGGCGTCTTCCTCCATATCGGCATTGAAAGCTGCTGGTGCACGAGTACTTCACGGTGTGAACGCCACCTCTCTCGGGGCTCACAAAGCCTCCTTTGGCGTGCATTCTGGTTTTGATCGCATTGTGTTCAACTTTCCACATTTCGCCGAAGGTGGTAACACGCGCAACAAGATCAGCAAGCACCGGACGTTGCTCACCGAGTTCTTCCAAAGCTGTCAGTCTGTTTTGGCTCCGCATGGTCAAATTTGGGTCGCTCTGTGTCAAGGTCAAGGTGGATCGCCTGCTGACACCCTCAAGCGAAACGAAGGCGACACGTGGCAGGTCGTTCCATGTGCTGCGGCGGGTCAAATGATCCTCCTAGACGTGGTGTCGTTCCCCTACGCAGAGTTGTCGCTGCTGGGGTACCATAGTGTTGGGTATCGGCTGCAAGACCGTGCATTTCACTCGGAAGGCGGCCTCATCCACATATTTGGCCCAGAATCACCCAGTACTGGCAAACCAGCGCGATTCGCTCAATCGTGGACTCGTCACATCAGTTTCTGGCGGGGCGATGGCTACTCCCTGGACGCGTTGCAAGTTGCACTTCAACACGTGCTTGGGCCAGGCGTCGACATTGCCTTGACCCTGCATGACACGTATCACTGCAACAAGACGAATCATACGTCCTTGACGTTCCATGTTACGTTCGAGTCACGGGTGCACAACTTTTCGCGGCAGCGACTCAACGACATTGTTCACGTCATTGCACAAAAGTTGGCCGTGCTGGACGTGGGAATTGTGCGCAGCTGAATTCCTCGTTCAATAGAAGTTTTGATTACAGGCTTAGTCCTCCGGCGTACAAGACGAGATTGCCAATGTTGCCAACCAAATGCATGGTCATGTGCCAGCGCGACGACACGTCCTTGTTCGGCGCTGCCCGAGCTTGCGAGTAGCAGTAGAGCGTCTTTAGCACAAAGCCATAATACACAACCTGATGCGACGACGACGCACACCATAGCGATCTGTAGATGTGATAGGCAAAGCCAAAGAAGACGGCGGAAATGTCCATGTTCCGTCGCCAGCCATGGATGGGATGGCGCCAGTAGTTGAGCGACGTGAGGAGAACAAGCAACGTCATGCTACAGCAAATCCATAGATCATACTGCGCGGCGGAATAAACTGAGAACGCGGTGAGCCAGGACGAGCGGAAGAGTCGCGTAGAATATTGCGGTGGCAACACAAGCGCCGTCGACGTTGCATTGTTGGTGCTCCTGGACATGTTGGCGAGCGAGTAAAATGGCCGATCAGCCCGACACGCCCGTGAAAGGAACGTTGATTGGTTCGGCCCAGCCTTCGAACCGTCACGGCCAGCGTGCGTGTTTGAGACAAATCGGTCACTGAAGCAAATAACGTACGTTTTAATCAGATTTTGGGGAAGTCACTTGAGTTCAAGATAACGACACCGAAATATGCTATTCTTTCTATGGGGAGATTGAATGCAAGTTACAGGAATGTGGACTTTTGTCGTTTTTATTAGTTTCGTTTTCGTTTTCATGCCAGAAGTCGTCAGCTTTCATTCACGATAGATATTGGTAATGCTATCGGGGGGTTGTAATGATACTTATTCACCAGACTTGTTATTCTTTGTCTACGCCGCTGGTCAGTTGGTCACTTGCGTTCTTGTCTTTGGCTTTTTTGGGCGGCGGACGTTCAAACAGTTGCCCAGTTTCAAGCAACCGCAGGCGTTTCATGTGAAACCGATGGCTTTTGGATCTCAAGTGCTCGTGCCACTGAACCAGCCCGACGAATTCTCGGTTCCCGCAGGGTTCACACATATTCTTGACCTTCTTGGTGCCGTTTTCGCCGTCCACTTGGCTGATGCAGGCTGGCACAGGACTCGGGTCATTCCGGAGGAAGGCAGACACAATGGACATGGCTGGCGTCGTCACATTCACTGGCCACTGCGCCACATCGGTGGTGTCCAGCTTGTAGACAGGAATGTTGCGCGGTACGATTCGATTTCGAATCCACGTGATCTGGCGCTTGGCGTATTGCCGCGTGCCAACTTTAAGCTGCTCAATGCACTCGGCCAACACCGTGGTGGTGTCGGGGCTTCCTTCCTCTTTGGCCTTCAAGTACGGCTGGAACTCTTTGAATCCAATGGCTTGCGAGATGCCTTTGAGCCCGAGGGCGATCGGTGATGCTGCCAAGTGGTGTTGGATGTTGTCCATCAATGCTTCGATTTCTGGAACGAGGCCATCTTGAACCATGTTGTCAACTCTGGCATCCAACCGTTGCGCCAGCACTGACCGGTCACAGTCCACCCACAACATGCACGCGTCAAACAGTGTCTCATCATTCTCGCCAACTTGCTTAGCAATCCAGTCACTGTGCTTGGTGCCTACGTAAGCAACGTGTAAGCGTGGCTATGACTGGTAGTGTGTAGAGCTTCCACACCTGTTTGGTAAAACACTTCTAAGCTGCGTTGGACCTACGAACACGATTCTAATGTCAGTCTCTCGCTACATGTTGGGTTGGTGGTGGTACACTTCTACCCGTCGAACGTCTCTGGAATGCAAGCGCTGTGCCATGTCTGGGTCCACTTGCAGCAGCGCTTGGTACGCTTCATCAGGGTTTGAGGGGATACTCGTACTGGTGGCAGATGCAGTAGTCTCCTACGCATATACACGGCATTCAAAGTACAATGGCATAAAAGGTTGCCATACATCGCCATTTGCTCCAGGCGCGTCTTCGATGAGCTGGGCTTTCCACAAGATGGATTGGGTGTAGTACATTGTGCCGCCGACAATCACGGGTACCTTTCCTCGTGCAAGGATGTCGTTGATCTAAATCCAATGAATTTAGGCGTGATAGAGTGAACAACTGTACGTACCGTCTCCATGGCCAACGCTTTGAATTCGATCACAGTGCATTCGTCAACAGGGTCCATGCAGCTAAGGAGATGATGCTTTACACCTTGCATCTCTTCTAGCGTGGCCTTTGCAGTGGCGATGTCGAGCCCGCGGTACATCTGCATGATACAGTGCAGACAAGGTCATGTCGTAACAAGCTCGTGGCATCATCAGCAAGGATAAGGTGACCAGGTACCTGCATAGCATCCGAGTTCACGATCTCTCCATTAAACGCCTTGGCCAGTTCCACCGACAGCTTTGTCTTGCCCGCGCCAGTAGTTCCGACGACCACAAGGATTTTTTGCAGCGCTTTGTTCATTGCCACTTCAAGTGTTGGTCGACAATAATGTCCATTTGGAAAATGGTGGAATTTGGTTTGAATTTAAACCATTCTTCATCTAAATACCTAATTGGGGCAATACATTTTGAAAGCACGTTCTTAATTAAGATAAACAATTCGTTTATTTAGGTTTAGAATTCCTTTGATTGGACATTGCAATCGCAGCACCATCGCTGTTCTGCCACGATGAGCAAGCCGGCTGTGAAGAAGCCCAAGGCACGAACTAACCATTCCATAAGCTCAATGATGTTAACATGTGTACGTAGAATCCTGAACTGCCGACGAGGTACTTGTACGTGGCCAATTGCACCGTGGGAGGCACCTATGGAGTTGGCGAACAAGCCATCTTGTCCGCCTTTGGTGCATTCGGCTCGGTTACGGATGTCTATTCACAAGACGACAAGGTTCGGCATCAAATCGTATGAAAGCTGGCGACCTTAACATTCCTATCATTAGGGCTACATCTTGGTGACCTTCGAGGAGGTGGCCGCAGCGGCTCGTGCGCGGGAAGCTATGTCTGGCCGCGACGACTTGAGCGGCCGCAAACTGTTTGTACAGTTTTCCGACGAAGCGCCGCCCCCTTCTTCGTTGTCGACGTCCTTGTCGTGTACTTCCACGACAGCCCAGGTGGTGATTCCTGGGCTCTCGATCATCGAAGGCTTTGTGTCGCCTGCAGAAGAAGCCGCTCTCATCCACGCCGTCGATGCCCAGCCGTTCGAAGAGTCCATTCAGCGACGGGTTCAGCATTATGGCTTTGCGTTCCGCTACGACACTCGCGACGTGGATATCAAGTCGCCGTTGGGACCCATGCCTGGCTTTTGCACGTCGGTGGTAACGACGTTGGCGGCCGTGCGACCTGACATCGCCCCGCCCAACCAAATCACAGTCAACGAGTACGTGGCAGGCCAAGGCATCGCGCCGCATGTGGACACGCCAGGGGTGTTCACCGAGTACATTGCGTCGCTGTCTCTGGGCTGCGACATCGTCATGGACTTTCGTCTGGTGTCCAACCCACAGATCGTCAAGCATGTGCATCTGAAGCGCGGGTCCATGTGTCTGATGGTCGGGGAGGCGCGGTACCTCTGGAAGCACGGCATTGCGTACCGAAAGCATGATCTCGTGCAAGGGATAGTGCTCGAGCGCGGTCGGAGGCTGTCGCTGACCCTTCGCAGGGTACGTGTAATTTGCCAGATAGACACAACATGATGGACAAGGTGATATGCAGGTTGTGCTGGGCGGCTGCGACGACGTTCAGACCGTTGAGAGCGTGCAGAAGCCGAGCGCGGTGGAGCTGGAGCACGTGCATGGAGTGTACGATAGCATCGCTTCCCACTTCAGCCACACGCGGCACCATCCGTGGCCGCTCGTGGCGACGTTCTTGGGGGCTTTGGCTCCGGGGTCGTTGGTCGCCGACGTTGGTTGCGGCAATGGCAAGTACTTGGGGGTGAACAACCAGCTCATGATGATCGGCTCGGACCGAAGCATTCCTCTGCTTACAGTTTGCGCCAAGCGGTAGGTGAAGTCCCTCGACCGAATGCTCGTGGGTTGATGATGCTTGGTCGTATATGTTGCAGAGCGCATGAAGTGTTTGGGTGCGACGGACTGGCGGTTCCGCTGCGCACTGGTGCGTTCGATGCAGCCATTTGCATCGCAGTGCTGCACCATATGTCGACGATTGAGCATCGATTGCAAATCTTGCGGTAATGTTACATTGATTGTCCGCTGATGTGTGATTGATAACGAGGTGGTGGCAGGGAATTGGCACGGATAGTGCATGTAGGTGGCCAAATCTACTTGGTAGCATGGGCGTTCGAGCAAGACGAGCTGTCCAAGCGCAAGTTCGAGTCCCAAGACGTCATGGTCGAGTGGAAGCTGCAGCAAAAGTACATTGACGTCAACGAACCCGTCCCTGCACACGTGCAAATGGACAACGATCGCAAGTGGGCCGTGTACCAGCGGTACTGCCACGTGTACAAAGACTTGGAGCTGGAGATGCTTGTGCGGCAAGTACCTGGACTGGTCGTGGCCAAAGTAGAAATGATGCGCTCCAACTGGTGCTTAACCATTCAACGAGTCTGACTATGACATTCACATCTTTCGTGTTGTGAGTCAATTCCGGAAACCCCTTGCCCTTGGTATCCGGATGAACGGCCGTTTCTCGTTGACCCAAGAAAGATTGCATATTCGCGGGAGCAATGTCGTCCTTCGATGACATCTTCGGTGATTCCAGCGACATGATGAGTGCTCCGACGACCGATTCCGTCAACGCCAATGCATCTATCTCCCTTGAAAGCTTGGGTCTCGATGACTTGAATCTTGGGGATACCAAACCATCAACCCAACCGCAACCAACAACAAGCTCTGCTACAACCGAGGACCCTTCGGACTTTTTGGACTGGCTCGATCAAAAGCCATCCGTCAAAGCATCAGACGAACTCGTGGTCTCGATAGAGAAGACGCAAGCAATCTCCGACGCGGACATGTTCTCACTGGACGACGATACACCTATCACCACGCCGACAACAGTGGTGGCGACACCAATGGCACCTCCGGGAAATCCATTCGCCGCTCCCATTTCCACCAACGTCGCAACGACAGCATCATCATTGACACCTACTCCCATGACACCACTTCCAGTGACTGTCGTGCAAGCAGGGGCGAATGCGTTTTCAGTACCGCCACCCATGCCAGCCCCTTCCACCAAGCAACCCACTCCCCAGCATTTATCCAACAAGTCCGAAACATCGCAATCCGCAAAGTCCCTTCCCCACTCTAACTCGAACGCGCCCTTGGCGGTCGGGCTCCCACCTTCCAATCACGCAAGTGTCACTCCACCTTCCGTCATTGACGTATCCACCCGTGAATCAACGCCGCTACCGCACTCTGTCCCGCGAGTGGATTCAGTACAAGACGGGTCAAAGCACAGCTCGTTTGATGCCTTTACGAGCCAACACTCGACTGAATCGGGTATCCTCTTCGCATTTTCACTCCATATATGAAGCTCATCGTGCGGTAAACATTCTAGGCCAGGACCCTTCTATGCAGCCCAGTGATGACACTATCAAGGCCAACGGTATGTCCTCTAGGCTTTCATTTCCACACTTGCATTAAAATACAGTTCATCATCGCAATCAATTCTTCACCGCCGACGTATTCTAGATCACTTGCGGGCCACATACCGTCAAGCAAATAAAATCCCTGCCGCCGAACGCTTACATGCGTGGACTGTGTTGTTGGAGGTAATTCTTCAAGTCTGCACATGTATGCACACCCACCTACAATGATGCCAATCCAGGCCAAACCGCTGGACCCAGCGCCATCGTCTTCGGCCGCTTCTTTGACAGACGAGACCAAGAAGGATGTGTTGGCCAGCTGCGCTCTCTTGTTTGGCGACGGTGCGTTTTGCAACGTCCTCAAGCAAGAAGGTGTCCCGCTGGACAGTGCGCGTTTGACCATGTCCGACAGTGTCGAGCATCTGCTGCGGGCCCTGGTGGCACGCCACAAGCTGCCAGCGACACCGTCGATCAAACTGGGCTCGCTCTTCACGCCTCTCCTGGCCCTGACCAGCGCCGACCCCCAACGCCCAGACGTGTTTGGTGTCATGGACGCCGTCCTCGCCCGCCTCGTGCCGTCGCTGCATGTGTCCACGGCCGTGGTGGCCGACGCCCGTCGACCGCTCGTGAAGCTTCTCGTGCTGTACCATGACCCGACGATTGCTTTGCATTTGGACCACACATTGCCCCACTGGAGCGACAGTACGTTGGGTTCGTAGTATATATATTGGTGTGAGATGATGAGATGCTTGGGACTGAGTAGGTCGGTCGGGCATATTGCCAGACTCGTGGCTGGCGTCGCTCTTCGAGGGCACGGACCACACCAACACGATCCCGCTGCCCTCGTTAAGCAACATTTGGGACTGCCTCATCGTCAACGCGAGTGCCACGTACCCGTCCATCGTCGGGGTGTTTGTCGTGTTGCATGCGATCTTGCAGTCCAAGAAACGGCTGCTGAGCTTGACCAACTCGACGTCGCTGCAGTCGGTCATGACGCAGCTACTGGTGGAGACGCTGAGTCAGTCGCCCCCTCAGCTGATGCAGCAGGTTCAAGCGTTGATCGACAAGACGCCGTTCTCGTTCTGCACCAAGCTGTGCGATGCTGGCATGGAGCCACCGAGTGAAAAGCCTGCGAGCCGCACCAACTCGTTGTCCAATGTGACAACGTCTCCCCGCACTGATAGCAAGGAGAAGCTGTCGACAACCGGCGGTCCTAGCATGGCCAAGTTTGGGGCGAGTTTGAGCTCCATGAACTCGAAATTCTTTGCCGGGGCGTCGAAATTGACAGCCAGTATGATGAAAAGCGAGTCAGACAAGACTAGTGCGGGGAACGGATCCAGCCGCAGCGACAGTTTCCATTTGGAATCCATTGCCGTGTACTTTAGCATGACCATCTCGGCGTGCGAAGTGATTCCGTCCGTGTTTCGAGGGTTCAAGTCGTCGTGCACGGAAAAGGTACACGTCGCTAGCGTGTTCACGTTGTCCAGTTGTATGACTGGCAAGGCGTAGATTCGGTACTTTGTCGTCGACTGCCGCCCGCAAGAGTACCTCGAGCACGGTCGGATTCCTACGTCGTTTGCATTCAATTCGGAATCGCTCGTGGACCCGGCAGCGTTTGACAGCGTCATGGAGACATTGGAACCCATCAAGTCGTCGGTGCATATTTGCATCATGGGGCACGGCTACGCCCGGCACGCCAACCACATGGTGAAGGACCTGAACATCCCCAAGTCGCTCGTGGCGGACATGCTGGCAAAGGACGCCGCGCAAACCAATGACGCGGTGCTGTTTCTCGCCAAACGGGGGTTTCCCTACGTGTCGGTGATCGAAGGCGGGTACGCGTCCACGCACCGGTTCCTGACCAAGTCGCGGCTGTTTGCGCTGTCCGACTTGACCGACCACGACCCGAAAGGATGCACGCTGTGTCAGCAAGATGCGGCGCTGAAAGCGCGGGGCCGTGCGTCGTCGGTAAGCCATCTCTCGGACGAAGAAGACGAGTACATCCAGCGCACCGAAGGAGGGGTGTGCCTCGGTCGATTTGGCCCAGACGGCCGAAAGAAACGCGACTCACATTTGTCGTCGTCGACGTCGTCGGGAGGACGCGCGTCGCCGGCGTCGACGTACTTTAACAGCATGACCAACGTGTTGAAAGATTCGACGAAAACGATGGCAGCAGTGAGCAGCAAGACGCTCAAAGCCGTGCCCGGATCGGACAAGATGACAGACGCCCTCAAAGACTCGCGCAATTGGATGCTCAAGAAAACCGAGTCGATCCACTTGAACGACGTGTCAACGTCCATGACGACAGGTCACGAACAACCTGACAAAAATAAACAAGTTGTGAAATAAATCCCTCTAGGTATGCGATCGGTCGTGGACGTGGCGGCCAACCCCGGGACCATGCTGAAAAAGGCGGCGAATTCGTTTGCGTCGACGTTGGGCAACGCTGAGCCGCCCATGATGTACGTACACTCGTCCTTGGAGGATGTTATTTATGTTTTGATATGGGGAGAGTAGGTCGCCGACGTCGGCTGGTTCGGCCCCTGTTGTGGTGGCGGCGGCGGCTCAGAGCACGTCGTCGTTATCGAACGCCAAGAAACAACCCTATTCCAAGGCCAAGGAAGCCGTGTTTTCCATCGACGACGACGACGAAGACGACGAGCCCGACTCGTTTATGGGCGAGGCGGGCACCGACGGACCAGATCATATCGGCGGCAGCATTGCCGCACCAAGCGCCGCCATACACGCAGTGGCCAAGCACGGCGTCCAGTCGTTGAAGAAAGGGATGCAGATCCGCATGGGAGACCTCCTTCCCCTCGTGTCGTCGCCGTTGTTTTCATGCTACAAGAAGAAAGCCCGGGGCACCGAAACGCTGATGCTACCCCGGTACTTTACTATATGGCCTTGTTGAGTCGCCACAGTCTCACTCACGGGTGTCTTGGTGTAGCCACGTCGTGATTGCAGAAGACCACATCGTCGTGCTCAAGGCGGACAAGGTCCAGGACGCCATGAGCTGGGTGCGGTCGTGCCACCACCTGAGCCACATTGCACGCATGACGTGCATGAAGAAGAACGCGCTCATGGTGACGTTCTACCTCAGCTTTGACGGCAAACAAAAGCAAAAAGCGTACGAAGTGCAGCAGCGCGACGCGCTGATCAAGGTCGTGAGGACATCCATGGAGTTGCTCGCGGCGCAGAAAGAAGGCGACGACGACAACGACGACGGCATCCATGCTTAATTTCAGCTCGCCCCCCCCCTCACTTCTAGACTTTGAATTTCGTCTCGAAATAAGCCAAGTGTATGTGCTAGACAGGCATACAACGAATACATACATTTACACGTTATACACGAGTTGGCAGCCTTAGGCCGCGCGAACTGACGTTGTCCCGCGCCGTTTGGATCGCGGCTTGTGCTGCGAAGCGCCACCATGTCGCCGAACATGGGCGTACTCTTCGGCTTGCAATTTCCTGGCGAATTCCATGTCTTGGGCAACCAACGCATCGACGTGGTGCTTTTCGTCCAGTTCAATCGATTGGATGTCCATGAGGTTGACGTTCTCAATGTGACAGAGTCCCCACTGGTTCTTCTTGAGGTTCCACGTGTGCTTGACCTGGACGACTTCGGCGGCTTGAATGGCCGTGAGGGAGTGGGTTGACGTCGTCGCAGCCGCCTGGTGCCACGGCGTGTGGGGCTGTGCTTTGTCGTTGGTTGCTTTCTTAGATCTGCGACAGGGTTTCATAAAACTTTCCAAGCTGAAAGCCCCCGTCGCACTAGCATTCCCTCCACTCGCCATGGGACCCGATGCCGGACTTGCAGATGCTCGGGGGGGCAATTTCATGGGCGGGGGCTGCGACGGAGGGGCCGCCCATGACATCATTGGGGACGGGGAACGCCCGGATCTCGCGTGTGGAACCACCGACGGGGTCATTGGCTTGGCTGCTTGGGCGTCTAAGAACGAGTTCAACGGGACAAACTTGGCTCGGCTCTTGCGCTGATGAGTCGGTTTCGTTTCCTCGAGCGTCGCTACTGGTCTTGATGACTCCAAAGTTGTTGTAGTACTTTCGTCCATGCGCGCGGGTTTAGACTGGGGGACGGCTGGGGTTGGTACCGTACATCGTTTGTCTTGCTCGAACGGCAGAGGTAATAGCTGCGTTGATTGCTTCAGATTGGATTCCTTGCCACCAGCGATCGACTTTGCCGCGAATGCAGGTCGCATGGCAGGGCTACCCCGAGCCACCGCGTTGGGTTGTGGCAGCTGCTCATTTAATTCGAGGATTTGCCGAAGCAGATCAGGCTTTCGCTTGAGCTTGGCCTTTTGGGCATCGGTGGGGGACACGACCAGTTCGAGTTGTCCAAGCTGGTCCAGTCGTTTCTGCAGCGACCGGAGCTTCTTTTCCACGTCCTTTTTGACGGGAATCTCCGCCGCCGCCCTCAATGGTACTACCTTGCGGGGTACGTCCCGCTGGATCATCTGCCGCTGTTGGCTGACTTGATCAGTCAGCTCAATCGGCCAGTCCTCTGCATTCCGAGTCATCTCCAACACTGCGTCCAAGTTTAGCGCAACAAACTGCCGACACATGGTCTTGAGCGCCGCCATGTCGAGTAGGTCCGCCTTGGCATAGAGCGTCACCACCGTTTGCAGCGACACTTGCTGACGAAGCACGTGCTGGCATCTGTCCACGAGCGTGTCGTGACCAACACTCTGATCCAGCATCGGGCGGCGCGGCGTCACCAGCACCGCATGGTGGTGTGGTCCGGCTACGACCGCTTGGGCTTGTTTCATGTTGGCTACTCGTTTCGGCGTCGGCAGCCAGTTGCGGCCTTCGTGGCCTATCACATGCACACACACACCACCATCACATGTGTAACCACAGCCGTGCATGTTCGCATCACGCGCTCGAAAGGGTATAATATATGTATATATACCTAGCGTGCCACAGCCCCAAGTGTAGACATCCCCGGACGCCACCACGACGGCACAGTGCTCTTTGGCGGCAGCGATGGATGTGGCGCGGTCGGTCAGCGGCACGAGGTTCCGTCCGTTGGCCGCGAGGGGGTTGGGGCCGTGCCCCCATACGTAAACATTGCCGACGGCGCAGAGTCCGATGGAATGCAGCGGCGCGCACGAAATGTCGACAATGCTGATGGGGTACTGCTGCACGCGCGGCAGCCACACGTTTTGATGCAACAGGCGAAGGGTTTCGTCGCGCGAATGGTGGCGCAGCAGCACTTGGGACGGAAAGTACCCGCCCATACCCCACTGCCACACTTGGCCCTGGGGTAGTCGGTCGTCTTTGGCCACTTGCAGCACCACGCACGTGTGGTGGCACGACACTGCAATCTACAAAAACTGTCTGTGACTATATATATATATATATATATACATCATTTGCATAAAGTAGGGAAATCCATGGCACACAACAACATCATGCATGCATATACCATCACTTTCACAGCGTAGTAGTGACGTTATCAAGCGACGTAGAATCACGTCAGATGACGTACTTTGGTAGCCACGACGGACGTGGCGTCTGTCGGAACGGCCGGATTCGCGTGGTGCGGTAGCAACGAGTCGACCCGTTTCGGCGTATGCAGCGCTTGGTCCGTTCCAAACCCTTCCTAACCACATATCATGACTTGTCAGACTGTCCATGCCATCACTTGATGATTGATGCCAAGTCCAAATTCATGCATACCTTGCGGCCCAGTTGCCCCTTCTTGTTGCTTCCCCACGTAAACACTTGTCCGTTCGAGGTGACTACGCCCGAGTGAGTGCTCGCGGCGGCGATGTCCACTACGACTTCGCCTTTCAATCCGTCAATGCGCTTAGGGGATAAACGACTGGCAGCACACGTTTGCTTGGCAGGGAACCCGAGCTGTATCCATAGTTCCATCGTTCAGATTCAGAATTAATGTACAATACAATATCAAAGTCAATTTTGCATAGCTATGGAGAAGGTCTGGGGTACCTGGCCAAAGCTGTTGGAGCCCCATGAAAACACTTGGCCTGTGGACGTCAGAGCCAACGAATGGTTCTCGCCCGCCGAGGCCTTGACCACAATGCGATGGTTGGGGAAATGCAGCTGCACTGGATGGATGCAACTACAAACACGTGAGCTGACAAATCAACCAGAACTTCTTGGGGGGGTGTTACTTGAATTCAGCGCCAGTGCCTAAGCGCCCTCCCTTGCCGAATCCCCACGAGTAGCACCGACCAGCTGACGACACGGCTAGCGTGTGGTACGAGGCCGCAGACACGTGCGACAGGACCACGCCAGGGGCAAACTTGACGCGGCGGGGGGTGCATTGCTCATCGCCATGGGGCAAGTGGTACCCGAGCTGACAGGCCACATCAAATACGGAGGATCTTAAGCATGTACCTGAAAGTCTACTTTGCCAAACGTGTACACTTCACCCTCGACAGGTGACGATGTGTCGGTGGTTGGGCGTTGCAGACGCCATGAAAGCAGGTCCAAAGGCGACAACCTGTCGTGGGCCAGTGGACATTTGACCGATTCCTCGACGTTCAAGATCGCTCCGCCGTTCAGAAGCAGCAGTGATGCTGGATAATACATGTGACGGCAATGCGCAATGGACTCTCAAGGCAATTTGGGGGACATACCGTTGATGTGGCCGTGGAGAAAGCTACGATGCAGCGCCGAGTACCCGGACTCCTATGCAGTGGTTGGCTCAAAGTGTACTAGCCACTATAGGCCGCTCGATTACCTTGTCTTGGGTATTGGGGTCTGCCCCGTGGCGCAAGAGGAGGTCCACGAGGCCGTCCAAGCCACGACTCGCTACAAGGCATGTGACCAGGTTGCTGATTTCGTCAGTGGTCGAGCTTACCAGCGATATGTAATGGCGTCTCGCCCATGCTGTTGCGCTCGTCGACTGGGACCTCGCCCTCCTGGAGCAAGTATTCCACCGCCTCAAAATTGTTCTCTCGGACCGCCCTCCACACGTCCATGGACACACCATCACCTGCATCCTGTGGTCCCGCCATCATATCCGTCACACTGGTACGAGGCCACGTCGGTGAATTATTCCATTCGGCGAGATGCTTCAAGAATTATCATGTGGGTTTTCTGGTGTATACGCACCAAATCCATCGTTTCAGCACCAAGCGTAGGTGCGTCTTTCGCTTCATTGGCACTCATAACGTTAGTCCTACAGGATGATGTCTTCAAGGAGCCATAACATGCAAGACCTTACAACCACAGTCCATGGAGCAATTCTAGTTCACATTCCTATTGTCCAAGCAGTTGCTACTAGCTACCCTTAGCCTGTGAATTCAAGGAGGTGTCAACGAATATCCAATAGGATCGTGGTAAAATGCTTATTACTCGTAGTATTAACCAATCCGAGGTGATACGCACTATCCGGATACCAGGGCCCTTTCTGAAACCGAGCCACGTGACGGTTTCGCGTGGTTTCAAGCGGTTGTTGGCGACAGCCTCGCATGCCAGGAGGGTTGGTCGAAGCAGAGTGACGACATGGATGACTTGCAGTACTCGTTCGTCGCCAAGCCGCGGGCGGTACAGAATGCCCGGGGAAAGCACCGTAAGAAGGAGAAAGCCAGCAAGTAAGCGACAATGCATTCGCCAACCTCCTATTCTCGTCAACCATACTCATTCTCGGAAATGCGCAGTGCCGTGTTCAACATCATGAACGACCCTCGGGTGGCAAGGGGAAGTGTTTACGCCGCAGCGGTATGTACGCACGTGTTGTGTCGTTGTTCAAACTCACTTTCCGTGTCGCAGAATTCCATCCACATCAAGCGCGACAACGCGGCACGCGTGAGCCAAATCCCGCCCAACCAAAGCTCAGGACCGCAGAAATCGTTCAAGAAACAGACTATTTTTGAGGCCCCCACGACCTTACAGACATGTATGCAAAGTCCCTTCGGTATATCTCACACCCCACATGCGACAGTCTTTCCCGTCGACTTGTCGGCCAACTTGATTGAACACACGCCCCACGTCGACGAAACCGAAGTGTCGACCCAAACGGACACGTTTCTACCCAATAATAAGCACAAGAAGCCGTTTGTGCTCAAGAAGACTGGCATCGAAGCATCCACCGAGGTACTCTTCGTGGTATTGCATACACGGTGTCACGCGTTGGTAGATTGCCGAGAGCGACGGCTTGTTTGATTTTGACGTGGAAGTGTCTCCACTGCTCACTGTGCTGGTGAACAAGACACTCAGACAGGCCATGTGCGAAGTCGAGTGGGAAGACGAGCTCAAACACATTGCGTTGTACTTGGTACACAAGTATATTGCTGTTAGGGGTAGTTGATCATTGACTTTGCGGGTATATGATGTCGCAGGAGGAGCTGCACACAAACAAGGCACTCGACGCCGAAGCAGTGCGGGAGCTCGTGGCCCAGGCAAAGAAAGCGTATGCGATCAAAGATGCTGAGAAAGTCGAACAGCGCCGGCGGGTCCAAGAGTCCGCGTTGGTCGACGAGAAGGTGGCCGCGGTCAGTTTGAGTCGACTCCTCATGAGTCAAGTGGTGGAGGACACGACTGTGGCGCTGACAGCTCAAGGCGTTTTCTACGACCCCCTTCGCCGTCAGGTGGAAGGGAACTTTATGGCGTGGATGTATTCCGCTGCCGACACTATCGTCAAGACCAAGCAGTCCGCGCGGCTTCTCGTAGAAGGTTGCTGCTATCTACATCTTGTTACTGTTACACAAGTAGAGGCTACAGATCTGACTTGGACGCCCAATCTAGACATGGTGCGGTCCAGCTTGCAGCACCAGCGACTGCTGCACTACGTCGACAGTTTACACACACAAGTCCACGACAACATGGTTACGTTTCCAGTGGCGAATGTACCTGGGCTGGATGCGATTGGGCCTGTTCTGTACAGCCGCAATGTCCCCGAATTCGACAGGCACATTGACGTACGAATTGGCTACATGTATTTACTAGGATGGAGTGAACATTGTGGTCATGGCTAGGCTTGGGTACATGAAAATGCGCCGACGGTCGCACGTCCGCCCGTCGGATTCCTCGCAGATATAGTTGCCGGGATCAAGTAGTGCTTCGTCGTTGAATGCATACAAGTAGTTGATATGTCAAACACTAAAACTCTTCGTGCGCAATACTAGTATAAAGCAACGTACATAGACGGTACAGTATATACGTATATGTCATAGTTTCCGTGATAAATACAGCAACACTATAGAGGTCTAGACGTTGTAGCAGAGAGACCGGAACCCTCGAAACCCGTGGTTAAGGATGTCTCGGACGCCCAACACCCCCATGACCGACCCACTGACGCCGATGACTCCGGCAATGACAAACAGCACGAACGCCGTCTTGCGGAACCTTCGGATCAAGTAGCTCAGGCCCAGCTGGCCCACGATCCCACCCACAAACCCCACGGCGCCGTACCAAGCGGCATAGTCGTACGGAAGCATACCCAGCACGATAAACTACACACACACGAGCGTCAGTTTCTTTAACAATGTATCACGACTAAAGTACTTGGATCGTGGTGGCGGACGACGTAAACAGGATCATCGCGGTGGACGTGGCCGACGCCACCTGCGGGTGCAGCCCGATTTCAAGCAACAACGGCCCTTTCACCATGCCACCTCCAATGCCTAATGCAAGCCAAGACATGTTCAGACACGCTTTGATTGACAGAACACTGCAAGGTGAGATGATGGATGACGACTACGCACCGAGCAAGCCCGCGGCCACGCCGGCGACCGTGCACAACGACGGGTAAATCAACGTCGTGCGGCGGTTCCATTGAATGTCCCCTGGGACATAGGCATATCTACCCCCAAACAGTCACTACTATTCTCGTGTCTAACCAGTGTATACCCGCAGCTTTGCATGAGTTCATGCCGATGCAGGATCTTGAATCCAAAGTAGCTCGTCACAGACACGAAGAACGGAAACGCGAGCATGGTCAAGCTCCAGTACGCCATACTACGCGTTCGTTTTAAGCCACATGTACAAAACCAAAAGTGTGACAACGTACGTACCTGCCACAGACGAGGCCAATGATGCTGGGGGCGCCGTGCCCCCCCTTGAGGATCGAGTACGCAAACAACCCGATCCACGCGACGAGCAGCACCGACAGATCGCCCCACGGAATGGACCGCTTGTACTCGTGGAGCTCTTCCAACGCCGCGACCTGCGGCGGCTTGATCACGACCCCGTTCAGTGACATCAAATGTGCTTTCTTGAGCAGGAATTCGTCGTCGGACACTTTGTCGTCGTCGAAATCCGAGTCTTCGTCGTCGATGGGATTGGCCATGGACAGCGCCACTTCGGTGGACGACAGCCTCGAGTCGGCCTCGTCTTCTTTCTTGCGCCGTTGATTCGTGACAGCTAGCCACTGTTTAGCGCATGCCACGACGGCAGGGGACATCTTGGCTGCTCGCACGACGTCCGTCCATTGCTGCAAGACCGTCTCCTGTCGACGGCGGTCTTTCACCGCTTCTTGGTTCCAGATCGTCTTGCCCTTTTGCATCATGCGGTGACTCGTCTTGGACAACAGCGCCACGAGCAACATCGTGATGATCCATTCGGGGCAAACCTACGCAACCCTGTATTGATGGCTGCTACGTTCCGCTAAGTTTGGATACCTTGTTCATGCTCACGCCGATGATCGTGCCGGCCAGTGTCATGGGCTCCATCATAACCATCACCTCGTAGTCGATGAGTTGCCTATGGAGTTGTCAGTTTCCATGACGTGTGAAGAACAAGACTTGCCTTTGGGGGTCCAGCGGATGCTTCTTTCGAATGTTAAGCAGGCAGCTCGCCACGGCGCTGCCAAAGATCGTGGCTTTGGACAGCGGAATTGCGTCGTGTGAGTTGAAGCCCAACACGATGATATATAGAGGGACGAGCAAACCACCGCCTCCAAGGCCACCACCTAGTTTACATGACGTTGTGAAATCAACGAAATAATGGACATGCGCGTGCGTGCGGACATACCAGATGAGATGACAATGCAGATGAAAGCGCTAAGGGTGCCGGCCAGGTCAACCGAGTTGAACGGGAAGAGCGGCCGTGGGCGACACACCTCTTCGACGCACACGTTTGACCGGTTCACCGATCCAGCTCCTGTGCAGTCCGCATCGGTCAAACACGGTGGTTCCGTATGCCCAACTCCAGTCAAGTGGCGGGCGATGACAGTGGCTTCGCGGTGGGACCAAGCGCCAGAGATGAACATGAGGCCAAGACAGGCCATCCCGGCAAGAAGAGTGCCATATTGCCGGTGCTTGGACGTCGTCGACCGCATGATCGGTGACTTCGAGTCTCGGTGAACGACGTACATGGCGATGCGGCGCGGTGGTGGCGTTTGAGGAATGGTGGAGTGATCAATTGCCAAAACAACATACGGTGAATAATATTCCAGCCAATCACAACGCATGCTCAGACTCGACAGTTTCAGGGCAATTCGGATTTCGAAGGAACTGGTGGAATGCGATGAGGGCAGCATGCCATGACACGCTGCAAAGGCCAAAGGAAACGTACGCACATATGTATACAAACACCACGCATGCATGCATCACGACATTGGTAGCCAGGACCATTGACACGACATATCGCCGGTACGACATATCGCTATATGTCGCTGATGTCCAAGATTCGTTGGAGGTGAGGGCGATCCTATGCTGTTGGCTCGGTGCCTACCAACCCCGAGGACAGACGGGGGCCAGTTTCAACTTGACCCCTGACGAGGTTGTGACAGGGAATGCGATTGGTGGGCAAGTGGCGCAGTTAATAGCAAGCAGAGCACCACCCGGTTGCTTGTGAAATGAGATGGATGTCCTGTCCGGATAAACCAGATATTACATCCATGCAAATCCGATCTTGCCAACTCTACCATGTGGACACAATGGTTGTGGGCTGTGGGTTGCGTCGTGTTGGGCTTGCTGCTTCAGACAGCGCTCCATGACCAGCACCCGCACCCTGGACAGACCATGTGCGATGCAAGAAAGCTCGGACTCGTTGTCATAGGCGACCACGGCAGTCTCGGCCGTGGGCTCTTGCATGCTCTCGACACCTCCTCGCAAGCAGAGTTTTGCGGCGCCTCCGTGCACATTGCGGCTATCGGTGGCGATCGAGGCTACATCAAACATCCCCACGGACTCTCGTGGGACCACATTCGTACGCTCCTCAACCACACGACAATTTTTCATGGGAGCGGCTTGCAACAAGGTGATGTCACTGTTGCCCACAGACCCATGGATGATGAAACCAGCGAGCAAGTCGAAGTGGACGCGGATGACGACGGCGACGACTTCCAGCGCCGGGACAAGCTTCGGGACGTGTTGGGAGACTTGGCTGCGTTCGGCCACTACGACAAGTTCATTGTCGTCGACTGTACTTCGACGGCGTCCCCCTCCCATGTGGAGGACTTGGCGTTGGCGAAATCTCTTGGCATGGGGCTAGTGCTAGCCAACATCCATGTGGTGGCAGGGCCTTGGGCCACGTATGCGTCGCTTGTTCTGGACACCACAACGAAAACCAAGCAGAGCTCGCTTGTGGCGTTCGAAGCCACCGTGGGAAAAGGTCTTCCGGTTCTCTCGACGATTCGGCGGTTGCAAGCGAGTGGGGACCACGTCACCCTCGTACATGGCACGTTCAGCGATGCCGTGGGGCACGTCTTGGCCGAAATGGAAGCGTACGTACAGCTTGGACAAACACACGATGGCAGCAACCAAGTTGGTTTGCATAAACATTTGATGTTCTTTATAGAGGCAACTCGTTTGGAGACGCTGTGACGACCGTGTACGAGAACGGGTGGACGGACGACGACCCCAGGGATGATCTCACGGTAAGTCGTTGTGATGCAACGTAGTTGGTGGCTGAAGTAATATGGTGTGACATCACGTGGCAGGGCCTCGTATTGGCGAGGAAGGCAGTGGTCATTTCGCGGCACTTGGGCAAACAAGTAGCTGTGAAGGACGTCGTGGTCGAAGGATTGATTCCTCGCCACATGTTGAATGGCACCGTGGCCTCGTTTTTCAATGTCGTTGGGGATCTCAATGAAGGTTATACAGTAACATGATGAAGGCTCAAAAGTATGACTAAGACAGGGACATGTCGCGCAGAATTCAAGGCCAAGGGGGCGGATGCTAAGGCGAACGGAAACAAGTTGGTGTTTGTGGCCAAGATCAGTGATGGAGGAGGTCAGGTGCGCATTGGTCTTCAAAGCGTCGACCACACTCATAGCCTCCATGCATCGCAACGTATGGCCCTTTCCCATGACAGAGTCGTGTGTCTGACAACGCATGGCTAGATGGAGACAGCGTCGTGGAGATTCAAACGACCAACTTTCCCCACGGCATCCTCGTGCAAGTGGCAAAGCCGGACGCGACTGGCACCGTCGCGGCCATCGTGGCCGACATTGCGTCTTTGAGTTGCATTTTGTTTCGGAGATGCAACATCCCTTAACGATAAGACTAACGTTACTTGTGGTTGTTGGTCCTTCCCAAATGCGCCGAGATCGGCAAAGTGCTGGCCAAGTTGTGAAACCGTCAAGTTATGGCCGGATAATTCATTGTTATCCGGATACGGCGGTCACACATTTCGATTGGATTGGGTTGCAAGCAAGCATGACCAGCACAAGCGTCCAAAACGCGCTTAGTCTCTTTGACGATGACAGCGACGATGAAGAAGTGGAGGCGACGGCGGCGGAGATCAATGACGTGCACCTAGAGTTCACGACGTCCGTCACATCAAGCACCTCAATCGACCATGATGAGTCGTCGCAGTATCAGCCGACGCTGTGGACTCACGTGCCACCAGACTACCTTGGTCCAATGGAATTCCGCGCGAACGAAGATGAATTTGGAGGCGGGCGTGGATATTATGCTGCACGAGATATACCCGCGGGAACGTTGTTGATCCGAGAGCGTGCATATGTACTATGGCCAGATGTGGACGACCGGTCGGCGCTACTTCTCGCGACCGTGGAACAGATCCTGCAATGCGACGACGCCGACGAGATTGCCACGAACCTTGCGCCGCTTCACCCCGTAGTACTGGAAGACTTGCCGGCAACTCTTCTCGACGCCGCGCATGAAGAGTACACGGCCTCGTTGACCGCGCTCCTTGCCAGGTACGGCCGGGACAGCGACGACAACGCCATTGTCCGTCGATGGCTCCAAGTCGTGCTGGGGATGCAGTGCAATGCGTTCACGAGCGGCGTTTTCCTGCACACAGCCATGTTCAACCACGACTGCAACCCGAACTGCGTCAAGTTCACGCCTGAGTCGGCGCTCAGTGTGTCCGAAGTCCGAGCTGCCAAGGCCATCAAGCAAGGTGACCAGCTGTTCATTTCGTATGTGTATCCGCGCGAACAAAGCCGCGAGAGGCGGCAGGCCCAGCTCGTTCGGCAATTTGGGTTTACCTGCCGCTGCCCCATGTGCGGCCGCGGCGACTCGTTCTCGGCCCCGCCCCAGGCAGCAGAGACGCCGCAGGGTGCCGACAAAACGCTGGACGAAATCGAGTCCGACTTGGGGGTACTGGAGGATCTGTTCGCGGAGCATGCGTCCAACAATGCGTCCCAGGTCCTCCACGCGGCGCTGGAAGCGCTCTCGGACCTGTTAGAGGTCGTCGCCCATGATCACGTGGTGATGATACGCGTGCACAAACTGGTCGCGGACAGCTGCGACAGCCTCATCAAGCGACAGAAGAACGTTCAAGAGCATGCGATACTGTTCGTCCGCAGTTGCGTCGAGCTGCTCGAGCTGCAGCGGCTGTTCTTGGACCACGATCACATTGACCTTGCTCGGACCCTCAACGACATCAGCCAAGGCATTCGACTGCTGCTCAGCTACAGCCCACAAGTGCTTCTGGATGAATTCCCAGAGTGGGCGACGTTCCGACAAGCGTCCATCGTCGAGTCCCAGTACACGAAAGAGTACAAACGCATCAAGGCGCTGTATGAATAAATAATACTCGGAGCCGAGTACAAGGCTTCATCACGTAAATAGGTTGTGAATGTACCATTCATTGCTTGTGTGCACTTTGCAAAATCAGAGAATAGAGAGATGAAAAATGCTAGTAACGTTCGTATGCAAATCACCGATTCTGGATAGTTTTCAGGAAAATATAGACAACTCAAGATAATCCCAAGCAACAGGTATGCTGTTTTTCACTGAAATTTGCTGGTTCGAGCATCATTCGAAGTCAAAATACAAGGTTATTCAACGTATGCCATACAAATTTAAAGATATGAACAGTCTGATTGGGCCAAACTGTTGGGTCAAATTATGCTGATTGACGATTGGCTGAAAATTCAATGTGTGAAGTTTGATTGGCTACGAGATCCCATAAACCATTTGCCAAATATCATTCAATTCTACTCGGAGGTAACCACGAGGAGTGGAATCGCCCATGTTCTGTCATTTCCGCATCTTTATCAGCGTACATAGCCTTTGTCAATATTTCGTTCGACGGTACCTATCCTTGGCTTTATGTGCGCCAAAGCTACCGAGTTGATTTGATAACAATTCTTATCGAACAATTCACTTTACTTGTTCGTGGGGGTCCGGATATGTATCCGGATCGTATCTGGATACAATTGCGCGGTGTGGAATAACCTGTCCAGAAATTCGGTGACACGTCAGCTTCGCCTACCAACGCCATCTTCCGTCTCTGTCGCTTCCTCCTTCCGTCGCGCCGCCGCTCATTTTGAACTTCCAAGCACCATGAACATCTTTCGACTGATTGGTGACATGACGCACTTGCTCAGCTTCCTCGTGATGATCCTGCGCCTCCAAGCCAGCCGGTCGGCAACTGGGATCTCGCTCAAGAGCCAAGAGCTGTTCTTCCTCGTGTTCATCACGCGGTACTTGGATCTGTTCACGCACTACGTGTCGCTCTACAACACGAGCATGAAGCTGCTGTACCTTGGTCTGTCGGGGGCCATCGTGTACTTTATTCGGTTCAAGGAGCCGTTCAAGTCGTCGTACGACAAGTCCATCGACTCGTTCCTCCACTGGAAGTTCGCCGTGCTGCCGTGCGCGATCCTTGCGTTGATTTTCCACGAACGGCTCGAAGTCATGGAGATCCTCTGGACGTTCTCGTTGTACTTGGAAGCCGTGGCCATAATTCCCCAGCTCATCCTCCTCCAGCGTCATGGTGAAGTCGAAAACTTGACGTCCAACTACGTCGTGTTGCTTGGGATCTATCGCGCGTTCTACTTGATCAACTGGATCTACCGCGCCGCCACGGAAACGCAGTACCACACGATTTGGCCCATGTTCATTGCCGGGCTTGTCCAGACCGGGCTGTACGTGGACTTCTTCTACTACTACGCCATCAGGTACGCTACGACTCTTCCATTTTGCTCTGCTGACACGTTTACAATGCACTAGCAAATACTCTGGCAAGAAGATGACGTTGCCCAATTAAGCCGCACCAGCCCCACCCATGCTCCATGCTCGTAGCAAGCGACGTCCATTTGTCCATATCATGGCATCACTTTAACGATTGGTTTCTTTCAATGTGTGTGCATGATGGCTACCTCTCGACATTAGGCTAATGTAGCACTTCATATTTCCATCATCCGGGGCGACCGACCCCTTAGATACCTAAGAGGTCAAAGTTGACATGATCTCGCACGTGTTGTGTCGCGAGATGCAGGCGCTTGGTGTCGTAACGATTCAACTTGGCCGTGAACCCGGCGATCTTGGCCGTGAGTTGGAAGCTGTCGCACGTCGTGGGCGGCACGTAAATGCATGGGATGTTGCCTTCGTTCAACCGGGCAATTAGCTACACATCATCGCTCTCTCTCATGTAATCATCACACGTGGATGCCACGTACACTTGGAGACGGATGGTCCCATCCCGTCATGATCAACCCCGGATGCAAATTCTCTCCGCGGCGGCGGTATTCGGCTTGGTTGGCGAGGATGGCGTCGATGACGTCGCCTCGTCCGCTGTGCTACGTACACACACGCACAATGAGGTTCCATTTGTTGATCGGAATGCCAAAGCATCAGCCAGGGACACATCCAACTCGTACGAACCGTAATGACCAGTTGACTGGGCACGGGCTTGAACACGTTTCGCGAATCGACGGGAGCGAGCGCGAGGCGAACGTGGGCAAAGTACCGCAGCTTGGCGTCGTGGCCTAGCGCATGCATGATGCCAAGAACGTCGGTGGAAGATGGAGAACGAACCGGAGATGAGGTCGCTGTGGAAGAGTTTGCTGTAGTCCGACATGGATGGATGCGACAGGTCGTCGAGCTGTGGAATGCACCCAACCAACGGAACGTCCCAGCGCTTCAATGCTCGGGAAAAGTAGTCCTACCAATGACGCAAAGATACAGAAAGGCTAATGGTTGGACGTACTTGCACCATGTCGAGCTTGGCCGGGTCCACTTTGTTCAAGATCACGCCCTACGAACAGACGAGTGTTTCACGAACGAACGACGGCGATATAGAGCGCACCTTCAACTGGACGCCATGCTTGAGCAGCATTTCACGATTCAGTGCCAACTGGTCGAAGGAGGAGCCAAGGCCACCGAGGGCAATGCAGATGGCATCCATGCCGAGTTCCGCTGCGTTTCAGGCACAGTCATAAAAGGAGGGAGGCATCGGAGGGAATCCTACCTGCGACTTGGGCATTGTTGATATCACAAATAGATCCAACCCCCGTGTGCCCCGTGCCTTCGACGACCACGAACTCGCTCGTGTCCATGAGGTGGCGGTGGGCTACTCGGACGGATTCTGTGAGCTCCGCCGCCGTGACTTTGCCATCGATGTAGTCACGCGTGAACCCGTCGGGGAAGATGACAGGCGACATGTCTTTGTAGTCATGCACTAGCCCAAAGTGTTCTTTGAATAAGAACGAGTCTTTGTCCACGCGTAGTCCACCGCCGACGGGCACATGCTGCTGGCCCACCGGCTTGCAGTACGCTACTTCTTTCTTGGGGGTGGTTGTGCCATGGACCTCTAGGCTGAAGCGCTCCTGGAGATGCGCCACGAGTCCGAGAGATGTGGTCGTCTTTCCAACATGCTGACCTGTGGACAACACGAGCAGATGCTTCTTGATGCCGTGGGCAATTGTCATCGTCTTTGTGATGTTTTGGATTTGGGCGAAGTTGGATCATATTGTCGATTACGGCCAATCAAACGTAGCAATCGTGAGTATTTCAACCAATCCCAATCCTTTTGTAAGAACTCTGAGTAAACCCACTTCAACTACCGGTACAGTACAGTACCGGATTCGCAATAAAGAACTAGTGTAACGTGGACGTCCAACTTGCTCACTTGCGCTGACGTCGCGAAGGCAGGCCGAAGATGGACACCGCCTTGTCAACCTATTTGACACCACTGAGGGTAATCACTGGATGCAGTACCTACTGTTGTGGTGCATCGCTCAATCAGTTTGAACCCTCTGCAAACTCCTGTCGTCAAAATGAAGTCCAATTATCCGAATGTTCCGGATAACATAACCCACCAATCACCGCCATTGCACCGATACATTCAAAGCGCGAAATGGACACTCGTCCGGCGGAGAAAGTCGTGCTGCGCGAGTACACGGAGTACCGCTTTGAAGTGCACGGAGATGAAGAGGTGACGATCCGGCTGCATTCAGGCACCGCCGAGCTGTTCGGCGTAGAGTTGGCGAAGGAAAAGGAGTACCATTTCCGCAAATGTCAAGTGGCCATCTTCACTTACCACGGGTGCGAGCTGAGCCTCCAAGGGGAACGTGCGTCTGCGTACACGTCATCGGATGAAACGCCCATGCCTCCCATCGTGAACATCCACACACAGCTGGACCAAATCCGTCGTCATGCATTGGAGACCCGCGGCGCAGGCCCTCGCGTCCTCGTGACAGGTCCGTCGGACACGGGCAAGTCCACGGTGTCACGTATCTTGCTCAATTACGCGCTCCGAATGTCCATGAAGCCGACGTTCGTCGACTTGGACGTCGCGCATGGGTCGTTGAGCGTTCCAGGGACCGTCGCCGCGACCCCGCTGGAAATGAACTGCCTCAGTGTCGAAGACGAGTTCATCCTCACGGCGCCGTTAGCGTACTTCTACGGACATGCCGAAGTGAAAGAGAACCCTGAGCTGTACAAGCATCAAGTGTCGGAGCTCGCGACCCGTGTCAACGAACGACTAGCCAACGACGCCGACGGTAGGACCCCACCATCGCCTCAACCTCCCTCAACCACTCATGTCATCTAGTGAACGCATCGGGGGTGATCATCAACACGTCTTCGTGGATCGATGGCGCGGGGTACCAAGTGCTTCTCCACTGTATCCAAGCCTTCCATGTGGATTTGGTGATTGTGCTCGGTCAAGACAAACTGCACAGCGAACTCCAGCGCGACCTCGCGTCCACTGCATCCACGTCCGTGATCAAACTGCCGCGGTCGGACGGCGTCGTGCAGCGGTACGCGGCCAATCTTCGATAACCAGTGACTCCATTGTTCATGTCGAGTGTAGATCCAATCAACAACGGCATCAGCTGCGCATGGATCGGTTCCACGAGTACTTTTACGGCAAACACTTGCACTCGACGCTACCGATGCAGTCGCCGTTTGAGTTTGCCCCGCATTCCGTCGACTATGACGTGGACGACCTCCACATCTACCGCATCCAAGGTCCGTTGTGTTCGTGTTTACTAATAGACTATACCAAGTGCAATATGGAGAGAGCATCGGTCGTTCAAGTTTGTATGTCGAGCTAACGAACGAACGATATCTGTAGACTTGAGTGTGTCCCAAGTGATGCTGCCAGTGGGCCAGACGCATGACATGGTTCGGCTGCGCGTCGTGCCGGCCGACCTGACGTCGGATCTGAACCACTGCATGGCCGCCGTGAGCCATCCGCCCAGTGGCAACGGCGACCGCAACGACGACGACGACGAGCAGCAGCTCCTCGGCTCGAGCGCCGCCGGCTTTGTGCTCATGTACGACCGACAAATGTCTTCTCCTTCGTAACTAACACGTGTCCAACGAGTAGCAAGTCGGTCAACGTCGCGCAGGGCAAAGTGACGTTGTTGGTGCCGTGTCCTGGCCCGCTCCCGTCCAAGAACTTGATTGTCGGGACCCTCAAGTTTATGGAATAACTAGTATTAATCCATAGTACTCGTTGCTCGTTAATCCAACAACGGACAACCACTGGTATACTATAAATGTTGTATTGGGCCAACATTTATACTACATAGTAATATGTAGTAGTAGTTAGTTAGACGACCGACTATGGAATAACTACAGTAGTATTAATCCATAGTACTCGTTACTCGTTAATCCAACAAACCACACAACGGACAACTACTGGTATATAGGGCCAACATTGATACTACATAGTAATATGTAGTAGTAGTTAGTTAGACGACCGACTACTACATGATTATTACTACTACATAACTGTTAGTAGTAGTGAGTACTAGTAGTACTGTAGTTAGTTACACGACCGACTATAGTATTACGACGACGGAGTGCCTTCGTGGGTCTTTTCGTCGACCAGGTCGACACAGTTTTCGACGAAAAAGTCCTTGTCGAACCCGGACGTGGTGTTGTCTTCTTCGAAGCTGCCCTTGTACACGAGCAGCAGCTGCTCGTCGTTCTTGCGCGCGAGGGACTTGAGCGTCTTGTACACGTCTTCGGAGGGGAACGCGCCTTCCTTGTGCAAGTGGCTGAGCACGCGAAGTAGGTCCGCGCCGTCCGTGGGGGTCGAATCGGACGCCGTGATCGCGGTCGATGACTTCTTGTGCACTGCAGCAAGCAGTGAGAGTCGATGGCTGTAGATAGACAGTACCTTCGATTTCGTCAGGATGTTCGGTGAGGGCCGTGAGGAAAGGAGCGATGTCGTCTTCTGTGGGCACGATCACGGCCAACACTTCGTTCGGACGCACGTGGTCAGACTTGGCAGGAACAACTACATCATCATGCAGAGTGAGAAGTCGCGGAAGTTTGACAGATCGTACAGATCTTGGCGAGGTACCCCTCGTCTTCGCTCTCGAGACTAAAGAGGAGGTCAGGCGTCTCAACTTCGCAGATCGGCTTGCCGGGGCCGATCTTGTCGCCTTCGTTGGCAAACCATCGGAGCAACTTGGATCCCTCAATTGTTTGCGTGATATCCATGTCCAACATGCGGATCTTGATATGATCAGGGAGTTTGCTCGAGTTAGCGTGGCACCATCGTCGAGGTCCACGGACAGCCACCGTCGCCGTCTGCAACGAAGCGCGTCGAAGAAGCAACATGCCAATTTGAGTGTTGGCCGCCGCGATTGGGCCGTCGTCATTGGTTGAAATTAAACCTCGGATACTTTATAATTGCGATAGGCTATTAATAGTATTAATGTAATAGTCCTGTGACAATTAGAAAGGTCTCAGCTTATCAATACATGCTCGCTTCCTTGTCGGCGTCAAAGGCGACGCTCCACGACGGTGGCGGCTTGAACTGATTCGACGGCGGATGCACGTAAATGTTGCCAAGAGCAGCTTGCTGCCTCAATAAATAGTCCAACTTGCGCGTGCCTTCCATCATTTGGCGGCACTCCATTCGCGCCTTGGCCAGCTGTAGCTTTTCGTGGCCCAGCGCGGCGTTGGCGCGTTCAAGCGCTGTCTTTTCCCGCTCCACCAGCTGGAATTTATGGTCGTGGTCGGCGGTTTGCTGGGTAGATTGTCTCGACAGCGCATTGAATTTGTCTTGTAGCTCGGCATGGGCAATTTGTAGTTGCTCCAAAGCCCGTACCACGTCCTGCACACATCAATCTCGTCGTCAGCATGTTAGTATCAGATGTATGTATATTGGACGAACTGTGTGACTTCGAGATTTCTCGAGTGTCGAAGCACTCAGCGCCAGCACTTCCCGCTTGCGTGCGTTGACCGTGTCTTCATCGCGAGCCAGCTGCAGCAACCGGTCGTGGCATTGCTTTGCTTGAGCTTCTACTGTGATTTCATCCTGCACCTACGAACACAACTATAGGTGCAGATATCAAGGAAAACCTCCTTGGTGTACCAATTTCAGTCGTTTTTCTTCCAATTGGGTCCGCAACGCGTCCACTTTGCCTCGCTCTTCGTCCAACCGGGCATTTTGCGTCGCCAAACTCGTGAGCAGTTGGCGGCGTTGGTCGTCGATGGCATCTCGTTCGCGAAACACCTGACCCCCACGACGGACGATAATCATGCCAATGGTCGTATGCTCGTCATTACCTTGATTGCTTCGTCGCGAATCTTGGCATCCGCCCGTTCTTCGGCTTGGATGCGCTGCTGTTGCGCCATTGCCAGTGCCTAGTGATCCATGCTCCCATGAGATGGTTATGGGTTGGAAGGACTCTCGACCTTGTCGAATCGGTCGCGTTCCCGTGTTGCCTTGTCTTCCATTTCTCGCTTGTCTTGGAGCAGCTTTTCTTCGAGCTTTTCGTAGCGTTCGCGCTGGGCCTCGACGATCAGCCTGTAATTCTCGGGCAACTCGATGCGTTCTTGGTGTCGTTCCGCTGTCGCTTTGTCCATCGCCTCCTGGCATGGGATGTAAAGACGAATGACAGTTGGTGGTATATCGTACTTGCATGCACTGCAACTTGACCAAGCATCGTTGCTCGACAACTTCCAAGGCAACTTTGTGGTCGAGCATGGCCTTTTCGTATTTTTGCTGGGTGTGCTGCCGCACGTCCACCGCCGCTTCGAGTTTGCCGTTGAGCGCGTGGATGTCCTGCAGTGCCGATTGGTATTTGTCCGACAACACACGATGTCGCTCTTCGACCACTCGTTTCTCTGCGTCGCAGGCTTCGAATGTTGTCTGCAGCAACTCCATGGCCTGGGTCTACACACCATGAATTTCCGTGCCCTCTTTCCATTGAAATTGGGGGACTTACTTGGGCCATCATGACAGACTCCAACGCCACGTACTTGGCCTCGACGTCTTGCAGCGTTTGTTTGGTTGTGACCAGCACCAATTCATGCTGCAGGCGACGTTCGTCTGCTCGTTTTTTCTTTTGCTGAAACTTTTCCGACCGCAACCGCTTTTCGTCGACGTGGCGCTGCTGCAAAAAGCGCAATTCGTTTTTGAGGTCGTTGTTCGTGCGCGTTAGCTGGGCGTGCTGGTGCTTGAGCGCGTCGTTTTCGTCCAACAACTGGGTCTCCAGCTGCCGAATGTACCGGCTGGCTTCTCGCGTTGGAGGGTTGGTGGAGGCTTCATCGATTCGAGTGAGGGGTGGAGACGGAGGAAGCTGCGCGGGGGACAGTTTCGGTGGCTTTGGCGGGGACTTCTCAATGGCCCGAGGGGGGGGTGGGGGGCGCGTGGGGACGGACAGGTTCACGTGATGCCGAGGGCTGCTCGCGCGGCCACTCTCGTTCTCAAACGACGCGTCGCCGTACCCGTCGTCGTCTTTCTCAAACTCGTCGTCTCCGTAGTCGGGTTCTTCATCGTCATCGTCGACGATAGGAGGGGTTTTAGAGACTTTTGGTGGAAGTGTGGCAACAACCGCCTTGATGGGTTTCGTGGGCGGCTGAGACGGTAATACTGTTTTCCCCTTAACCATAGCTGGTTTGACAGGGGACGGTGCCAAGTCCTCATCAAAGTCCACACTGTACGCCTGATCATCCTCGACACCGGCGATTTCTTCATCCGACGCGATCTCTTCTGCTTCGGCGTCGCTATCCATCGGCTAGTCGTAGCAATCTTGCGCCAAGTAACAGGATGGACGTTACATTGAAACGGCTGGCTGGCGGCGGAGAACGAAGCATGCATGCGTGCAAGTAAATGACGATTCTAAGGGGTGACTGAAATGCACTTCAACCCAGCTAATGCTGCAGCTACAGAATTGGGGACGCGTGAGGCAGGTTCAAGACGATAGCGAGGTTTTGGCTACTATAGGAATGTGCCCCAGACATCGCAGCTGCATTCGTGCAAGTGATTCCCACCAGTTTCTTATGGTGTCATCTTGACGATATCTCTAAGTGGTACATACGCTACACGCTGAGGGCAAGGGCATGCATGTCGTCGTTCTTGCAGGCATCAATTGATGCCTACAAGACCCAGCCGGACTGTGATTGGTCTATCAAATAATCAAGCGCGTTCTGATTGGAGCCAAATTCAATTCATATGAGCATTGGATTGGCTATAAAGCAGTAGCAATAACGCATCGGATTGGTGGAGAGTTGACGTTACTGTAAGCTTACGATTTGTATATGATACAAACATCCAGTGTGCAAATACCGAGTTTTGACTGGTTGTTGGTTTTACTGGTTGGTTGGTGGCTGGGTTGGGGCGAAAGGTGGCGGTGGCCCATGTTCAGGTTATTTTTGCAAGGTAGCGCAGGTTGAAATATGCAGATTTTCGTCAAGACTTTGACTGGGAAGACCATCACGTTGGACGTGGAACCGTCCGACTCGATTGACAACGTCAAGCAAAAGATCCAAGACAAGGAAGGCATCCCGCCTGACCAGCAGCGCTTGATCTTTGCCGGCAAGCAATTGGAAGATGGCCGCACCTTGAGCGACTACAACATCCAAAAGGAATCGACGTTGCACTTGGTGCTCCGCCTGCGCGGTGGTGGTAAGGTGCACGGTTCGCTGTCTCGTGCCGGTAAGGTGAAGAACCAAACCCCCAAGGTGGCCAAGAAGGAAGACACGAAGAAGCAAAAGCGTGGCCGCGCCAAGAAGCGCATCCAGTACAACCGTCGCTTCGTCAACGTCGTGGGCGGCGCCGGCGCCAAGAAGTTGGGCCCCAACTCCAACGCCCCCAAGAACTAAGTTGTTGATCCAACTCTGTCCTTGTCGACCTTTGCATAGGGGAGAGCGAGCGACTTCTCTCTCTCTCGGTCCTTAGCACACCTTGTTTAATACAGCATGCCTCGAACGTGCATGTTTCCGCCGAGTTTCAACCCTCAGCTGCCTCCTTTGTGTGTGTCTTTGCCGGGCGCATTGTCGTCGCATTCCAGGACATGTTGCACAGACGCTTCATTCCTTTCAAGCCAGACTGTTCAACCCTTCGTTTGGGTTTGTGTTCCAAGCAAGCAGGTTGGCGTACGAATGAATTCAGTAGGCACGACGTGTAGCCAGCTAGCTAGCTACAGCTAACGGTGGAAGCATGGCCAGTTCCTGTAGCGTGGGCATGTATGTACTCACGAATATCATCATTCAGCCTGAAAGTGACCTATGGAAGGCATTGCCCCGAACCCAAGACGGCACTTGAGTAATTGTAACATTGTTTAAGTCCTAGATTGATCACATACACGTAACTTAGTATACGTATCGCACTTGCTTGGTAACTATGGGCTTGTTTATCATATCGTACGTACTACATACTAGAAACTAGTAGTACATTAATATTAGTTAACGTTACTTGAAGTGATGGGTGAGGTTATGAAAGCACGTTTGGCGCAGCAAGTCGACTTGTTTTTGCGACTTGGCGCAATTCACCTACAAGTTACCGTCATCGGTCCATCCACCAACCCCTTGATCGCCCCACACTCACCACTCAACTTACATGTACGTACCGTGGGGATGATCTTCGTGGGCTTGAACGCTGTAACGAACGCGCACAATTCTTCAAAGCTAGAGTGTTCGCTACATAGCCGCCATCATCATCATTCTCGGCATTACGACACACTGCTTGATATCCGCAGGGGTATTTTTTCATAACCAAGATGGACCTATACATGTACATATGTACCTGTACGGGATGCCGTAGATGATGAGCTTGCCGTCCATTTGCATGCGCGTAGACGACAGCTTGTGCTTTTTGCCTGAAAACGTCCACCCCGTGGGCTGGAATGCAATCACTTTGTGGAAGCGCAGCCGGTGCTTGGTGAGAAGCCCCCCCATCACGTCAAAGTTCAAACTGCGCATGGGCACTACATGCAAGCTACACGAGGCATTCCTCACCACGCAGAAGCAGATGAAATATGCTACGTACTTTGTCGCAGACGACTCGAGTGTTACCATGGCCTACGCCTCACGCTGTCACATACATGCGTATATATATATCACTAGGAATGCACTGCTGACCATGTCTTCGTCCGGCCAGTCAAAGCACGACAGAAGCGAGTACTTGGATCGCTCGACGTATACCTTGCGTTGTAAATGCCGAGCAATCTAATATATTTCAATGAATAATAATATATATATATATATATATATTGGAAATATATTTTTGTGGGAAAGAAAACACAAATAGATGTACAGACGTACATCCATAAACAACCGCTCTTTGCCTATCGAGTACGACCCAAACAAAAACAGCGCTCGGTCCGCGTCGTGCAAATTCACAAGGCGCTTGGCTTCGTCGATCGCGACTGTCTACCATGGTACATATAGATATTTATCACTTCAAATATATATATATATATATATCACTTGTAGGGCAAAGTGTACTAACTTGAGTGGGGTGGCAATGCTGTGGTTCGCAATACGTCGTGTCTAAGTACACGCCGTCCAGTGCCGGCGATTGGTGCGCATATCGCATCAGAAATCGATTGTCGAGCATGGTCGGGTCATATCGAAAGTCGCCTGTGATAACAAAATATATTCCCATGTGAACGCTATTAAAAATAATATATATTTATGGATGTGGGTTGGGCTACACCAATATATATATATATGGTGTTTTTGACGTTCTATTGATATGATTTTCATGCCACACCTGTGTGCAAGTACGTTTTGCCGCCGCGTAGCTGAAACAAAAAGAGCGCCGCGCCAGGACAATGGTTGGCTTCGATGAGCGTCACTTGTCCTTGCTGGTCGGCCAGCACATGCGGTTGATTCAGCGGCAGCGGATGAATATATTTCCTGCACAGATAATCAATATTATTTATTATTAATACCATTGCCAAGCAAACACCTCAAATCCAAATCATAGATTTTAACACACATACTTCGATAGCAACGTATAGTAGATAATATTTACAATATTAATGTTGTGGACTCGGTACAAGTTTCCAGACCCCCGTCGAATAATCGAATATCGCGCTGCAGAATTGAATAATCACGAATCGACGCGATTGGCTAATCCAATTTTGAGTGGATTTGATTGGCTCTTACAGAAAGGACAAGTATATTCAACCAATCAAAACTCGAGCGAGAATCAATATTGATGACTAAGCAAACCACACGAATTTTGAAAGTTCATAGCGAATTCACAATACCTTTGTCAAGCAAAATTGAACCAACTCATGTCTCTTAACACTCGTACATCGATAGTAACAGATGTACATATGATTTAAAACACTATTAATACCATTGCCAAGCAAATAGTAACTCTTTAAATCACAGATTTTAGCACACGTACTTGTTGACACCGAGGCAGAGCAGCACCAACTTGGCCGTCACGGCCGTGCAGTAGATCACCCCCGCGGAAAACGACTAGACATATGAATTCATTATCATGACGAGGAACAAGACTACGATCTCAAGATCGCCCTTTTGAATGTTTAGAACAATGAATGATAAGAATAATATTTATAGTACGAAATATATATAAAATATCTTCAAGGTGTTTTTTAAGTGCAACACATACTTTTGTGGAAAACTATATAGTCTAAGTACATTGTCAACGTACTTTGGACAGACCAGTGTAATGGTCCGAGTGGAAATGCGATAAAAAGTACACTTTCGACAGCGATGGCTTGGCATATTGGAATCCGTCGACGACGATCGACGAGCCTGCGATGAGTTTGTACTGCGGACACGGCATGCCCTCCTTGGACTTGAAGGACCAAGCCCCTCCCCCTCTTTGTCCTCCTGATGGCTTGCGCTTCTTGGACGAAGGAGGGGGCGGCTGCAATATCCCCATAGTCGACGTGGGTACTGTCATGGACGACGTCTGGGCGTTCTTCATGAGCATGTCGAAGGCATTCGGGGTCGAAACAGCGGGCTTGTTAGTGGCGAGATCGACTTGGGGGGGCGGCGAAGGGGCTTCGTCGTCGTCTACAAGGCCCAATGCTGGTGTTAGAACTCTACACGTTGAGTACGTCGAGGCAGGGGATGCAAGAACGATGACAATATATATATATATATATTTACCAATGCGCAACGTGTGCAGAGTCACGCCAAACCGGCGACCGCATTGTTTGACGTGATTCACGCGCTGCGAAGAGGTTTTGGTCACGAGGTCGACGCCGCATACGGTGCAGGGCATGACGGCAGGCGTCGAGGGTGCAGACTGGCCAATATGCGTTATAGCGACCGAAGAAGTCGCTGAGGATCTGGCTGACGTTGCTTTGTTGTGTGCAAACTGTTCGAGCTGGTCCAAACACGCATTCACGTGCTGCAGCTGGCCTCGTTCGTTGAGAAACGTAAGGACCTTCCCACATGAAGGACATTGCACTGCTGGCGATTGTAGTGACGACGAGGCTACACGAGGATGGGAGCTGATCGGGCCGACGATACGTTGGGTCGCTGGGATGATGTCATCGTCGTCCGAGTCGGAGAACGCAACGACGGCGTCGGCGTCTTGGCGTGATGTCAGAGTGGCATCCCGACGATTCGAAGGGGGTGTTGTGATTTTGACGCACGCCGCTTGTATGGCCTCTGTTGAAGCAAAGGAGTTGAGGGCACGAAATTCAGTGGCGCCCAATGCTGCTTTGGGTGTCGGTGAAGCACGGAATACTTCGATCACTGGGTCGGCTTTGACATCACTTAAACGTGCCAATTCTGATGAGCAATGGTACGGCGAAGTAGCAGCAGTGGATGCATCCACTTTTGGTGCTGATGGCAGGTCCAGGCGTCTTTCGAGATCTTCGTTGATTGCTGGGGTGGTTGATCGTGGTGGACTGAGTTCATCCACGGACCAGGTGTGCATCATTGGGCATTCAGTGGTGCTGTTACGCTGAGTTGCCGGTGGTGCTGCTGCAGTGGGTTCGTCGTTGTTTACCACCTCCTCATCGCAGTACCGCAGGGATAGTAAATGGCGCCGACTCATCTTGAAGCAGATTTCATTCCTCACGCGGCAAAGTCGGGCAACAAGTTGATTGGATGAAATATGTAGCATTTAGACCAATGGATGCTGCGCTTGGATTTCGACATAATTCACAGTCCAAAAAGCGCATAACGTTATATTGGGACGTTATATTGGGTCCACAACCAACAGCAACCTCCAGTAACGTTAGCACCATCTCTAGCTCAAAACTAAGACGAACCTTCGTGTTCATGCCGCCTACGCACTGTCATTGTCCTGTCCACGCAGTCAATCCAATTGCATCGTTATCCAAGCTTAACGTTATTGCCAAACAACGTGAACTATTTTTGGCATTGTATTTTGACTGGAGCCAGTTAATACTCAAAGCATACAAAATGCAAGATATGGTGATGTCATTAAAGCACGTTTTATTCGCTTTGTCATTGAACCCATGGAAAAATCTACCAATCAGCGCCGCGATGCTGTTGTCGTCTGCTACCAGGATTCCAACGAGTTTTCGAAGCGACAGCATGACCGATGCTCCTCAGACCCCCACGGACACGCATGCGTACACCAAGGCAGACTCATCCACGAATGCCACCATCTCGCCATTCAAGCGAGAACCTTCCCCAGATTTTGAGCCTGACAACACAACCCCGCACAACACTGCTAAACCTCAGGAATGTCCACCGCCAGGCGCCGCCACTTGTGTCCGCAGATTTGGTCGGTGGTACGTGGGCGACAAAGGAACAACGGGCAAACGGTACTGCGGCGCGCGGATATCCCGTGGTCCGTTTATCTGGTTGCATGTGGTTGGAGTGTTTGTTGTCGTGGCGTTGATCGTGATCCCGATTTTCACCGCTGTGGTCGTGCCCAAGATGATCCAGGCCAAGTTCGACGAAGCCATTCGTCTCAACCCGTTCAACGAGGTCAATCGAAGTGCGCCGTCGTCGATTCCGCCGACATCACCATCATCAGCTTCGTCGTCGATGCCTTCGAGCTTTGAGGTGTTGCCAGACGGCAGCGCTGCCGACTTTCGATTCAACCTGACATTGGGACCTCTCATGAGCATTGGCGGTATGCTTGAAAATCATAATACCAGCCACCTATCCTCACGCGTCGATGATGTATCTGTAGGCACGGTGGAGCTGGTAGGCCCCACGACGTTTTACATTGCCGACACGGACGAACACGAGTGGGCTGCAGTCACCATCTTGCACTCGGTGTCGTTCCCAGTGTCGTCGGCCACCCACTTGTCCATTCTGGGCAACTTTAGTGTCTTTGACACCCCCAGTCAAGCGTGCATCGACGCCATCTTTCCCACAAAGACCATCGCGTTGGTCATTCACACACAGTGGACGATTTCGTTTTGGGGATTCAACTGGTACCGCAACCTGCCCCTACATTCTCGCTACGACATGCCGCTGTCGACCACGCTACAGGAACAGTTTGACCATGTCATGCAGCAGCATCCGTTTGCTTCTTCGTCGTCCCCCAAAGGCACGTCATCTTTACCGCCATCCCCATCGTTGAATAATCAGAGCGTGGCGGGTGAGTCCACGACTGCGACGACGTTCGAGTACTTTTCAAAAGGCACTTTGCCGTGGAACTTTCGCATCAACACGACGATCGCCAACCTCACCGTCCTCCCGGGCATCGTCGAGATCGTAGGCCCGACTGTGTTTGCCATCTCAGACGTGAAAGGCAAAGGCTGGGCCAACGTCACGTTTGACTCGGTGTTGTTCCCGCTCCACAAAACCACACGCTTGTCAGTGTATGGGAACTTTAGCATTTACAGCCTCCCCACGCCCTCGGTCGTCGCGGCCATCGTCGCCACCAACCAGTTTGTCATGGTTGTCCATACTTGGTGGACCATCAAAGCGTTTGGAAACGTGTGGTTCCCGAAGCTGCAGCTGCAGTCCCACTTCGACCTGAATTCAGACACAGGCGCGCAGTTGTGGTCGTCGATCAAATGCAGGATCTACACTTGTTAACAGACGTGGACGATCTAGTTGTTGTTGTAGTACAGTATGTGGGAGGCATCGGAAACATATTAGGGAAAATGAGGGAAGGAGATGAACCCATGGAAATACTTATGGCCATATTTTTTCCAGCTGCCAAATTTATTTCCCTGATTTGAAACGTTGCCCCCATTATGGACCCTTATGGAAAATATGGCCATTACTTTCAGTTTGCATCGACATTGCTATTTCTACACACTCGGTATCCCAAAATCGTTGGTTTACATGCAGAAACAAGAGCATTTCGACGTGGAGGGGGGTACACACGTTGGCGCTAATCGGTAAGAATCATGTTGGCAGTAGAAAACAATCGCTCGACGATGTTTGAAGTTCATGACTTTCAGTTGCAGGCGCCTCAGTTGAAACTGAGGTGCTCCTCAACGAACCAACAGCCAAAGCTTCGTCTTCAGTCAACGCACTGATGTTGCCATCCATGATTATGAAAACACCACTTTCCAAGCATGGATTGTTGACGATGTTTGCGCCGAAGCCCCGAAAGTTTTCATGGTCGAAGCGGTTTGTGTTAATCGATTATTGTTCAGTTGGCCAAGGGCTCTGCCACAAATGATCGATTGACTTTTCGCCATATTTATAATATGTATGTAGTACACTACTGTAGTGAGCTTTGAGAGGCCAGAGGGATATTTCATGCCAACTGGCTACCGAATTTTAGAGAATTCAGAGTTAAGAAGCGTTTTTATATTTATTATAATTACTTAGTGAAATACACTTAGAATTCAACATTAGGTAAAAAACAATTAATTTCGACTTCTAGGGGCCTGGCCACTTAGCTCTTGAAGCGCCGTGGAAGAATGCGCAGGTCGTTCATAATAGCCAATGATTTGTTGATTATTATCTGCATATTGGCCTTTCCATACAAACACCAAGTGTCATGGTCAATTTAATCGACCAATTGCACGAAGATCTTGAGGATGTTTCCTGGTTTCAGTGCGCTACCGTGTTACTCGCTGGCATGCGCTGATGCGGCATTTTCCAAATCATCATGATGTACGCAACCGGTCAAGGCAACATCGTGGACAGAACTGCTGCCGGTACGACTTCCGAGGACTTGACGGAAGGTAGCTTTGCATCCAACAGTGGCTGGTGGAGCGACGACTCGGACGAGGGTGAACGCCATAGCATCATGATGGACACTGGGACGACAAAGCTACCATCGCCGCCTTCTGAATCCATGGCGTCGTACCTGGACAAGCTATATTGCATGCTGGAATCGTGCCCTGCGACCGTCGTCTCGTGGTCGCGACATGGCACAGCGTTTGCCGTGTACAACAGGGACGTGTTCGAGACCACCGTCCTCCCCCACTACATGTCCCCAGTCAAGTTTGATAGGTTCGTACGACAGCTTACCTCGTACGGGTTCCGCAAAGCCAAATACACAGTGAACGGGATGGCGGTGTGGGAATTTCGTCACCCGAACTTTGTCAAAGGCCACCAGCAGCAAACTATAATCCGTCGTCGAGGTCGCGGGCCACGTGCCGCCCCTGAGGTGCCTGCTGCAAGACTTAATCGTCCACCAGACCGCCAGCTCAAGTCGGCGTTGATTGACATGATGGCCGTGGTGCGGAACCTCAAGTCCGAGTTGGCGGACACAAAGGCGCTGGTGATTGCATATGCTCGATTGCATCATGGCAATAAGGAGTAAATCAAATTGTATGTAAAGTCACAGGTTATTTAGGTAAAGAGGTCTTTACTATCTCGATGTTTTCCACATGGGAAACCGGTGGGAGTACACACCGATGGACGTAATATACAGTTAACTGCCCAATCGAGGTCTTTCATGTTGTAATGTACAATCAATTGCCTTCCTCAACTTGTGCATTGATTTGGCGCCTGTTGAAAGCAATCCTCTTTAGACAGCCTTAACTAGAATCTCCATTGGATAGGCGGTGCATTATTGCAGGTTTCGCCATAGATTCACATGAGGAATAAATACTACGTACGATTCAAAGTAGTATTAAGCATTTTAATGTCTATGTGAACGAAAAGACTTGGGTTTAGGAAGCTTCGTTTGCATGTCTTTATAAAATAAGAAAATACTGTACCTTGGATAATTAATACCTTACAGCACGTGTTCCAAAAAATGTCCACAATGATCATCTTACGTCGGAACGTCATTTATGAGTACAGTAAAAGTCCATGACCACGTGTGCAAGCACTTTGTGTTTGCGCTAATTCGATGAGCGACATGAACGAAGATGTCGTCGACAACGAAGACGAGCCTTTGGGGGCAGCTGTCCCTGACATCCCCGTAGGCATACTCCCCGACTTGAACCACATGGAAGGCACATATTTGGAAAGACTGTACGCGATGTTGGACCAGTGCTCGCCTGCAATAGCGTCATGGACCCCCAACGGCACAGCATTTGTTGTGTACGACGTCGAAGCTCTGGAAGCCACGGTCCTGCCTCAATTCTTCAAGCCCATCAAGTTTGCATCGTTTGTGCAGGCACCGCAACTCGTACGGGTTTCGTAAAGTCAAGTGCGTGACAGAAAGCTCCGTGTTGCATGGGTTTCGTCATGCGACGCTGGTACGAGGGAAAGCGCACGAGGCGCATGCTGTTCAACGCCGCCAGCGCCCCCGAAGACCCGACCTAACACCACCCCCTACGGACGACGTGTTACTGCAAGAAGTCATGGCGCAAGTTAATCTATTGCGCAACGACATGGCCACCACGAAATCCATGCTGAAGACCCTTCTCGAGCTAGAGGACCTGAAATAGCCAGTCTCCGGTTCTCGGTGACGAAATGCTAGGCCACTAAGTAGCATCCATCAACCGTACGCGCCCGAGATTTGGCACTACGTCGCAGCAACGTTGCACGAAATCCTCGTCGCACTTCAAGATGTATAACTAATTCATGACAATGAACTCTGATTCAGTCCCCAGTGTGTGTGCTGTGCACGTGTCTGAGAGGCACTACATGCATGCATTACATGCACTATTCATTGGCAATTCCGTGGACTCTTGCTTAGCTGGGGCAGTGCGGACTCGATGGATGACTTATTTACGTGGTCGGATCAAAGAAGTTGAAGCACCACTGTTGTTCATGTGTCAAATCGCCCACAAGCACCAAGAGATGCCTATATTACCCATCGAATTTTCCAGAGTTGCGACTTTGTCATAACGTCGCAAGGCTCAACCACTTGGGGGGGTCAACCGGGCAACAATGCGGAAGACAACTGACCTCAAACCAATGAATGATCTTGACCAAGTCTAATATGGTGGCTGTGGGCTATATACGATGAGGGGGGGTTGCCTCTTCTCTGGAATACTACGATATATTCCCGAGCTGGCAGTCAATGTGTCGTTTGAAAACACTACTCAACACCAGTGTTGATCTCACAGGACCATCTTAGTTTTTGAATTACATAACGTGAGCAAGGTGTGCCTCGATGACGTTCCGTCGTGAAATCACACATGGATATCACACCTTCGACGGCATGTTCCGTCGTGAGGGGTTGATATTCCGGCCTTGGGCATTTAACCTCTTCAAAGAACATCGTGTACTTTCAATTGAAATATCTTGACTTGACAGACCAATTAAAGTCTGACTATTAAAATAACAGGTGCACTCAATCCCCCCCAGCTGTTTGGCTGGATTTTTCGCCTTGCTTAGGCTATGAGTCCATTTTCAGGACCGCCCATATAAAAATATTGCCCTCGCCTTTGTCATGGTATATCCCGACAGCATGGACGCCGACCTGTCCGAGTTTCTCCTGGAGGGGAGCTTTGAGCAAACGTCGGACGACGTCGGAAGCAGCGACGACGCCATCGATTACGACGCATCCACAGAATCCCATTTGAATCAGTATGCTTTCCCCGTTCCCCGTGTAACCATTCAAGAGGAGTTCCATGCGATGCACCGCCCGAATTTTGCAGAACGCACCACAAAGTACTTGGAAAAGCTGTACACGATGCTGGAGCAATGCCCCGAGTCCATCGCGACGTGGACCCAACACGGCCGTTCGTTTGCTGTCCTCGACGCGAACGCCCTCGAGCGCACCATCATCCCCAAGTTTTTCAAACCGATCAAGTTCGACAGCTTTGTTCGGCAGCTGAACTCGTATGGATTCCAAAAAGCCAAGTACACGGTCGCCAACAAAGCCGTGTTTGCGTTCCGACACGCCAACTTCGTCCGGGGAGAGTCCCACCTGCTCCAAGCCATCCAGCACCGACGCCGAGGCAAACGAGAACAACTCCTGACGGCCCCCGTCGTCGTTCCCGACAACGTGGTGGTGGTTGCAGCTCCATCTCCTGACGCACCCATCACATTGGAATCAATCGTGTCGTTTGTCCGAACACTTCAGCAGGAACTGGCCGACACAAAAACTCTCGTGCATGCCCTCATGGCTTGCCAGCCGCTCCCTCCAACTTCACCTGATCGATCATAGTGTAATCCCTCCCAGTGATAAGCGCGATAAACTGACAATTGGACAACCATGACTTGTCCCACCAAGGACTAAGTAGCACTGTACTGTAGAATGAGATAAACTTCAACGACATACTTCATTAGTACGTACTAGTACACATCAGTGCAGAGCATTTTCAGCTCCAAACTGACCAGTCAAGTCCCTTGGACACACGATCAAACGATTCAGCAAAGTGAGGAGGTACTTGAACCCTTTCGACATGATTCCTGTACTTATCATTGCCTCAACACGTCGGCAGACTCCGCATGGTGGTATCTCGACTTTTGACGACGCTAGTTTCATATCAGTATGGCATTCATCTGTTCCGTCTCCGACGGATATGTAGGTTCTGCAGGTCCATGAATGGTGTATATCGTTGGTTGACGACGCATCCAGCCAACCAGCCTTGCATCATCCATAGTACATACATGTTGATGGTGCTGCTAACAGGACTAAGCGCGGCATGTGGTTTGTGATCTCGTGCCGCACGGGTTGGCAATTTGCCAAAAAGGACATGCGATGATGTTCCGGCCTGTAACGAAGTTCCGCCGTCACACACCCATTGCAGCTGTACTACGTTCCGTCCCTGGCGTGCCATGTTCCGCTGTGCCGAGCGCAGGTATTTGGTATTTTAAGATTGAAAGTGACTAAGCAACAATAAAACTACGGATTAAAATTGATTCAAGTTTCCCCGCCGCCTGTTTTTCTGAAACCACCCTGACGTTTCTTCAATAATGGCCTGTTTTTAACAGACCTTTCATTTTCGATTTCGACCAGTCCACCCCAAGAAGTCGCTGCTTCTACCATCATGCCGTTTGACCACCACCACCACCACCACTCCCTCCTCCTCGACTCGACCGACGCCGACATCACCCAGCTACTGAACGAAGGCATCTTCGAGTACACGTCGAGCGGCGCCGGCAGCGAAGACTCGATGGACTACGACGACGCGACGTTCTTGGACGTGGAGCCCATCGCCACAACGTGGAGCAGTGCCGACGAGAAACAATTGTCGGCGACGACGCTTCAAGACCTCAACTTTGCCGAACGCACGACCAAGTACCTGGAGAAGCTGTACGTGATGCTGGAGCAATGCCCGGAAGCAATTGCCGCGTGGACGAAGAACGGCACGTCGTTTGCCGTGTTCAACAGCGACCTGTTGGAGAAGACGATTTTGCCCCAGTTTTTCAAACCCATCAAGTTTGAAAGCTTTGCCCGACAACTCAACTCGTACGGGTTCCGCAAATCCAAGTACAACCTCCAGAACAAGGTCGTGTTTGAGTTCAGCCACGGGGACTTTGTGCGCGGTCAGTCGGACCAACTCCAGTCCATCAAGCGCCGCCGACGCGTCAAGCGCGGCAATGCAGCGACTTCGTCTGTGGCAACGATACTGCCAGTTGCCGAAAGCCAAAACGGCGACGTCCAAGCCACCTTGCGCGAACTCATGTCGTTTGTACAGTCGCTTCAAGCTGAACTCGCAGACACGAAGGCTTTGGTGCAGAACCTGCTGGAGAAGAAGACGGTGGCTATTTAACGCCAAGCAACCTTGACTCCATAGACTCGTTAGGTTCATTAACTTATTTAACACGCCCATTTGCTTCCTCTACTCCGTGTGTCTTTCCATGATGCACTTCAGAAACGTCCATGCGATCCGTCGGCAGACGGCAGTTTCGCGTCCTTAGGGTATTTTACCCCGAAACAGCACTCAATACAAAGTACTTGTATAAAGCCATACTCCAGGAAATCACCTTAAACAGTAGATTCGACCTTTCATTTAATCCTAGTTCTAAGCTTGGGCGATCCGCCTTGAATCTATAATATTTTCGAATCTACGCGAATGACCAACGTACGAACTTCCCCTATAACGTTATTTGGTTTTACTATCCTTGACAGATAGATCTATTACTACTGTCGAAGTAATAACGTTAACAGCAAGTTAACTTCGCGTTAACTGTTAATCACACATTTCGCTCGCTGCCTTGTGCTGAAGCAATATATGTCTATCCAAAGGAACCCAATGCTGTCAGCATGCAATCAATTCCAACGCGAATACTGTCGACAGTCGATCGCAAACCTACGTTGGTCGATGCACCACAGTGAATGAATGTCATATTTGTTTAAAGATTGCATGTTGTCGAATTACCTCTCTAAATATATACCTTCATTATTGCATGTAGTTTACATTCAATAAATGCTGTTGTTTTAAATTAACTTTGTATATGTATGGAATTGAATAAAATGACTTTGACACACGCATGTGAAAATTTATATTGTGTGCACCTACTTTTAGGATTCAACACCATGTGAAGTAAAATCGTGCCACCGTACGCGCCACATTCGCCATAACTTCCATGGAGAACATCCAGCAAAAACGCTTGGGGCATCCAAACCTGTCAGACTCTAAAGTGTCGCAAACCAAAATTTGCAATTCATGCCAGCGTCACTTTTCACTTTTGCACATTCGCCAAACATGGACGACAACACCCTTCGACACAGCCTCGACACCGCGTGCGATGTGGACATTCAAGAACTTCTGATGGCATGTCAAGTGAATGTACAAACGCTCGACTTGCTACCCTCCGAGTTGAATGTGCAAGATCTCCAACTCGAGTCTACCGACGTGGATATTTCCGCTTTGCTTGCCGACGACATATTGGAGTATTCGACCGGTGACGACTGGCTCGACATGGATGGCGAGCTGCTGATCGACACCTACTCGTCTGACGAATCGACGGACCCCATTGACGTTGCCTCGGACTCTCTCGACCATTCGACGATCAATCAAGGACCCACCGAAGCATCCGAGAAGGCCACGATCTACCTGGCCAAGATCCACAGCATGCTGGAGCAATGCCCTCCCGCCGTAGCTGCCTGGACAAACGGTGGCTCGTCATTTGCGATTTACAATTGTACTACCTTGGAGAAGACAATGCTCCCGCTGTTCTTCAAACCCATCAAGTTTGAGAGCTTTGCCCGCCAGCTCAACTCGTATGGCTTCAAGAAGACCAAGTTGCTGGCCAGCAGGACTATTGTGTACGAATTCAGCCACCCCCGTTTTGTGCGTGGTCAACTGGACCAGCTTCAAACCATCAAACGCCGCCGTCGACGTATGCAACGGTTGAGTGCACACGGCGTGGAAGACATGACCGATGGCGAGTTCCGCGCTTCGTTCGGTGACATGGTTCGGTTTGTGCAGACGTTGCATGCGGAAGTGGCCGAAATGAAGAATTTGGTCAAGTCCATCGTCGAGTCCAGCCAAAACGGCAACCTCGCGGCGCCATAATGCACTCACTGTCCATGACAAGAACAGGTTGAAATAATTTATAAAAATCAAATAACTCTAGCAATGTACTTGCTCCCAGATGCCAGCCATGCATTATATTTTCATGTTCCTGTGCCTGCCACGAATGATGTGCACTTTAAGGCAGTTCTACCTGGTACATCGATTTGAAACAACGGATGAGGACACGATGGACACGAGAATTATTGGTCGGCAAAGTTGTCATAATAACTAATATTTTCGCTCAAATTAATACGTACAAGTCCTAGACTAGGTTAAATTATGCAGGTGTATGACATCGACTATCCGTTGGAATATATCAGGCATATTATGTCAAGAAAGTACCGCTTTCTATTTATAGAATTTCTATCAAGCAAGTCCTGTCCACGACGGTGCGAGTGACATCATGCTTTATCTCCAACCTGTGCACAATCCAATTTGCCATGATCCTGGACACCAAAGTCGTCGAGCTGCAAGCTACAAACCAAGGCGGCATGCAGACTGCACAAGGTGACGACGAAACGAAAGTGGCACAAGGTGACGACATTGACATGCCATCATCGACACCTTTGAACTCTTCCCCACGCCAACAACTGCTTGGAACGATCCACATCGAGTTGCGTTCGACGTACTTGCAACGATTGCACAACATGCTCGAGCGTTGTCCGGCGAATCTCGCATCGTGGACCACCGATGGCACGTCCTTTGCAATTTACAACCCCCACGCGTTGGAAATGCATGTTCTGCCCCAATACTTCATGACGACCAAATTCACAAGCTTTTTACGCCAACTGTCGTTGTACAGATTCAAAAAGACACATTACACCGCGTCCAATGGGGTCATGGCGCTGCGATTTCAACACAAACAGTTCACTCGAAACGACCCCAATGCGGTGGTGGCAATGGTGAGGCGATATAGAGCACGGCCGTCGCAGTCAAAGGCGCAACAGCACAACGCTGTATCACGAGAAGAGCTGAAGGCCATCTTGATCGGACTACTCGAAAGTGTTCGTACCCTTCAGTCGGAGCTATCGAAGACCAAGGCATCCTTGCTCGCTCAACACAACGAAGCGAAACATGCCTCAGAAAATACTAGCGTCCAAAATGTCCCAGGACCTTGAACTTAAAATTGGATGTCCACAATCAGGCGACAAGCGTCGTTTACAGTTAATTCGTAACGACATCCCGCCGAACTTAGATTGGAGACACTCAGGCGACAATTCTGCCGAAAGAATTGTTTTAAGAGAATAAATATCTCGACTGATATCGACTGATATCTAGCTCAGCTGCACACTCGATAGCGTCTACGAAATGATGTGAGATTGCTGCTTGGTGTCGCTCACAACGTGGCATGTTACGCTATCAAAACAGGAAGTTTCACGTACAATCATAAACTAACTGTCATTCGCCACATGTACCCAGGATGGCAGAATACTGTATTGTGTACGGTAGTGAACTTCATTGCGTTATGACAGTCGACTTGGTGCGTAAAATCCAAGATGACATTGATATTCGCATATAATTTGGAGCAATTTAGTCAGCTCCAAGATCTTTTCGTCGTTGGCTCTTGAAATCTAATGTTAACTGGAAGTAACGATACGTTAGTGTATGCGGCCAGCTCGCAATTCTTTTCCATGTGCTAGTTTGACGGAGTTAATAGCGGTCACTATTGTTTCACTGATCATCGCAGGCTGATGTTTCTAAAGTTAAACGAACTATTATTAATAATACCAATACCTGTACTGGCAGTGGCTAAATTATTAATAGTTAGCTTTAACAATCACCGGTTTGATGTGAAGGCGATATCGACGGAAATAGAGATCTTCTCTATATGTAACGTTATAGTTACATATAGAGAAGATATATGTAACTATAACGTTACATATAGAGAAGATCTCTATTTCCGTCGATATGGCCTTCACATCAAACCGGTGATTGTTAAAGCTAACTATTAATAATTTAGCAAGTGTTGTACTATTAGTTATAAATAATACGTAGTACTATTAATAGTAGTACACTAACCGATTTCACTTTTAGTTGTTAATAGTACTCCGGAGTATTAAAATACTATTCGTACTATTATTAATAATAGTACCGGTAGTACACTACCGGTAGCCTTTCACAACGTTCCAATCGATTTCATTTACCTGGACAGCACGCGTAGGACATGGAGTTCGGCATCCGGAACTTCGAAATACATCACATTTTTGGATCGATTGTTCATTGGTTGGAAATCGAAGTCACAGTTCCAAGCGAGACCTGCATTCCGCTTCACCAGAGTGCTTGTTGGGGCCAACTGTCCAGGTGGCGCGTTCACAATGCAGCCACATTCGATTTTGCACACACCTCATGACTCCTCCTTTTGACGATCTTGGAGATATCTCCGACTTCCTACGAGATGGTTTGTTTGAGTACGCTTCCAGCGACGACTCGGCCAACCAGCTCCACGCCTCGTCAGCCTCGTTGTCGCCGCCGCCGCCGCGCTCGAGCCGATCCTCCAGCGTTGACGGCCACGACGACGACGAAAAGTCCGCGTCGTATCTGCAAAAACTGTACGCGATGCTCAACGAATGCCCTCTGTCTGTGGCGTCTTGGACCTGCAACGGCACCGCGTTTGCCATTTACGACCCCGAATCGCTGGAAAAAGTTATCATTCCGCAACACTTCCAGCCCATCAAGTTTGAGAGCTTTGTTCGACAGCTCAATTCATACCGCTTTAAGAAGTCCAAACTCGTGTGCCCAGACACTAGTACCGTGCTTCAGTTCCAGCACAGCAGCTTCGTCCGCGGCCGCCCCGAGCTTATGGAGTCCATCAAGCGACGCCGACGGGTTCGACGCACGGGACCGAAATCTGTCCAGGACATGAACGATGTGGAGCTGCGGACGGCTATGACCGACCTCGTGAAGTTTGTGCAAACACTGCACACTGAGCTCGACGAAACCAAAGCACTCGCTGCTTCCCTCGCCGCGAAAAAAGCCACTTGACGACGCGTTAGGACTCGATTTTTAACTTATGTGTAGCAGTACTATATATCCTGAATATACGTGGCAGCATGCTGCACAGTGTTGTCACTTCAGGTTGAAATTGTACTACCCGGTATTAATAAATAAATACATGTATTAATAGTAATAAGCCTTAGCTTCAACTTGCCCTATTGACTTTCGAACAATAGTACAGTAGCTTGCAAAATGAACATGCGGTTGGGAAAAGTATCGCAACAATTAATCTTTTTGCCGAAACGCTCATATGGCATGAGATTACAACGGTAAGTCACAGAGTAACGTGAACGATTCATGGTAAGGTTATGGGTGGCGCTGTAGAAGATCAACGTCGAAGTATTTACATAGTAGTCCTTCGTAGTACGGAGGTGTACCAGTGCATCCTGTAGGGAAGAAGAGTATGAAGAACGTGTACGATCATATTGCAGCCAGCCACAGATATTCACTCTCAACTCTGGGGCCAAACATATTTCGTCATTTCAACATCAATGGTGCAAGGACAACTTATCCCAGGTGTCAGTCAACAAACCTCCATATGTTGGTACATACCTGTCTTTTGCACTTTGCAGCAGAATTCTATTCAATCATCAGAGGGCTGTTTCTTTGGCTACCTGTAGCTGGGCCCCCCCAACAGCCCCCTTAGGTATACGCAATGCTCATTCCTAAAGGGGTTAGCAATAGTTAACCCCTCGATAAAAGGCAACGGTAGGGTCAAGGAGGAATTACAATCGAAACTCGGTCGACCGTGAATGTGCAGAAACAGGTGTTGTACTGTTTCCCAAGGAATTAACCTCGATAGTGGCCCTTGTAGCATTGACATCGTTGAAGGTATTCCAACTCATCCCACTCCATGTCCGGGGCAGCACGTAGGACAGTGAGAAATGGGCCAAAAGGCGGAATGTCAAGTACCCGTTCAAGGCGAAAGCACTTGGAAAATGTAAGACCAGTCACATTCCGACTTAACCTGCATTCCGGACTTTGCAATGATATATTTTGAATATCGCAAATGCCCATACAAATCGTAAGATAGAGATGAATAAAAAGGCGAAAACAAACTCCAGAGTGTAGGTACATTTTCACAACCGGTCGGGTTTTTGCAATCGGATCAAAAACCGATCATGTCGTCGTTGGACAGGACACTGCCATTATCCAAATCATCAGCAGCTGCTCATGAGCCACATCGACGTCTACATTAATGACCTCCTCTTGGATGGTCTCCTGGACTATGTATCATGCGACTCCATCAGCGACGACTCCCTCGACGGTGCCTTTGCAACGGACTCGTCCGGCATCGAAGACACGTGGAAGGAAGAGTTGCCAGCGAGTGCCATGAAATCGGAAACTCCCGACTCGGCTGACAAGACCACCAAATACTTGGAGAAGCTCTACTCGATGCTGGAGCAATGCCCCGAACACATTGCCGCGTGGACCCAGAACGGCACGTCGTTTGCCATCTACAACTCGGACGCGTTGGAGAAGACCATCATCCCGCGCTTCTTCAAGCCCATCAAGTTTGAAAGCTTTTCGCGCCAACTCAACTCGTACGGGTTCCGCAAATCCAAGGTCGTCGTGAGCGACGTCGTCGTGTTTGAGTTCAAGCACGCCAACTTTGTCCGCGGCAAGTCGGACCAACTCCTGTCGATCAAGCGCCGACGCCGCGTCAAGCGAAGCGCCACCAAGTCTGTGGACGACATGAACGACGACGAACTGCGCTCGGCCATGACCGACTTGATGGGGTTCGTGCAGTCGCTCAAACAAGAGCTGTCGGAAACCAAGGCCCTCGTACAATCCCTTGCCAAGGGTGCCAACGTCGTCGTGCTGTGATGGAGGGATCATCGATGTTAGAGTTAGGGACGTATTTAACAGTTAACTGTAAGCTAGTATTTCAAGACACAATTCATCTATGTATCGATAGATGAATGATGAATCAACCAATAAAAATAGGTGACAATGGATTGAATTGATCTGGTGGTTATTGTCGATTTTTGATACAAATTTGGGGAGGCGGTGAAATCGAATCGCGCCGACAGAACCGATACACAATCGATCTGATTGGTTGAATTTCATTGAGAAGGTTTTGATTGGCTAATAATTTTGAGCTCATCTGAAGTAGCCAATCAAATCGATTTAAATTCCAACGAGAAACCACAACACGAAATTTCACTCGAAAGCGCAATAGTATTATACCTACTATGGTTAATAGTATGATCGACCTCGAAAACCATCCCCACCTGACGAAGGTAGTGCTCACGCAGTGTGAGCTTGGTGTCATACGTACATACATGTGAGTCGCAGTGTTGTAGCGAATGATGAAGACCAACTAGGAGGCTGGAGCATGTTCAGGCCATCGGTTTTGGCGGGAAATGGATTCATATAAGTACGATAGGTTAAACAAAACAACGTGCGGCCTTTTCGGTAGTCACATTGTCCAAAGTAAGGTTGGGAGCGACGTTTAATAGTATAACGCATATAACGTAAGTACCCAATATTTGCATTTTCGTCGTGTTCAATCAACGCGGCCATGTCGTCGTCGTCCCCAGAGGTCGTGGGCAAGGCGATCCCACGCGACAACGGATCCAACGGAGCAGCCGACGCACTTCCTGCGCTGAAACATAAGAAGAAGTCCAAGAAGAAGAAGAAGAAGCATGGTGGGCTCCTTGCAGTCTCAAGTCCATTGGGACCAGTGGCCTCGAATGGACCAGTCGTCGCAGAATTGCCAATCGCGGCGGCAGCATCACCCATTCAACTTCGAACGACCAAAACGAAGAGCAAACGCAAGTCCATCGTGCAAGCGAAACGACCTCTCGAGAAGGCTTTGTCGGAGGTCGAAGTCGCGTCGAAGCGGCCTCGTGGGGACGACACGGTGGACGTGGCGGTTGCAAAGCCAACGTCATTCGAGGACGCTGTGCGATTCATGCAAAAGCATGTCAAGCAAGGCGATAGCTCCGAGAGCGACGATGACAGGAGGAAACCACCAGCGACCAGATCCTTCCCAACGCAAGGCCTTCATGCTGCACCAGGCTCGGACGACGACATGCCACCACACCAAACCCAACGAGCCAAGACTAGTGTGAAACCTGTCAAGGCCATGACGAAGAACAAGATAGCGACGCCCACGGCTCCTATCGTCCAGCGAAGCGATGCATGGAAGGCCGACAGGACGACGCCTCCTGCAGTGCGCGTGGCATCGTCGAAGCAGCCGACAGCAGCGACCAAGAGGAGTGCGGCGGGGACCAAGGTCAAGAAGGGCGAAGACGCCATGCCAAGTCGCGTTCTCGTCAAGGGGAAGCAAGCTCAAGCCCAGCCTAAACGCGAACCAGCATACAACCACGGACACGCGTTGAGCACAGTCATAGGTAGGAAGCCTTTGGTGGTCAAACTGGCCACAGCAACTGCGAAACCACCACCGGCATTGGAACTCTCCAGCGAGTCCGACGACGACAGGCAATCTGCTGCGCCCAAACCTACCGACCAAGTGACACCGGCCGCAGCACAGAGCACCTCGTTGGATGCGTTGTTGCTACAGAAAACATTGCATTTCCCAACAGACAACTCGAGCGACGAGTCCGATAGTGCGGCGGCATTGCCTCGGACGTTCCACCTCCCGCAACCCGACGACGACGACGACGACGATGACGTGGACACAAAGGAAGCTTGTCGACCAAAACCACCAGCGTCCAGTGGCCACACCATCATGGGACGAGCATCAAGTGAAAAGTCAAATGCCCAAGTTGTGTCGTCCAACGTTGCCAACAAGACGCCGACGCGGCCAAGCAGCGCCAGATCCGACACGGATAGCCACCAGAAGGAACGTCTACCTTCATCGCGTCCCCACCACACACGACCAGTCTTCGACGCCACCCCCCCCACTTCTGTAACGATGCAAGGCGAAGGCGGTAGCGATTCCGAAGCCGAGGCCGTGTTGACCCCCCAGAAATTCCGCGCCGCAGATCCAGCGTCCTCGGATAGCGACGTGGCGGAAGTCAAGGTGACAAAGCGTCCATCTGCCGCGCCCGCAAGACGTTGGACGAATCGACCCACCGTGGTGAGTTCCCCCTTGGCATCCAACGGTACGACAATCTCCAAGAAACGAAAGATGGCGCCGCCCACCGGATCTGGTGCTGCCATGCTCGACGAGGCCGTGAAAGTGATGCAAAAGAAACTATATCCAACGCTGCAAGGCACCACCGGCGGCACACCAACGACGACGTCGGCCTTGTCCAAGGCGGGCAAAACTACGTTCATGAACGCGCTCATCGACTCGGCGGCGTTGGATCAGTGGAATCTCGTCGAAATGGGGCGGCTCGTCCGCCTCTTTTGCCACCAGTGGGGCTGCAAACGCAAGAAAACTGCTCGGTTTCTCCTGCAAAACTGCCCCGAGTTTGTCTGCGCCGAGTTCCTCGAAGGGCTTAACATCACCCTCAAAGTCGACCAAATCGTCGGCCTCATGCGACGCGGGTCCACGTCCATGGCCGGGTTCGGGTCCAAGCTGTGTGCGTGCATCGAGTCCGACATGATTCGCCTTGGTGACGACGCGTTCTTGGCGTGCGTAGCCGACGTCGTCGATCTCGGTACGACCTATCCCTTGATTGTTTCTATGTTTATTGGGTGTATGTTAGCATGTTAGCCATGCTAGATATTGTCTTTCTTTTACCGAAAAATTCGACTTTTGTCCGGATTCGCCAAATCTATCGATCGATTCTTCGTTACTGAATTTTATATGTATGTAAAAAGGTGTCCTGTGGTGATTGTTTTAACATTAATTCAAGTCACACACTAATTTGACGTTGATGATGGTTTCCTGCAATCTGATTGGCTAAATCCTTCTGTCAGTATACTTGTATCCATTTGGTTGTGTCGATGCATTCATTCTCCATATCGCTCCAGTTTAGAGTAAACACAACAATATATATATATATATATATAACAAGCCGCATGTATATATATATATATACATGCGGCTTGTTATGGATGTGAACGTAATCATGCCTAGTAGAGTCTGGTGGTTTTTTAATGGCGACGACGACTTTTCACTTGTTACATCATATGAACATATCAATATTTTCTACAACAAGACCATTGCAACCACATGACGCAACGAACGCATCAGTCTTGATTACGTAGCCTAGCAGAGGCGATGATGTATGCGTGTACAGTTTAGTTGTTCTGGTGACGCTGTATATGATATTTGGTGTGGTGTATGGGAGCCAACCAAGCATACATCCACATCGTCTTGTGTTATCTTGTTCTGGTGACGATATCTGATGTTGTATGGCGGCTGACTCGTCGACGACTACGTTGTAGCGACGATGACCCAAGACGAGATTGCCGACTTTGTGTCGCCGTTGATCGAGAGCGCCAACTACATGGCCGACGCGTGCAAGCTGCTGCACGCTGTGTGTGAGCACTGGCCCGTGGACGTGATGCAGTCGTTTGTCCAGCGCGTGCTGCTGCTCAACGCCGTGTTTGACGACCTCGAGGGCGACCCCGCCGACATGTCCAAGTACTTTCCCCACTGCGCCTTCGATCTGCCGAATCGTATGCTGCGAGACCTGGAAGACATGGACGAGAACGGCAACTTGATTGACTTTTGCACGGGCGAAGATGACATTGAGTACGAACAGCGGACCAGCGCCGATGAATTGGACGCCCTCGACGACCTCATCGACAACTCGCCCCAAAAGAAACAAACCAAGGGAGCAAAGAGTGCGAACGACGACAGCAGCGACGAGCCAGACTCGGACGACGACGACGATCCCCACGTCGTGCTGGGCGACGAAGGCTCGGATGACGACCAGGTGCAGCAGTGGCATCAAGGTCCAAGGTCGAGTATGAATCGTCGTCGAAAGCGGAGTATGTTTATACTGGACGAAGCGTCCGAGGAAGAAGAGTACGAGAGCAGCGACGACGAGGACGACAACGACATGGACATGGCAACGTACAACTCGGACGGTGAAATGGCTATGCCCGGAGACCGATCGAATATCTATGCTGAGCAACCACATAACCACGACCAGCACGACAAAAGCTGCTCGGAAGACATGGACGTCGATGAAGGAGAATACACAAAGAACCGTGGAGGTGCCGACTCTGAAAGCGACTCTGATGACGTGCAAGTCGAAGGCTACCGGGATGAGGAGGACGAGGAGCCGACAGTCGAAAGCGCTAAGGCTGGGGCGGATGGAGGGAGCAGTGGCGACGATGTCGCAGCTGATGGGGACTCTGAAGACGGCGAGCAGGCCCAAACAGAGTCCCAAGACGATGTAGCAAGCGGTGGAGAAAGAGATAGTAGCGACGACGACGACGACGAGTAAATGAGATGTTGCCCCGGTTGTATCAACATTTTGCGGACTTTATTTGAGCATTCGCAAGGATGACAGAGGACAATGTTGATTGTTGACCACACATAATTATCACATGTAGATCGCTGAAGTGTCCTACTAGTACTACTACGGAATTGTACGTAGTACTTGGGTAGTAACCCTAACTCGACAGCGCAAACAGCGCACTCACACGAGACCCTAACGACAGCCACTTGTGGGACGCCGATGTCGTCGTAGTAGTAGCACTACAAGCCCCCCAGCCAAAGACGGTCGTGGCACTCCCTCGTGGACGGGGACTCAACAAAGCTCGTTCTTTCACGCTCAGGACGTTCCGGTGCACCACTACAAAAGGGGGAGGCAGGCGGTGCTGGTCGTTGTCAGTTTGGTGGAAGTGGAGGACACATGCGTTGCGGGGGGCTTGGCGGAGAATGCACTCGACGTCCAACAGTCGGAGGTGCTTGACGGATCGCCCGTTGAGCCCCACAAGGCGAAAACCTGGCGCGAGGTTGCACTTGCGCGCGGCTCGGGTCACTGCGTGGATACGGATGTGTCCGGACGCGGCGGCAAAGCGCAGAAAGCACATGGAGCCGGCCTCGAACGCAGCTTCCAAGGCAGATACAACGTCGTGAAAGGGCATAGCGGAGACGTCAACGTCGTTCACGCGAAGCAGCAAGTCGCCTTTGGAGAGCACGGCGTGGGCTCGGAGGTCCTCCTTGGACACATACTTGACGGCCGCAGCGCGCGTCGCCCCCACGGGCAACAAATACATGGGCAGCGGAGTCATCGAGAGCACCTGGACACACTTCTGGCGCGCCAAGTCCGGGGGCTCCACGAGCGACACCCCTACTCGGAACCATTGAAAAAAACAAGCACGACGGACGAGGATCGATCGTCGGCTGAAGGTACCAAGCCGCTCCCCTTTCCAAGGGAATGCCAAAAGGCTGCACTCCAACGTCCGCACCCAACGCCGCCGCCGCACGCAGTCACTATCCCGTGCGGACGTGCTCGTGTCATGGACATGGACGAGGTGGTCAAACGCTGCGGCGTATGCCCATCCATTCTCGTCGCATGGACCTGTCAAGCACGGCCGCCACCGATCCGACCACACGTAGCCTGGCGGGGGGGGCAAGTGTTTGGGAAACCTGTCGCAGCTAATGCTGCCGTCGCGGCACGAGAACGTCGGAATGTCGCCCAAGTACTTGCGGTGCCACTTGTGGTCGCGACGTCGTTGGTTCTGGAACACTTCGACGACGAGCACCTACACCCCCGACATCAATTGTCAAGGTATGCCCATTTCTCGAGTTGATGGGGGTTGACGGTAGCTACACCTGTTTTTTGAGGAGAGGCAGCGCGTTCAGACGCTGTGCAAACTTGACCACGCGCCGTGCATCGGCGTCCATGACAGCCACAAAGTGTCTGCGTTTGGCTCGAAGCGACTGACTGGGGGGCTAGACACGAAATAACCCAAAGTACAAACAAACCATGTTGGATTGGTATCCAAGATGGATGAGACGAACGTCATGGAATCAAAATCTCACGCCCTTTCATCGATTACTTGCTACCAACTCATCTCATGTTTTTGCTATTTTTAGCGCCCGTAGTAGCCGCGACGGTGACGGATCAGATCCTTCCGTTGCATGGCCGTCTGATCCTCATACTTCAACTTCAACGAGACTCCATTACCCCATCAGCACAATTGCACGCTCCACCTAACGTTGCAATGTGCAATCTCGACGACCATCAAGTATACGAATACACCATCGTTATAAGGCGACTGTCACATTGCACTGCAGTACACTAGGTTAGTTAGTGTACTACCCGGTAGTTTTACTGTACTAGTACACCACACTCCTTCTCTGCCCGATTAGATCGCACTTGCCACGCCATCACAGAGTTCGTGATCATAAGTAAAAGATTTCGTCGTCGCATCGTGTACATGTCCGATGTAGATACAGTTGCAGGATGTACTAAGGACTTACTCATATCCAATGACAACCACCACTGGTATAAGCTAACATTATAAATGTCGGACGAAACAATAAGATTTGGTTACGGGTACACTCAAGACTTGTTAACTAACACGTACATTGCGTCTACAAGTACGACTACTAGGTGGAGGACGCAGCGCGAGGTTTCCTTCCTTTGACGACGGCTGCCATCGACCGTCGATCTAACCGCTTCGTCTTTTGAATGGACGTGCCAGATGGATGGTGGACGTCGCTGCCTAGGAATGGCGACGACGACTGGCTGAACGACGTGGTATTGTCCTCCACATCACCCTAAAATACAACAATCGAGTGGATATCGTGCTGCGATTCTACGAGCTACGACGTACCCACTCATCCGACGCCATCGCATGCAACGAATAGAGCGCAACGGCGAGCTGGATCCACTGCACAAACATTTCCGAGCCCAAAAATACCGCCGACAGGCACTACAGTCTCCACCGTCAAAACTCGTCCAAGCCTTGACGATACAGTACCTGGAGGGACATGGACAAGAAGAACACTGGACTGTACAAGTTGCCCGTCTTGACCGCCGACAAGATGAACGAGATGAGCAACAGCTCGGCGCCGTTTAAGTCGAGCAGAAAGCTGTGGTGGCTCACGCCTTCGACCAAAAACACAAGCGGCAGCAGGATGCGAAACGTCGCGACCATCGCCGTCGACCCCTGCGTGCAAAATAGCTGGACGAGGAACGCATACCAGAGGCAGACGGGGGCCCACGGCGGGGCCCATGGGATCACGTACTGCACCAACAAGGGAAACAGGTACAGAAAGGCAAAACAGCTTGCGATGTTGCGGTTAAAGATCAGCCCACGCACGACAAACCGATGAAACTTGAGGCCAAACGACAACACGTGAAACCCACAGTGGAAGGCCAAGCTCAGCAACGTCGACGCCAGCCAGTGCGCCTACGAATAAATTGTAAGTCCGATTATCCGGACAGGTATATGCAATCATCATGTACATGCACAAGGAGCCAGGGAAGGCCCGTGGACGCGCCTGAAAAGGCCACCAGCCACACGCACGTCGACACAACGGCCGATTTGGCCACGCTCCATGCCGACCTCGGAACAGGCGCAAACAAGTCGTCGTCGTCGTCGTCGTCGTCGGGTGTTCGTTGCGGAGGCGGAGAACCCGCTGGATGGGCGCCGCTTGCGTCCGCGTCGTTTTTGCCATGGGGGTCTTGCTTTTTATGCGAGGACGACGGCTGCTTCAACCCACTGCCGTCGCCCTTCCGCTTGTCGACGGATCCTTTGGCAGCCCCCGACACTGCCGCCGAGGACGCGTCCGTCGTGCGTCGCGACTTCTTGTCCGACCGCTTCTTGGACGACGAAGGCGGTCGAGCGGGCATATCGTCTTCGGACGAAGGCGGGTGAAACTCTTGCGGCTGTGGGGGGGTCGCAGAGGCCACCACCTCTGGCTTGTCGGGCGATTCGTCGTGGCATGCAATAGGAGAGGGTCCTGGGGTCATGACGTCTTCTTCCAAAGGCGGCAAGTCGTCGGGTGTTGCTGCATCGTCATGTGCTTTTACTCGTTCCTCTCGCGGGGACGAGGAAGGGGAGGTGTCTGCCGACGTCGACACATTGTCCTGGGCAGAGCCATCCTCGTCAGAGTCGTCACGGCCAACACACACGTTGTCGTCCTCGACGTTGGACGCCTTGTTGGCCACCGCCGGAATTGATGACGGGTCGTCGTCACCTCGTCCGTCCTGGGAGACCATCTCGTCGCCATCCGTGGATTCGTCTGGTGCTGTCGGCCCTTCGCCCTCCACTTCCAACACGGGGGCTGCGATCGGCTCGTCGACTAACAGACTGCTATACAAGTTCTCCCGCCGTGGCGATACATGAGGACGAGCCTGCTGCACTGGATTTGCCTTTGTGGCTGTTCGACGGGTATTCGTCGTCGTCGTAGTAGTACTAGCCACGTCGGTAGGAATACTAGGAGGTGCAGCGGCACCGCCGGAAACAAGGGATTTGTCGGCCCGTGTCCCCCGTCGGGGTGTGGACCGGTCCGACTTCGGAACAGTTGCGAGGGGAGGCGGTCCGTCTGACGGGGCACCCTTGGGGAACTTTTCACGGTACAAAGGTCGTCGAGTGGAATGAGGCGGCGGCACAGCTGTCGAAGTGGCTGCACCCCGAGAACTAGTCCGCTGAGGCCCACTGGCCACTGGCACCTCCGCCGTCGGTTTCTTTGGAGACATGCCATCCCCCCCCCGCTGTTTGATGCGAATTTGGCCAGGCACCACGCGCTGCGGCTGGGCTGCCACGTGGGGGGACGACGACACAGGCCTTTGATCCACAAAGTGCATCGGGGACGAAGGCGTACTGTTCAATGTCGACGAAGAAGGAGCAGCATGTACGTCCGAGTCGAAGGACGACGCAGACGACGGCGAGCCATGGCGCTTGCCATGAAACTTGTCCTTGCCTCTCTCCTTGGGCTCCGAGCCGTAAGGACGTCCCCCGCCAGTTACACGCGGCGTGGAACCAGCGCGAACGGGCACCGGGGGCGGATGGGAGGACGGCGACGTGCCAAGGTCGTCCGAAGGAGGGGGTTCCAGAAACGTATTGCGAAATCGGTGGACGCCAATTGAGTTGCTGCCAGTGCCATAGTCGTGCTGGTCCTCGAGGTGCAATCTCGACGGGGGCTTCTGTACGACCACGACGGACGTGGTGTTGAGCTCAGCCAAGTCTTTGTTTGATTGCTGGTATCCAGAACGGCCAAACATGTTGGAGGCAGTCGCAGGAGGTGGCTGCTCGAGGTGGGTCGTCGGCGCAGGCGACGAATGCTGCAGAAACCCAAACGCTGCACGCAGCGACTCGTCCTTTCGATCGAGCATGCGATGTTGGGGCTGGAGAAACGAACTTCCCGCGGCGGATGGAAGAGGTATGTCCAAACCAGGCGGGGCGCGGAGTGGACCGCCGCTCGAAGATGTCGTTGTACTCATAAACGGAGATCGCGCAAAGGTCGAGGATGATGGAGTCTGTATAGGTTGAGATGACGCAGCTCCTGCATTGGTGTTTGGACCAAGGAAGGAAGAGGACCCGATCGAGCCGACACCGCCACCATTGGCTGGCGTGGATGACTCGCCAGGGGAACCACCAAACCGTCCGCCGTATCCGTAGCCTCCGAACGATCCAAAACCACCACCACCGAGTGGTCGATCCCGCGCGGCTGGTTTATTTGGCACCGCAACACCGCCTAAGCCTGAGAGGAGGGAGTTGTTTGGTTCGGTGGCTGCTACTGGCGTCATGCGGAAGTTCTGAGTGGTCGTCGTGGACGATTGTGCAGCACCGATGTAGCCAAACGAACTTGGCACGGGACTCGACATATCCAGCGTCCTTCGTGGAGGGGAGTCGTCCGCGATGCCACCAGGAAGGAAGTACAGCACCCCATTCTCGTCGTCGGACGAATCGGCACCGTTCATGTCGATTCGCTGTCGAGTTGGATTGTGTTTTTGTGCCAAACACACAACCACAGCCTATTAATTGTATTAATTGGCCAAGGGGTCGTCGTACATTCAAGTACATTGATCGTACATTAATTGGACGAAATGTACGTTAATAAGAAAATCAAGGTTAGTGTCGTACAATTCGGCGAATGTACAACGCATTGGAACCGTACGACCCCTGCACAACTTCAAGCAGGTTGGGTACCGAGCATTGCGATATTTCACCGACGCCCCCACATCGCGATGCTGCAGACGAGTGGCGCTAAGATTGCGAGAAGCTTTAGCACGATTGCATATGAGTCTTTCTTCACGGCACGGTCCCTTCGTCGACAGCCATCTGCCATCCGCTCGTTGCAGCCACTTGTGTCGCTTCCGGGCATGATCTCTCTTGGCGGGTTTGTGACGTCTCATCACTCTCGCACCTTGCATCGCTAACATTCGCGTTGTGTAGGGGCATGCCGAATCCATCTACGTTTCCTTTTGAAGCCATATCGATCAAGCTCAAGTCTGGGCATTCGATGGACATTCGAGGCCAGCCGCTCCAACAAGCCCTTCAATACTCTGCCACCCCAGGACTTCCTGAGCTGGTCCAGATCATTTCCACGCGCATGGAAGACGAGCACGAACCCCCGGCGTTATCTGAATCGCGAATGCTGTCCATCACGACAGGAAGCCAAGATGCGCTGTACAAGGCGTTTGAAATGCTCGTTGACGAAGATGACTCACTGTTGGTCGAATCACCGACGTATTCGGGCACATTGGCGCATTTACATGCGGTGAACTGCAAGCTTGTGTCGGTGCGCACTGATGGACAAGGTTTGGTACCAGAGCATCTGGCGTCCATTTTAGACAACTGGGACAACAAAACGAAGAAGCCAAAAGTGCTGTACACGATCCCCACCGGCGGCAACCCCACGGGTGTGAGCATGTCGTTCGAACGCAAGCAACAAGTGTACGCAATTGCCTCGAAGCATAATTTGATTGTGCTGGAAGACGATCCGTACTACTACCTGACGCTGAATGGTGCTCGCTCCAAGGTTTGTACTTCTGTACGAAGTTTTGCACTGACAACGAAATGGCGTAGTCGCTCCTTCATTTGGACGTCGACGGACGGGTGCTGCGCTTTGACTCGTACTCCAAGATTCTGTCCTCTGGCTTGCGTGTCGGGACTGTGTACGGCCCCAAAATGCTCATTGAACGCCTGAACTTGCACACGCAATCCGCCAATCTTCATAGCAGCGGGTTATCCCAGGTATACCACATATGCTTGTAGAACTGATCGCGACGAACCAGTGTATTACTTACATTCAAACAGGCCGTGGTGCTGGAGCTGTTCAAGCAGTGGGGTGAAAAGGGATGGAACGATCATGTCGAATCGGTGTGTGCATTTTACCGTGGCCAGCGCGATGCGTTCCTTCGTGCGTTGGAGAAAAACTTGACTGGATTAGCAACGTGGGAGGCCCCCGATGCGGGAATGTTCGTATGGATCAAGCTCGTTGGCGTCGACGATTCCAAGGCGCTGATTGAGCAAAAAGCTGTGGCCAGCAAGGTGCTGTTGGTGCCTGGGCAAGTATTTCTCCCTGACAACGTCAAGACATCGTACGTTCGCGCAGCCTACTCCACGGCTACCCCGGAGCAAATGGACATGGCGATCAGCCGCTTGGCCGCTCTTTTGAAGGAGAAGTAGTTAGAGCGTGCCCCATAGACGATAAACGCAAGCAAATGTGGAAGCGAGCTTCAACCTTGCAAAAAATGTCCACATTAAAAATGAACCAATCAAATGTCGCAAGTGATTCACAGGGCTAGGGTTTTCAACATACTTAACGCAAGATAAAAGAAACGTATCTTCGCAGAATGCGCGCGCAAATTCAACACATTTTGAATTGCGTTGGTGGAAGCAACTGCTCGGGAGCGAGGATGACGAAGCTGAGCGAGTTGATGCGCATGGGGGTAGCGAAACGAACGATGGCGCTAGAGAACATGGGAATGTCCAAGGGAAAGTCGCTTGCTGCTCTGGATGACGATCCCATGGACGTCCCCAAGCTTATTGCCCAAGAAACGAAGAAGTTCAAATATCGCACCGTCGTGAATATTGTGAAGTCCGTAGAGAGGTTCCTGTCAAGCACGTTCTGATATCCACATGGTAGAGTCATTCGTTGCTCGTATGTGGATTCCAAAGCATGCATGGAACGACTACAAAACGCGAACGTTGGACGAGCACTGCTGGAATCCCTTCGAGCGATGTCTAAAGGTACTCAGGTTGCTGGCAGTATCGACCCAAAACAGGTTGTAGACAATGAAGACCAAGCTATGGAGGGATTGCTGTCAAGCACCGCAGACCTGGTAGCGTACACTATCAAGAATGATCTGTTTTCAATTGTGAAAGTAGTTCGAATGGGACTTTTTCGCCAAGAGCGAGCGACGGTTGTTCATTGAGGAAATCTTTGCGATCATTCACACCCGATACACGAGCTGTGGATTGCTTTTGACGGAGGCGTTGAGCGTCATTATGACGATGTTCACGACGGATAGTGAAGGCGTGCTGAGTGAACTTCGGGCCAGCCGAAAGTGCCTCCCGTTGTTTTTTCAGATCGTTTGCAACATGCCCAAGACAAAGAGCTTTCATTTCCAAGCACTCCTCGTGGAAATTGTTTACCGCATCTTGCGCATGCTTCGAAAGTCAACGATCAAGAAGGACCAGGAGCTCACTCAAAAAATACTCGAGTCCCTTCCCCCAATATTGTCTCAAGGCATTCAAAGTGTCCCTCCCAAGGTACACCACACGAGTTGTTTAAACATTGGATACTGAAGCTCACTCGATCGTGTAGGAATTTCGAGCAGGCACAAGGCAACTGCTCAACCAATTCAACAAAGTTGTGGGGGTGGTGCAGTCCTTCCCCATCAAGGCACTTGCTTTTGAGTTCAAGTCGAACAAATCGGTGAGTCTCAAGTGATTGCAGTGACTCATTTACCTACTATGCACACAGATCACCATGGACGACGTCCAGTGGTTTGATATGGGCGGCATGACGTTTGAGGTCGAGATTGCAATCAACATCGCCGACGAAGTGGTCCAAGGAATTGCCAAGATCCATTGCTCCAACATTGATGGCTTCGCGACTGAAGGGACGTCTGCGATCAAGCTTCACATCAACAAATCCGTGTCCCTGGCCGATGTTGCCCCAAATGTGAACGATTCGGAATGGGGAGACATTCACGGACTCGTTGCCGTGTTGCGGGTCGATTCTGCTGTAAGTAGCATTGGTTGAGTTGTGTATTTCACAGAAGTTGTGGGGTAGATTTTTGAGAACATTGTGCCGACGTTGAAACTGCGATTCAAGAAGATCGAAAAGGAGGTTGCCACCACGTCGATTGCCGTCGAAACGCAGAGCAAGCTATCTACTGCTGCGGAATCATCCAAAGCCTTCTACAAGCTCATGGCTGATGCCAAAACCAAGCAAAAACCACACGAAAGTGCACGACCTCAACCTTCCGGATTAACGGCTGGTAATCGGGCTACCAAAAAGCAGGAGGTACGAACGAATTTACGCCATTGGAAAAACTTGCGTATCCGTTGTTGTATTGCATAGGCTGATACGGTAACAAGTCGGGCCATCAAGGCGGAGGGCATCAAAGAAGCCAACTTTGCTTCAACAACCAAAACCAAACAAGATCATCCCAAGGGGACACAACGCAAGCGGGCTGCAGATCGCCCGGTGCCTAAGCAGACGCCAAGTGTGCAAATTCCACCTCGACAGGCGACGGAAAGCAAACCCAGCCGGATTAAGCGCGAGCGTCAAGACGACCAAACATGGGACTTTGAACGGACTGACACTCGACCGAAGAACGCTTACAAGAAGCAGAAATCGCAAAAGGCGACCGTGGAAACCAGCTCCACGACAACGACGACAACCAAGTCGCCTCCAGTGAACCGATCGCGCATGGCGTTGTCCAAACCGGCCAAAGCGGCCGCGTCAATTCCAGCGCATGCGTGGAAACAAGAGTTGATCACACAGCACGATGCACCACAAAGCCACCGGTTCACGTTCAACCCATCTAAAAGCGTCGAAGACGATGCCAAAGAAATCCAGCGAGCAAAGCAACCACGCGCAACGACATTGACGACGAAATCCTCTTCAACCAACTCCCGTCGCCCGGCTTCGGATAAGTTTGCCATGCGCAAACCTAGCCAGGAAAAAGTAGTACCCCCACCAGAAATCAACAGCTCAAGTGTGGATGCTTCGGCACGATTCGCGGTACCGTTGAAGTCATCCCATGACGAGCCTGACCACCGCGGGGGCTTTAAAAGTAAACCGTACGAAGGAACGAACGGGCTGCATGCAGTGATGGAAAGTCTCGACAACTTTTCGAGCGAAATCAAGCACCAGCAGATGGAGTACGAACGAGCACAGCCGGTGTCTCCATCACAATCCACGGCCAGTGGTGGCGACATGGAGATTCAATCGACGACGTCCAGTCAATCGTCGTGCAAGGCGCCAACTCCGCTAAAGGCATTACCAAGCTACCACGTCATAGCAGGTATCGTATTGGCGTTTGAATGAGCATGAAAACGAACTCGTTGTAGCGTCACCACGGCAAAAACGACCTTTGACGCACACGCAACGACAAGAAGCGACGAAAGTGCAACCCACACTGTCCCCACAAGATACACAAATAGACTTGTTGGACAGATTCAAAGGCCTGGCCGACGCAATATTGGACCAGCAAGAGCGATATCGCCACAGCCAGCTTCAACACGTGGTCCAGCACAACGTGGACAAGTTTGAGAAGTCGCTCGGTGAATACGCCAACACATTGCGCGCTCGTGTAGGCTTCCATGCAATCGAAGCAGCGTTTCAGGATGCCGCGACGCAGCATCGCGCACAAGTCGAGGCGGTGAAGTGTAGTTTGGACGAAACCCTCTTCACCGTGGAAGGAAGCGAAGTTGTGGACGAAGAGCTGCTTTCGGACTGCGCCACGTTGAAGCAATTTGTCATGCAAAGTGGCCGAAGCATGCTGCAAGATCGAATGAAAGCACTGAACAAGAAGGTGGAGTCGTGTCGCACCAAACGAAAGCACCAAATGCAAACCAAGTTGAAGGACATCAAGGACAAGTTCAACTCGAACGACCTGCTCGCCATGCAGACCCTTCTCGGCCGCATTTAATCCCCAGCCTCGCCGCCGTCGGCGGCACGAAGCGTCGCACGTATTGCATTTTGGATTCAAGTCGTTGATTAGTTTCTCTTGTGTCTAAGAAAGTTGCTAATCAAGGCCAAGAATCGCTTGGCGTCCACGTCCGTGTACGCGTCCAACGACGCTTTGGCTCGTGCGATGTCGTCCGCACTGCCAAGTCGCGACTTGCACAAATCCCACAGCGTTTCCGTGAAGCAGTACTGCACGTCGAATTCAGGATGGCCCTGAGCACACAAAATGTTGCGCGCGGCCCCCGTCACAAACGCTTCGTTCGCACACGAGTCGGAATGCGCGACCAAATCGGCCCCCGGAGGCAACACGCTCACCCAATCGCCATGCACTTCGAGCAAGTTCAACGACGCCGGTACCGGGCCCAGCAGGTTGCCACTTGACGGCAAAAAGTGAACTGTCTCTGCCTTCATGACAAATTTCTCACTCGGACCTGCGACACCGCCCAGCGCATGGGCCACGAGTTGGTGGCCGAAGCAGCCGCCGTACAAATTGGGCGTGCCCGTGCTTGCCACATGTTGAATGATCTCAATCAACGCTTTGTACCACGGCAACTCGTCTCGGACGTTGTAATGGGATCCTGTGATGACAATCCCATCGTAGTTGTCTTGAAGGACCGTCGCCAACGAGTCGCCCGTCGCGGGGTTCACCACCGTCCACGAATCGCCTTCGCGCGCCAACCCGTCGATGAACATGTCGCCTAGCGTAGCATCGTCGTCGGAACACTAAGAAGCAGATCACGGAGATAAGGAGGAAACACATTGTCGGTCGTACTGTAGGTACGCTTCTTCCATCGCTCCACAGCATCTTCCGTGTGAATCACGCAAAACCGCGGCATTGCGATTTTCGACTCGTGGCGAACGTCGTCGAAGGTTACGCCGGCGTGCTGAATACCTGCCCATTCAACCACAAATTCAGCGAAATGTCAACTGTATTTGCTGTGTTCCTGTACCGAATACCTACAAACCTCAATAAATGGTCACAAGACATTTCTCGTGGTGGGATTGGCTATAATTGGTACGAAATGTTGCCCTGCTTCGTCTTATTGGCTAGTTTGTGTGTGATTGTTGTTGTGTGATTGGCTCTAAATGTTGTGCTCGCTCGTCTTATTGGCTACGGGTAGTTTTACCCAGTTGCACGACGATCACCGAGTGGCATGACAATTGACGACATAACATGCAGATCTATCCGCTTGTCATTGATCATTCAACATGATGCACATCGACCCGCGTGACACGGACGTGGACAGCACGCGGTCGTGCGTAGATAACGTTGCCTACATCGTGGAGCAGAAGGATATGCCGTCGTTGCATCGATCGCCCCCGCGTCAATGCAACGACATGTTATTCCTCATCGCGTTTCTGGCCGTGATCGGGATGACCGTAGCGTTTGCCGTGCAATTCGGTCCTAAGTTCATCCAGGAGACGCAGCTCCGAGACAATCCCGATACGACCGGCTTCAAGAAGGTCCTCAACTACGCGGCGATGTGCGGCGGCGCGTCGATTGGCATTTCCCTCGCGTGGATTGTGACCATGATGTTCCTGGGCGAGTTTGTCATTTGGGCGTCGTTGTTCTTCATGATCGGTGCGTGTGTGTTTGCCGGCATCTTCATGACCAAGAAACTACACGAGCGCGAAGCCAAGGTGTACTGGTGGCCGGCGCCCGTATTTGGGCTCTTGGCGCTCCTCATCACGTTGTACGCCGTGTGCATCCGCGTACGTTAGTCCGTCCATATTGTACCGTCGTTCGTTCCCATCATATTCATCACGTATCGTTTAGAAACGGGTGAAATTCGCGGCCGTGCACCTGAAAATCGCCGGTAGCGCCATCGTCCGGCTGCCCATGACGCTCATTGTGGCATTGGTCATGGTCGTGGTGCAGTTGGCGTGGGCCATCACGTGGTTCCTTGGCGTGTATGGTCTCTTCGACCACCTCGAGTACATCAAGCCCAACCACCATTGCGCTGACCCACATTCCGCCGCCAAGTGCAAACTTCATGTGAAATACGGTCCGATCGTTGGCCTTTCGGTACCGATGCTCGCCGTGTTCTTTTGGGGCGCCATGGTCGTCAAGAACATCGTGGCAGTCACGGTGGCCGGCACCGTGGCGGCGTGGAAGGTCAACGTCAGTACCCCGCTCATCACACTGGGCGCGTGGGGCCGCGCCATGACGCTGAGCTTGGGCAGCATTTGCTTTGGCTCGTTGGTTGTGGCCATCTTGGAAGCCATCCAAACGGTCCTCAATTCGATTTCGATGGTCGCGGCCCGGAGCGGCAACTGCGTCGCCGCGTGCATCGTCGGCTGCTTGGCGTGTTGCCTCGGCTGCATCAAAAACATGGTCGAAACGTTCAACCGGTATGCGTACGCGTACGTGGGCATCCACGGGATCAGCTTCCTCAAAGCGGGGCGGCAGGTCTGTATATTATCATCTTCCTGTTCCATGTATATATATATATATATCAACCGACAAGGGGAACGGCCCGCCTCTGACAGATCGGTCGTGGCTAGGTATCGCAACTGTTTCACAGCAAAGGGTGGACAGGTGTAGTGAACGACGACTTGACGCAAAAGGTGTTTTGGCTTGGCAATTTGGTCGTGGGGGGGCTCACTTCGTTTGTGGCTGTGACGGTTGTGGCCGATCAAGTGGAAAACCAGTCGTTTCAGTTCCCAGGAGTCAAGCGCCCAGAGTACATGGTCGGCCTCGTGGCGTTCCTTATCGGGTACATCGTCAACAACTTGTTCATGTCGGTCATGGGTGGCGCAGTGACGACGATCTTTGTGTTGTGGGCCGAAGACCCGCTCGGGTGGTCGCTCACGCAACCGAAACACTACGCCGCCTTGCACAACGCGTGGCTACGGATCTACCCCGACGAGTACAACCACGGCCAAGGAGGCAATCCACCGTCGGAACTTGGCAACAAGCCACACGCGATGCCTGCATAAGTCTTATTCTAATACACAAGTTACATCCTATGGATGTAGGTAGTGTCGAATGGGGGCATATTGTGTGTGCCATAAACGAGTAGTAGTAGTACTAGTAGTAGTACCACCGTTAGTCGTATATATATATATTGTTGTGTTTATTCTAAACTGGAACACAACCAAATGTGGAGAAGAATCGGCAAAAGGATTTAGCCCAATCAGATTGCAGGATCATCAACTTCGAATTAGTGTATGAATTCAATTAGTGTGCTACCACTCACCAGCGGACACCATTGCAATTCTCCCACTAAATACTCCAAAGTTCAATGATATGGCTTTAGTTGTCCTGCTGACAATATTGATGCAAGCGATGCTTTGTAAAGAGCCAACTACAAGGACAATGGAAATATCATACTAGTCTATATATATTGATGCAAGCGATGCTTTGTAAAGAGCCAACCACAAGGACAATGGAAATATCATACTAGTCTATATATATTGATGCAAGCGATGCTTTGTAAAGAGCCAACCACAAGGACAATGGAAATATCATACTAGTCTATATATATTGATGCAAGCGATGCTTTGTAAAGAGCCAACCACAAGGACAATGGAAATATCATACTAGTCTATATTTTGCAGCCTGCGGCAAAAGATAGTGTCTATATGGTAGTGTCATGACAAACTTGACAGATGCAATTTGCCATTTGGCGGAAATAATTTGAGATGTTTGGTTAGACTGCACTGAGCGTCGTGGATGTGCTTGACGACCCTCGCCGGTCCCGCCGAGCCGACGAATTCAGTCGGAGGCGCATCGTCCACGACGCCTGCGACTCGTCCGGCTCTGTTCGCATGCGCTGATCGTCCTCGAACGTTTCGATGGCGGCTTTGGACTCGACGACATGCGACCGATTGTACCGTTCTTCTTCGTTTGGGAACGGCAAGGACATGTGAAGGATTTCCTAAATACATTTCCACAACTAGAGTTAGTCGACCCATCTACAAATCCACAACAATTATTAGACACATACTTCCACGGCGTGGTTGGACTGGAACGGATATGGCACGCTTTGAAACTTGATCAAATCTTGCGCCAATGTCCCGATCAAGCGCAGGCGGTTGAAATTCACATACGAATCCTCTTCATATTTCGGCAATTCGTTCAGACCTACAATGTTCTACAAGCAACGGAAATGTGTGTATCCATTTATTAATATATTCGTATATATATATATATGTCCAGCACAGGATGCTGTATATTATATATTGTGGTTGTGCCGAACCTGTAAAAATAGCCCGAGAAACGGCATGCAAGGAGGTTGGACCGACTTCATCACACGATTCATTTCTCTACAACAGTATTGTACGTTCGAGTGAAATTCCATTGTGTTGTGGTGTTGGATTTTAAATCGATTTGATTGGCTACTTCGATGAGCTCTAAATTATTAACCAATCAAAACCTTCTCAATGAAACTCAACCAATCAGATCGATTGTGGATCAGTATCAACAGTTAAAATTGTATCTTCGCCAACAGAAACGATCTCGTCCATCCCAAACACAATCAGAGGTTTTAGTATGATAGTAGTAATCTTACCTGCTTCCGCTTTGGGTATACACTTGGAGTTTGCGGAGTTTTCCAGTATACTCTCGACCCAACTATAGACTTTCGTTATAGACAACGACCCGAACCAATATGTTGGGAATATATATATATAGGTTCGTACATGACCAAACGTAATCTTCAACCGAAAGATGGGAGTCGACTGCAGCGCATACACAATCGCAATGAACGAGTCAAAGTTTTGGAACGCTGCAAAGCAAATCTCAGCCACCTACGGCAAACAACAACATGGCATTTGATGTAGTTCAACAAGAGTCGTTTGACTAGCAACTACTACGATCAGTAGCCACGACGACGACGACGAAGACAAGGAGGTGGTGACGTACGTCGATAAAGAAGCAAATGACACGCACGCGGTCACTTGGCGAGTCTTGGAGCAAAATGGAATTCGTAACAACGTCCGACAACTACGTACATGCGATACAGTACACACACATATATATATATACAAAATATCGGTAATTAAAGAGTGGTACGTACATGTTGAAACCAGTGGCGGGCCGACAAGAAGCCAATGTCTTGGCATTTTGGGAGGAGCAACTGGCGGATCGGTATCCGGCAAAACAGCGCATGGCTCAGCAATGTGACGTGGCGAGCAAAATCAAACGCAGTCGTTGTGGTCCTACACCCAAAAGTCATTTCGATCATTCAAGAACATGACGTTCGATACAAGAACATGGCGTTCGATACAAGAACATGGCGTTCGATACTGGACGTACAGCGAGAGCCGAGGGAGGGGGTCGTTCAGGTCGTTGGTCAAGGGCTTTCTAGCTGCGTACATCTCCGTCATGTGCTGGTACAAGTCCTCGTACAGCGTCGAGGGCGGCCCGACGTTGTACACGGCCGAGAGTTTGGCCATTTGGAGGTGCACCATGGGCATGGAGGCACGGGTGATTGCCACGCAGTCAGCAAATGCGTCCGTCGTCACCACGTCGGGATACAAGACCCCGACCAAGCTCAGAAAGAGCATCCCGCCGCAGTGATCTACAATAATACACCCCCATTCAGCCGCATACGGCAATGGACAGCCTACTGTCTCGTTGCAAACTGCCACCGCCCCCCCATGCACTCCACGCTTGCTTGAGTTTGGATTTCGCGTCGGGGTGGCCAAACTTTGCCTAGACACATACAAAACAGATCCGATCATTTGTTAACATGATTGGCAACGACCGTACCTTGAACAAGGCCAAAAGGTCTGTAATGTCCATGTACGCTTGAAAGTTGAGCACAAACGACACCATTTCATGCACGCACGTCGACTTGTCTGCGACCAAGTACGCCAAAATGTCTTCGATCTTTCCGTTTTGGATGCGCCATCGTTTCAAATCCCCGAGCTCGACCAGCGACACGTGCAAGTGCTTCATGTAGCTCGTCGGGGGCACGTACTCGCCGTGGTCCCTCGGGTGTTTGCGGTAGTCTTTGGCCGTATCCCCAAACACGTCCTCGACGTGCCCGTCCGCCCCCTTCTCCAGACACAGCTCCATCGCGTCCTTCATCGTTTTCGGGTCGAGCGACGTCGCGGCAAAGTGCACAACATATCGCCCCCATACGTCGCTGCACCGCATCGTGGCGGGGTCGGCCACGAGGAGCCGAAACCCGCGCAAGAATGCGGCGCCATCCGAAGCATGTTTGCGGTAGTTGCTGAGGAACACCATGGCGGGGATCCATCCGTCGCGATTGCCCGCCGTCAACGACGCCCCGGCCGCCACGAGTCGGGCGATGACGTCCACATGACCGGTGGATGCTGCCACATGCAGCGCCGTCTCCTTGTTGTTGGTTGCGGCCGATACACTGGCGCCTTTGAGGAGCAGAAAATCCACCAACGACAGGTCCCCCCGACGCACACACTCGATGAGCGGCGAGGTGCCCGTCGCCCATGCCAACGCGCGCACCGATGCCCCGAGCCCCACGAGGGTGACCACGCCTTCCTTGCTTCCCGCGCGACATTGGACGAGCAGCGGCGTCCGGCCATCCTTGTCGGGCAGGTCGACAATCGCGCCGTACGAAAGCAGCAGCGGCGCGATCTCTGCGACGTTGGCCACGAGCATGTGCAACGGCGTCGTTAGTTGGTAGTTGGTCCGTTGGTTGGCGTCCAATGCGACGTCGTCTACGAGGTAGCGGACGAGGTCGACGTTGCCGCCGCGGACCGCCGCGTGCAATGCCAGGTCCGGCACGGTCGTGGTCGTGGGTGGTGGTCGGGCGTTGGCTGAGAAAGCGAGCGCCGTCGGAGTCCAAAGACACGGCCCATGCAAGTTGAGTTGCGGAGTATTCTGGTCGACAATGAACCGGACGGTGGCCAGGTCGCCTCGGTCCGCGGCCGAGCAGAGGAGGTAGTGGTAGCATGCCGTGGACAGAAACCCATCGATGTCGGCGACGAAGAGCAGCCGCTTGGGCAACTTGGCGCGGCGCACGAGGCTGACAATGTCTGGCAGAGTCGACACGGCCACAAACGTGTCGTTGATCGCGACGAGCACAAGACCAGGCTGGACCGTCGCACTCAAGTTGGCCTGCGAGTACTTTAGAACAAACGCCACGCGGGCGCCGCGGTCCTGCGGCAAATGCGAAACGAACTGAATGCCGAGGTCAGGCGTTGCAAACGTCACCGACACGACCGATGTCGGGCTCGCGACGCTGGACAGCATCGACGAAGGTGACGACGAAGGGGAGAAGGGTGTCGTGATGTTGAAATCGGCCACCCATGCCACCGCGTCGACAAGCAACTGCACTGGACCGTCTAGCCCAGGGAACGGCAGGTACTTTTGAACGAGGCGCAGGATGGCCGCTTGCACGGCGAGGTCGACGACGCTGGCATGTATGCACATGTACCGATACGCGGCGGGGGCGGCGGCAAATTTGGAGCCAAGCATGTCCACGGCGCGCTGGAATATGCGCATCTTGTGTGTCGGAAGGGAGGCCGTGTCGAGGGCGGAGAAGGTCGCGATGGCGTCCGACCAGTCCGTGTCGGCGGTCGCCAAGACTGCCGCGTCAAAGATATGGCCAGCCGGAAGACTTTGCAGGATGGCCAGGCGCGCTTGCACGCGGGACGTGGGCACGTCATGGAGGTGCCTGTGGAACGTGTCTTGAAGTGGGAGAAAGATGCGATCTTCGAGGACGACGTGGATGCCCATGATGGCGTCGAATGGAACGACACGGTACTCGCCAGTTGTGAACAAGGACATATGGCTGGTCACGATTTGCTGGGTCATAAAGTGGACGAAACTGAGGATCGTGCCGGCTTTGAACCCTTCCAACGGCGTGGCGACGCTTTGGACGGCCAAGATGGACGACGTCGTCACGGGTGTAAACCCAGAGGTACTGGAAAGTACCCGACGCTGAAACCGGAGCATCTGCGCTGTCCACCCCGTCGGGCTAGCCGACGTCTCGGAACCAAGCAGGGTAGCCATCGTGGCTTCCGAATCAAAGGCCCCCACGTGACGATCGAGACCCTCATATTCCGGGGGAGGGTGCAGGCGGACGTGGCGGAGGTGGCGCACCCATGTGTCAGCTTCGTCGCCCGTCTCGCAACTGCACAGGAGTGTGTAGAACCCCTTTGTGATGCAGAACGCGTACGTGTGCTCGACGCGATGGACGTCGACGAACTGAACTTGCACGATGCCGTCGTTGAGGTCGACCTTTCCTTTGGACTTTTTGCGGTTCGATTTCTTGAAGTACTCGAGCTTGGCGTCGGACGTCAAGACGAACCACCGCTTCTTCCACGTGTGCCAATTGTGGCCACGCTTGATCAGCCAGCCATCGTGCACGACATGGGGACTCCCTGGAGCGATAGCCAAGTCCACGTCCAAGTTGGAAATCCCGTTTTCGAACGAACTGAACGTGCGGCGCTCTTGGTCGTTGGCTACAGAACTGCGCGCCGACGACACGGACGACTGAAACGATGGACGAATCGCCCATTCTTCGTCGTCGACAGTGGTGGATTCTTCATCCTGGCTACCAAGACTCCATAATTCGCGAAGCAACTGCCGTCCCGAGGGCGGAAGGCCACCTCCACTGTCCGCTGGTAGCTGGATCGGCGCGTCCGCCTGCTGCGGCGACGTCGCCATTTCGTTTTTAGTTTCTCAGTGAGTCGAAACCGTTCTGATTGGCTGAAATATATTGCCCAGTACTTGAAGTTAATACTACGGAGTAATTGCCAAAATATGCTTCAAATTGACCTTAACGTTACCAGTAACAGAGAAGCGTTATCAAAAAGTCAAAAAAGTGTTAATTCTTCAATTTTAGAAACTGGTAAGTTGATCAAAGAAATTAATCAAAGTCAAAATACTTTTCTAATGTGAGGTCTGAACTTTGCGACCAAATTAGTGTTTCTAGTATATTAAGAATGACAGGATATTTCGTGCCTGTATAGACTGGTCAGTAGTATATACCTTGGTTTGAAGTTCCCGTTGGGTAGAATTATGCATTCTAAGAGGTATTCAGGACAAGATCGGCCAACCAATGGGCATTTCGTTCTGCATTATCCCTTCAAGATTGAGTCGACGATGGCGGGACAGGATGCCGCAGCGTCAGAGGTAGCTGAGTTTGTGCAGCTATTCTTCGTACACCAAGTGGACTCAGGGGGCTGCACGTCTCAAAGCCTGCTACGCGGACTAGACATCATGATGACCTGTCTTGTGGACGTGGGCGGGAAACAGAAGAAACAAGCGGCAGTGACAAAACAGGACATGACCGAGTATCGCGCGGGCCTCCGGAAACCGCGAGACGTGATGGCGAATCCAGTCTTTGCACGCATGATGGCAAAGAAGCGGAGAAAAGTTTGTGGGTATATCTTCAAAGCAGACGAAGTTGCATACAGTTGCCGCGACTGCCAACACGACTCGACGTGTGTCATGTGCCAAGCGTGTTTTGCCGACAGCAACCACGACGGACACGACGTATCGTTCCAGCGTACGTCTGCTGGGGGGTGTTGTGACTGCGGGGATCCCGAAGCATGGGCGAAGACCGGATTTTGTACAAAGCACCCCGGTCGCGACAACGACTCGACGAGTTCTGGGACTGTGCCTTGTCCCGAGACGGACCTGCCCCAGGGGTTGTCAGTCGTGGCAGGACCGTTGATCGATGCCGTGGTGCAGTTCTTGTTTGACGCGCTCGTGACATCGGAGCAGGGATTGCGCGTCGGCGAAGGCATGACGGCTCTCGGCTCCCGGCTCACGGACGACATGAAAAAACAGTGGATGGACGTGGCATCCACCGTCGAACCATACGAGGACGACCAAGAGCTCAACTACGACACGCGCCTGCATAGCGACGACATCCACCCGTTCTCCGACGTTCGTCCGTTTGCTATTGGGTTCTGTGGGTGGATTTGGGGAACTGAACGATTGTCTTGTAGGTGATTCGAGCCCTACGAACCCACACCGGCGCGACCAGATCCGAAGCCATCAAGCTCGCCAACAAGTCGGACGCCGACGGGTACACGCAGATTTGTCTGTCGACACAAGTGCGCGCGGTGGCCCTTGTGGTCTCGCTCGACAAGTTTACGACGTCGGTCGTGCCATACGAACTGTACGACATGCGGCGCGTGCCCGTCTTGATCGAGTGGCTGCGGTCGCTCTGTGAGATTTCGGACGGGTTGGCGGCGCTCGTGTCGCGGAGCATCGAAGCCCGCCGCACGCATCCGTGCGCGGACGTGATGTCCCTCTTGGCGGCGCTGGTCCAACGCGCGTCGCTTCGGCAACAATCGGCAGACAAGGCGGCCGTGCGCAAACTCTCGATCGACCAGTGCTTGAAACATCGGTGGAAGGTCAGCCGCGACGCCCTCTTGCACGTGTCCACGGTGCTGCACCCCCCCGATAATCTGGGCGAGTGGGTGGATTGTCTGACCAAGAAGCAAGCCAACTCGTTTGCGTGGGGCGCGCTGGTGCCGGGGTGCCTGGGGGATTGCCTGGAAAAGGTGGCCAAGGCGTACCCGGCTCTGCTGGACGTGTGCCAGGAGACGGCGGCGGCGTTCGCGCCGTCTCCATCGTCCCTAGCCGCGCCGGCGCCGAGTATGCTCGACATTTTAGTGCGCAACTACTGCTTGCTCACCAAGCCGGCGATCCACCAAGTCAACTTGTTCATGCACGAACTGATCTTGAACCAATCGATGAAGCATGCCATGATGGATGCGTTCGTGGACGGGTACGCTCAAAACACAGCCACGTACTTGAAGGGACTCGGGGCGTCCAGCGACAGCATCTTTGACTTTGCCACGCAGCTGCTCACGGTGCCGTCGCTCCTCGCCAAGTACCCCAAGACCCTCGTCACGACGCTGTTGGATGCGCTGGCGTCGGTGCTCAGCACGAGCATGGGCGTCCGCACCAAGCCAGACGGCACCACATGCCCTGAATTCCGACCTGACAGTATCGCTATCAGCCATTCCAAGTACAAGGTGCGATAGTCCTCTCGACTGGTTCATTTTTAGGTGTTCCAAGTAGGTCGATGTGTACAAAGAACTACATGTCGAGTCTTCTTTTATCGTATATCTTGTATAGTTTTTAGGCTTGGATTGGGATTTGGATCTAAGGTTTGAACGCGTGTGTGTCGATTTTTCCATGTGTGGAGCTATCGATGGTATGTTGTATACAAGGACTAAGTGTATGACGTGGCTTGCTAACTGTAGCACGCGGGCGACCATTTGGAATTCGTGCTGGCCCACGGCAACCCCACCGACCTGCTTGGCCACGACGTCAACTTTTCCAAGTGGTTGCAGTGCCTCACTGTGTTGCAGGTACCCCGCGCCCACGATTTCAATCGACTGGGATATTATGCGTCGATGGAAAATAGAGTCGACATGTTGGTTTACGCTGTATAGTTTTTGTTATTACCTTATTGCTATACCAAATTCAACGTGGACAATCGACTAGTTTGCCGATGCGCAAGTTCGTCGAGGTCGCGACGAGCCCCACGTCGAGTACGAATCCGACACGTGGTTTGCCACGTTCAACTTGGGCATCAAATTGCACGCGTTATTTCCGCTGGTGCTCCATGGCCTAACGACGTCATCCAGCCCCCCTCTCTGCGCCAGTCTCATGCGACACGTGATGCGCGCGATCGACCAAGTCAAGGGCTCGTCCCTGGAGGTGACTGCCAAATCCATGCCGGCGTTGGCCGCTGGTTCATCGGGGGGTGTTGCCTCGTTCGATGCCACAGAGGCGTCGGTGGTGGTGATGGCCGCCGACGGAGCCCCTCGCGCCGCGTCGTCGCTGCACATTCCGTTGCATCGGTTCGTATCGGCCATGCTCAAGCAAGTCCTCGTGTTGTCCAAGGACTCGGACCTGTCGTCGTGGAAGGCGTCGCTTGGCCTGGACTCGCTCGCGGACGTCGTGCTCCTCCTTGACGCGCCCCTGCAGTGCTTGGCCATGTCGAGCCAGATCCAAGCCAACCTGTGGCGCCGCAACGGCGACGAAAACATGGTCACCCAGCTGTTCAACTATTGCGCCATGCCGTACTGCGTCAACTTTCGCGACGCCGATCTGTTCTTGCTGCAGGTATTGTGCATTTCACCCAAGTTTGGAGTCATTTCGCCAACTGCATTCGAATCCATTTGATCCTATTACAACGATTAGTATATATATGGTTTTGCCCAATGCGGAGGGACAGAGTCGAGTCAATCGTTGTATGGCGAAGCCTAGTGTCGTGAAATCATGGTGACACTTCTATGTGGTGATTTTTAAAGCCGTCGATAGTTGATTTCAAGAGATTGAACTGTTTCGTATCGTGATGCCCATGATATGTGTACACCAATATGTCAAGTTAACTGATCAGAATGCGTGTCTACATCAGACCCCTCCTCATGCTAGTAGTACCCGTTTGTTGAAGTGGATGCATTTCGGCGTGCCCACTCCAGTTTTTGAATGAAACCATTGACAACAGATGGATGGATGGCTGTAGGTGGGCGTGCTGCTGCTGGGCGCCGACCACGTAGTGGCGTTGGTGGTCGATCGATTTGGGTTGCGGTCGTACTTTACGGACGCTGACGACGCCACGGTGTCCCCCACGGCCACGTACGACAAGCACCAGGAGCTACAAATGGTGGACGAAGCGCTGCGGTTGCTGCTGGTGCTGTCGACAAACGTCCCGTCTAGCACAGGAAGCGACCACGAAGATGCGTTTCTGCGCGAAGAACTGGTTCACCAACTGCTCGTCCGACCAAGTACATTCAGTGAACTGAGTGACAACGTGTCGCTGCCGTTGGGGGGCCAAGACATGTCGGCCCCCATCGCCCGCCTCGAGCCGCTGTTGCAACAAGTGGCGAGCTTCCAGGCCCCGGTCGGGTTGGAACCGGGCAAGTATACGATCAAGGCCGACAGCATCGTCCAGTGCAACCCGTACCACATGCACTTGAACCGGGAACTGCACGAAGAGGCGCGCGAGAAGATCCTCGAGCGCCCGAACGCGACCCCGCCGTTTGTCCCGGCCACGGCGCCGCTGCCGCACCTGGCGGACGTGCAATCGTTGCTAATCACGTCGAGCACGGTTGAACTGGTCAAGTGTGTGCTCCGTCGTCGATGCGACAAGGACAACAACGCGCGGTGGACGGAGGCGCTGGTGTCGACCGCGCTGGACGTGCTTGTGTATGGCGCCCAAGTGGCCTCGACGCCGTCGTACTGGGAATTGGTAGCGCCGTTGATCGTGTACTTGGTCGAGTTGGAGCGTGCCGAGGACAAGGAGCACCGTCACGTGGTGTCGTGGCTGCTGGAAGAATACGCGCGTCGGTCGCCTGTCTGCGCCGCGGCGTTGACGGCGCAGACCACCGCGTCAAGTGGCGGAAATATCCAAGACAAGGCAGGCGACGCCGCACCAGAAACGGATTTACAAGCGCGGAAGAATCAAGCCAAAGCCCGCGCAATGGCGGCCATGGCAAAGCAGATGGCGGCCTTTTCCCAACTCATGGGCGACGAAACCGAAGAAGACGAGGTTGTCGGCGACAAGGCGCAGCCGGCCCAGTTGAACAAGAGCGACGACGACGGGAAAGCAGGCAAGACGAAGCCACCGAGCACCAGTCAACCCCCAAAGCACAAGAAGCGCGGTCGAACGACGTCTGTGGACAAGGCCACCCCGGCCCCATCCGACGAGAATACTGCGGCGCCGAAAAAGTGGAAGCCCACGTGCATGTTGTGCCACGACTCGAACTCGGACGACGAGTTGTGTATGGTGGCCATGGTACAACAGTCGACCGTGCTCTCGACGGGGTTCCGTCCGACTGCAGCCGACGCCCTGCATCCAGACAAGGGGCGCCAATCCCGCACCGACGTGGCGGCGTTGATCCGCGCCATGCAATTGCAAAGCCGAGGGGACGACAGCCGGTCGCCGCACTTTTATCCAAACCATAATTTCCACCACCACCACGATCAGCACGACCATCACGACCATCATCACGAGTCGGACGACAGCGAAAGCGACGACGACGACGACGACGACGAAGATAGCGAGGATGGTGGGGACGGCGCATCCCCCCGGATGGCATTTGCCGACATGTTTTGGGATATGGGCCATGACGACGACGAGGTCGACGAATTTGACGACCCCCATCGTCACCACAACCATCACCACCATCACCACAATCACCTTGCCGCCGACAATGAAATCGGTCGCCGTGAAGGGCATGGTCGTGCGGTCGCCCCCGAAGCGGAATTGGCGCGCATGTTGGGGGCGGCGGCCGTCGCTCCGGAAGAGGACATGGCACGCATGTTGGGCGGTGCGTTTGATCACGCGATGCGGATGCTACCGCCACGTCGCCAGCGCCAGTTTCAGTTTAACGTACAGCGGCGTAGCGGTGGCGGCCCCGCCCGCGTTTCCAAACGGAACGACGACGACGGCCTCAACCTGGTGCCGGTGGGGCTGTTTGTGCGGACGTGTCAGCACATTGTGCACATGAAGTGCGTCGACACGTACATGGGCACGCTGCACGAGAAGGCCATGCGCGGCGAAGAATTTGATGGGATGCAGGCGGTCGATGGCGACGCCCCCATGACGCAGTTCCTCTGTCCCATGTGCAAAGGCCTGTGCAACGTGTTGATTCCCATGATTCCGTCGACCAGTCCAGCCCCTTCCTCCTCCTCGTCCTCCTCCTCTTTGTCCACTTCTTGGTTTGACATTGTCGTCCGGCGGGACAACTCGTCGTGGATCCAACCCATGCACCAAACACATGCAAACCAAGACACGCTGGCCAAGTGGAAACAATACTACGAAGACGCATTGTGGGAACCCCACGGTAGCTTTGAAAAGGGCGCGCCGTACCTGTGGTCTGCCTGCGCGTACACGGTCGCGTCGACGCTCGCGGAAGTGGATGCCCTCAACGACGACGGAAGTCGCCTCCTCTCTTGTGATGGAGACACAATGATGGTGTGGCCATCGACGTTGGAGAAGGAGTATGCGTCCATGCAAGCGCTCGTGACGTTTACAAGGTGGTCGTTTGCGATGGTGCACCTGACTGGCGAATCCAAAGTTATCTACGAAACAGTCAAGCGGTGTTGCCCTGTGGTTCAAGAATCCAAGCGCGAGTACAAAAAGTACACCAAGGTACAGACTTATCTTATATCTATGGGCATGACAGAACTTACATGGCTGTAGATGATTGGGTCGTTGGATGCGTGCATTCGAGGAACGGTGTTAGGCTTGCTGGTTGCCGACACATTTACGGTACACAATCATATTTGGCTTCTGGATGACAAATGTATCGTAGGCGTTTGTCGTGTCGATGGTCGCCGCCGACTCGATCGATACGATCGGCGAATTGATTCCTGTGTTTTGCGCGGCCGACATGCTGCAGCGCCTCGGGCGTGAATTTTTCGTGTTGGAGCCGCAGCGAGCCGCCAGTTTTTACCAAGATGTGCCGGTCTCTGCTGCTGCTCCGAACAACGGCGTTGCATCGTCGGCTCGAGGCGGCAGTCGCATGCAGACTCGTCGGGGGGGCAGTAGTGCCCCCCCTGTCGTCACGGCTCGCCCCCCGCAGGACCCTGCCGTGGCCCACGCCAAGAGCTTGAAATTGCTGCAACGTCACGTTGCCAAAGCCACCCGCCACTCGAAACACGCGCCGACTCGCCGCGAGTTGCAAGCGGTCGGGGCACTGCAGTTGGTCCTGCGCCTGTGCGAAGTTGACCCGACGCTGCGGTTGAAACCCGCGGTGGACGTTGTCGCAGTGGATGCGATTGTGGACCTGAACGCGCTGCTCGTGCGTCGAATGCATGTCGTGTACGGGTGTTTGACGGACAAATCGTTACCGTTGCCGATCCCGCCGCCGTCGTTCCAGGACGTGAGCCAAGTGCCGCTGGACGCGCTGCAGACGATTTGGGAGTGGTGTGTGATCCGAAAAGCGTCGCAGATGGAGCTTGGGGCGGCGTCCCAAGACGCGACCAACCGATGCGACCACGCCGAACACACGAGCGAAGCCTACTTGGCCAACATGTTTATCCTGCGCGACAACCGGACGGCGGCGCCGCTCGAGCTGGTTGCGCTGCCGACCCAGTACGACGATCTCTACAGCCACCACGTCCGGCTCAAGTGCCAACGCTGCGACCGCGTCCCCCGAGAGCCTGGGCTGTGCCTCGTCTGTGGCACGCTGCTCTGCTGCGGCGAGTCGTGCTGTGCGTACTCCCATGTCAAGGGCAACCCCCCCATGGGAGAGTGTACGCGCCACGCGTTTGAGTGCGGCGGTGGGCTTGGCGCGGTCCTGATGCTCCAGCAATGCCGCGTGGTGCTGATCGCTGGCTCCATGGTGGCCTACTTTCCAAGCCCGTATGTGGACTCCCACGGTGAAGAAGACCCGGGGCTGCAGCGTGGGCGGCCACTCAAGCTCGACACGAACAGATACAACATGCTGCAGGCGCTGTGGCGCAGCCATCGTCTCTATGGCGAAGTGTCTCGGCTGCGCAACCAGCGCGACAACCAACAGCCATTGAATCTCACATATATCTAACTACCATGTAATACCAGCCGTCCCATGCTATATCATTACACGTGGCCTTATTGGGTATAACTACAGCTACAACAAGGCCAGGGTTTGGAACCGGGCGTTCAATTCTTCCTTGTCTGCGGGACGGAGGAGGGGGACTTCTTGGGAACTGCTGACGAGGGCAGCGTCGGAAGCAGGTGAGGTTTTCAAGTGTGGTGTGGGTTCGTCGGACACGTCGCTGCTGTGGTTTTCCAAGGGGTAGCTACGAATGAGAACTCTGTATGACAAGCAAACACAAGCTGTCTCACACTAGACAAAGCTCTAGTCGTACATGTCTTCGGCGATATGCTGGAGCTTGTGGGTGGACGTCACGGCAGTGGTAGCTGTGAGGACTACTTTCAAGTGGGCCGTCGCGTCCAACCACGTTTGGAGCATCGCACGAAATCCAGCGCTCGTGTGTTCGTCTGCCAGCCATGGATCGCACCCGATAAGCACGATCAGGCTGGGCCACTTCGTTCTACGGGACACATCAGGCTGCATAAATTGTTTGGTCGATTGAAATGAAACGCATGTACGTGTTGGTAGTGGAGTGTGTGCGAGTGACCTTGCGGACATACGTCCACATGCAAAAGTTGCCGCTTTCGGACGCTCGTTTCTGCATGAATGCCGAGACAAAGCCACACACAATGCGATGACCAAAGCCCAGAATACTATGCCTCGAGTCCACTCGATGAGCCAGCGCAATTGCAACCTCAGTGTCTACATATTGCAGCCAAGTTCGAATCGACAATTCTGTACGTGGTTTTCTGTGGCCGTACCGACGTCGTTTAGCGTGCTTGTGATTGTGACGAGGCGAGAATTCGTGGCCAAGAGTTCGCAAAGCTATGCAAAAAATCATCAACACTCCAGTTCGGCGAAAGTCACTCACCCGAAACACGTCGGCGGGGCGGCTCTCGGCGCTCTACCACAAAAGATGAAAAAACGTTCGAACCGCTGTGTCACTGAAACGCGTACGGGGGGCAGTGCGGGGAGCTCTCTTGAACTTCGACGACCAATTGTTGCCCCCGCTGGCATTGGGGCTTTGTAAGGGTCGCTCGAGCCAACCTTTCGGCGAAAGATGATTTCATCGTGCAACCCCCCAGGATACAGCTGAAGGGGAGGCTAGTTCAAGTATGCATATGAGCCATGACGCAACATATCAAAGGCGGATGTGGGGTTGTTGTACAGGGTTAGGGTCGGACGGTGTCGCGTCCACGAGCGATGGCGCTGTAGATGCGACATAACCGACCGCGGCCAACGACTTGTTCACGCTTTGTTGGACACTGTGCCCACCCGTGAGCGCAGTGTAAAATGCACTACAAACATCACGACGTTAAAGTCATCCGATACATACAAAACGATTTGGCCTCCGCACACACGTGGGAGCAGCACATCTCAAAGTACCTCAAACAATTCGGGTTATTCACGACGAGTACGTGGGGGACACCATGGGCAACGAACGCGTTGACTACACCACCACCAACAACCTCTCGTTGCATCAATTGCTCAAAGAAGGAAAGGTCATCAGTTTCCACGGCAAAGCCACCTCTCGTGCTAGTACCTAGTTTTCGCGACGGCGTGTACGAGAGCACAACCAGCTTGAGGGTGCGTTTGGACGCGGTCGAGGTGACCTCGAGCATGCCGAAAAAGTCGACGTACGTGAGCGGATGCACCAACCCAAGATGGTCTTCCAAGTACACATGTTCATGGTTGCCCTGGCCCAAGAAATGGAGAACCTGGCAGCCCCACGACAGGAGACTGTGCAGAGCTGGCCACGTGGCAACATGCAGCTTGACGTGGACGCAGGGTCGGTGTGCTGTACATTCCCTTATGATCGCCAAGTGCCGTTCTACCTCCAATTCCTACACCGACATATCTGAGTGATGTAACAAGTCGCGGTTGCGTACTGGAATAGGATGGAGATTGCCTTGGCGGTCGAGGCCCACGAGAGGGGCCGCCGCGCACACAGCCTACAAGCCAATCAATCAGTGGACCAGGAAATGAATGGCTGGGACGCGGCGTACGATTGTGTGGGTGCGATCGTGCCTAGGGATGGACCGCCTCGAGGCTTGGAGCAAATAAAACTTGCGCGACACGACATATACCAACGACAACGTCGGCTTTTCAAGCAGCGCAACCTTGTCTCCGCACCGAAGTGCCACACGTCTGTGTTGCTCTAATGTGACAGTCAATTGGATGGTGGCTATGCTGGTTGCGTTGTACCGAGATGCACCCCATTCACGACGACACTGCCTGGACTGCAGCGTTCAACGTACAGGGTGCCCCTTTCGTGCGTCAACTTGCAATGGTTTCGACCCAAGCGGCGGGTGTTGAGCGTCTCCACCGCCGAGCCAAACATGTCGCGGCCGAGTTTGAGCGACTTGAGTTTGCCTCCGCCAAAGGCAAAGTGGGCCAGCTGGTGCTTCTGAAGACGCGAACGGACGCCGGTGGGCAATTTCGCTTCTGGATCAAGGTGCAAGTAAAAGCAGCTGACAATGCACCCCTGGATACGCTTCTTGCCATTGTTAACGCCTCGAATTGGAGCGATGGGGTCAAGTGAAGGAGCAGTGATTTCAGCGGTGTGTTGGATGGTGGCGGCCGAAGACAAGGTCAACGCAGTGATGGCTGGACCTGTCGACAAAGCCAGACTTGTGCGGGGATGGATATCGTACGACACAGTTGTGGCTGTCCCAGTTTGGTGTTTGAGTGGGGTGGCATGTGTCGCGTTGCTGTGCACCACCATGAGCCGCTTGGTCTTCCGTGGAGTCGAGCCCGCATCGTCCAAGTCTCCAAGTGGCCGACGCAGCTTGGAGCCTTGTTCAAGTTCACCAGCATTCGTCATGCTGGAATCGAATGTGGCAGTCCTTGTCCACTTGACTTGCATCAACAGGCCATGGAACTACTGTAAAAGAACCGAGCCTCCCAACGGGTATAAATTGCATTATATATGCATTCTAGTTTGACTTGACAGGAGTACAGTGTATGTATTCATGTGAAAGACCTGCATTCAAATTGCCTTTAATGAATGATGGTGAATACTGTGTACTGTTATTGGTGCTGCCTTTCGACAACATACATTCTGGTGCGAGCCATGAATTTGAACTTCGCCTCCAAACTCGTCACGTTCCGAGACGAGATCGTTCTGGTCTCACACAAGCAGCATGGCAACGTCCACAAGGCCCTACCGAGGTGGCGATCGTGACTGGTTCCGTGTATTGTTTGGCTTTCGCGAGCTAGACTTTGACTACGAAGAGGTGCAAGGGAAGTTTGAGCTTGTGGACAATGCGACGACCCTGCGATCGACTGTGAATGGCAAGTCGTACGGCATTGGTACGTTCGAGTGCTTGTCGTTGGCTGCGTTGCGGGTCGCTGGCCTCGACACAGCCGTGGGCGGCGACACGAAACTGCGTCATGAAGCGTCCACCGACGTCTTCCTAGACCATTGCGACAGCGCCAACCAGCACGCGCTCTTCCAAGCGGCGTCACAGTTGAATTGCTTGGAGTTTATGAGTCCTCGAAGTGTAATGGCATGAGGAAATTGTGCCAAATGTGACATGCGACAGTAGGTGCCGGAACAAGGCGTCACGCGCTACGACAGAGATCCCACGCAAGGCCCCGCGTGTGCCCTTGGTAACTTGATCCGGGTAGTAGAACAAGTATATTCACAAACGCGTGGTAGCGGCAGGGCCGGGCACGGTATTTCGCAACTACTTTGCTTCTGTGAATGGAAAGCCTGGCCAAACTGCTGAGAATCAACTCAATAACCTCGACGCTGTCGAAGCCATTCTGTCCAACCACAAACACAAGTACTTGGACGTTGTCAACGGATACACTGACTCTACGCCATCCCGACTCGCCAAGCTAAACACAACGGTGCTGCACGACCACGCAACCAGGGACGTGCTGGCCAACGCAGTCAAGATTGGCCTGCACTGGAACGTGCAAGTTCCGTTTTCCTCTCGGTATGCCACGACCAACAACCAGCACTTCGTGTCGCAAGCGTATTGCTCGGCCATTTCGGTCGGGTATTCCGCAGCCAGCCAGAGCGACTGGGCGCCGTTTGCAAAGCTCGTACTACAGGCGTCGTACGAAGCTACGCTGTGGGCTGGTGTCGTCAACTACCATCGCACGGGATGCAACAAGGTGTTTTTGACGGCGCTGGGTGGCGGGGTGTTTGGCAATCGAGTGGACTGGATCGTGGACGCCATCGCCGCGGCTGTGGCGGCGGTGGCACGCCACGGACTCGACATTGTCATCGTGCACTTTCGCCGGGTGGACGTGTCGTTCAAGCGCGATTTGGCACTTGCCTTAGCCGAACACCGACGAGGTCAATGCTAACCCATAGTTTAAAACGACAATATAACTACATAGATGAAAGCTGCGCTATTGCCAGGTATTTTGCGAGTTCAGGCAATACTCGTACATTGCAAATGCGTGAGAGAAGTTGTGTTGGCTACTGTGTTAGCTAGGTACCTACCGTAGCGAAGGCAAAAGGCTACAAATGTTGTGGTGCCATGCTTTCGTTCGTCATACATTAACATGGCATCTCTAAATCATTGTGATATAATTGGACCGGGGGCGGCGGTGAGCGACGACTACATACGTTGTCATGTTGGTCCCCAGCCACTCCAGTGTTCACCCCCAACACCTTGGCCTTCCCCAGAATCTTCACGGGTTGTTCTTTTTTGTGAGTACTCACCTCATAGCGTTAAACTTGAGGCATCGTCCATGGATTATTTATTACACGACAACTACTAGCAACGCAGCCCTTCACCATGCCCACGCACGATCCACAAATGATACAAAACACTTGGAGTTGGTGTCAGTCTAGTAGCGCTAACATCGGCGGTAACTCGGCGTCGCTGTAGTCGACGTCTTGAAAAAACACGCGAAGCAGACGGCATGTAGCGTGCACAGTGACCTGCACCGTGGCAACATGGTGGGTGCCAAACGCGTCCAGACACATCCGGTGGACGTCGAGGCAGACGTGGCGCCATGTCCCGCCCTTGCCAAACACGAGCGGCATCTGGCACGCCGACGCTTGCACCCGCGCCAAGCTCCTCGAGTTGGTGATGTGAAACGTGCGGTACGTCTTGGTGTCGTCCACGACTTCGATATCCAACGCAAAGTACGCATCGAGGTTTTTCACAAACAGCACGAGGAATTGCATGACGTTGTGGCAGTTGAACACGACGCGCGCGTCACTGCCGCGGATTTCCACGACGGGCTGATGGACGTCGGCGTCCTCGACGACTTGAACGATGTTGTCGCCTCCCACTTGCTGGCATTCGTCGTCGGCCAAGAGCACCGCGGGGTGGAGCTCTAGTGGAATCAAATCCCCCGTGTCGCTTGGCGGCGATGGGAGCAACGGCTCCACTAATTTGTCTTCCAATTCCTCGAGTTCGATGGCAGTCATGGTTTGGTGGTGCCGAGTGGGTCGTAGCAGGGGTTTCACAGTCGGTTTCTTTATTATCTGGAGGTTTCTACAAAAGCAACCAGGATGAAACTGTTCGTGGCAGTTACGATGAAATCCTCCTTGATATACGATATCATGTATCATGTCGTGAGTTGCTTCGACGGCGAAATCATAAAACAACCTTCACAACACACTTGACCGGTATGGGTACAAACTAGTGCCACTGGCATCAAGATGATTGCAAATACCTCCCATCGCCTCACCATAACCGTGTTGGGTGAGAATCTAACCCCCCTAGCTCACTAGCATATTTAGAGCACAGTTGTATTAATGTAACTAACTGTACGTGGGAGTACGAGGATGTAGCATCCAAGTGCATTTAAGTTGCGAAGCTAGACGTAACGTTAATCTACAATAATTCGACACCGGTCAATCACCAACATGCTCATTGCTCCTTCAGCAATGAACACTGTGATTGTGAACTGCAACAATTTTCGCCCAATTATAGCTCGATATACACATTCTAAACTGGTACGTGTAAACCAGTTTACAATTGTAGCTGGAGTGAAACACCGTTTCAGTATTATCCGATTCATAAGTGAACACCGTGTCCGTACATCTGTTTCATAATGTCCGCGAACGCCGCCTTCAACGCCAACGCTTCATTCTTTGACCGCCATCGTCTCTTGTTCGAGTACGACACGTATGGTCATCGAGGCCATCCCAAGACGACCGAGGGGTTTATTGCAGCGATGCAGGCGCTGATGACTGTCAACTCAAGTGCCATAAGCAGTTACGACCACCTCGCCGCCCTCATCCATGTGGCACAACCAAACACCAGCTTGATCAAAAACCAAAGGCAACCCCTTCTTGGGGCTCCGACGCACACAACGCAGCAGTCGCAGGGTTCGGCTACCGCCGCCGAACTGCCTTCGCTCTTCCACCGGTACAACCCTGATCAACCACTGACATCACCTCCACCCGCATCAGTTCAACCAGCGCACGGCTTAGCCTCTATGGGGCACCCATTCCATGCAAGCACTGTCCTCGTCGACCCTATCACCACCCCCACCAACAAAGTAGCAATCCCTTCTCTTGTCCCCCCAAAGCATCTTCCACAGCGACCATATGGAATGAATCCCCAACCACACAGCCAAACTGCCGGCCATCCAAACGTGCACACTCAGCCGCAGCCCCAATCATCCCAAGCACCTTCTCAAGCAACAACCACACCCCTACTTGACAGCTCACTGCGCGTCATGCGAGGTCGTAAAGTCGACTTGGCCCAAAAAATCGAGCAGCTTGTGGGTCCCAAGTTTGGCCGCGTTGTGGGTCCGTCGAATCACAACCTTCCGACAAGCATCAAACGCCGCCTCGACGCGTACTATCGTCTAGACGACCGGAAAGAAGCGTTGTACCAGCTCCTCAGAGCCGAGTACGTGGCGCTACAACGGGGGCGGCAGCACCTCCAGCCGGCCCAGGGGCGGTAGTCTAGCATGCAAACAGCACCAAGCTTGTACGGTCTTTTATTATTTACTCGGACGACGACATGAAGTCGTCCATGACGTTTCGCACAGTGTCGTTGTCGGAAAAGAACAGACTGGGGTCCGCGGCCGACGTCGCTGTCGTGGCGGACGAAGTGCTGGTGGCGTTGGTCGTCGTCGCCACGGTGGAATATGGAAACCCTTGGGTGTTGTTGGACCCATTGCCCGCCGCCATTTGAGCTTGCATTACGGCTTGGGCAGGGTACCCACCGCCGCCGCCACCACCCATCATGTTTTGAACGAGGGCAGGGTTGAAGTTGGCTCCATATAGTTGGTTCCCGTAGGCCGCGGCCGCCGCCGCTTGCATGTTGTAGTTGAACAGGTTCATATGATTCATGCCGTCGACGTTGCTGTTTCCAGCACCGTTAGTTCCACCAGCATTGCCATTCGCCATGAGAAAGAGGTTGGACATGTCCGCGGCCGCATTGTTCATGGTTGGGTACCCAGCCATCATTTGGTTCATGTTCATCGGCATCATTTGGCTCATCGCGAGCTGCATCGCCGCCAAGTCTGTCCCAGGAGGAAAGCCTAATGCATTAGACAACCGAGCTTAGATTTGGAAGGATTCGAGTGAGCTAACCAGTGGGAGGCGCAGAGGTGGTTGACGTCGCGTGTTGCTGCATGTTGTGGTGTTGTTGATGCAATTGCTGCTGCTGCTTTTTCTGCTGCAATTGGGCCGCTTGTAGTTGCTGCTGTTGCTGATTTTGCTGATTTTGCAATTGGAGCAAATGCTGCTGTTGTAGCATTTTCTGTTTTTGTAAATGTTGTTGCTGTTGTGTCGCGGAAGGGTCTACGTTTCCCGCTGCTGTCGACGAGGACGATGGTGCGGCGGGCGAGGTCGCAGTCGCCGCAGTGGGACCATTGGAGTCCTTCTTGGCAATCTACGGTCACCGAGGAGTTGTGGAGTGAGAGTTTCGATGAGCTAGACCTCTAAGTTACCTGGTCATCTGCTAGCGCTGCCAGCCGTTCGAGGGATCGAGCGATTTGCTCTTTGTATCGGACGCATTTGACATGCCACTCCTTGTACTCGTTCTTTTTGTCCAGCGTGGCTATATAGGGGTGGCCAGTGTGTGATAATGAAGCATACAAGATGGCGACGTCGTGCACCTACGTCGGCTCTCTAGGAGGTTGTTCCATGTGTACAGCATCTTGTCATTGGCGTCGAGAAGCTTCTGGACATCGCCACCGCGCTGGTGGGTCGTCGATGATGCCATGAAGAACAGATCGATGCAATAACGTTAAATTGTGAAATCGAGTTGGAATGTCGTTTTGACCAATTCGATCCCTCGATTAGTAAACTAGACCATGTATTGGCTATAAATATTAAATATTCAGACCAATCAGTGATCGTCTTGGTCAACGGCATTCTTCTTCCAATATGCTATCGACGAATGGCTCGGTCACAGCGAATGCAAGCGTGCCTGAGGAGGCCAAGGCGCTACCGAAGTGCATTTACGACGTGATGCAGCTCCTGGACCAAGTGCTTCGCGTGGAGATCACTGACGGACGCATCCTTGTGGGTCTATTCCACTGCCTCGACAAGGACAAGAACCTCATTCTCACCGAAACGACCGAGTACCGATATGCCAACAACCATGTCAAACAAGACGACTCCCCCACGCCGTCCGTTCGATCCCTTGGGATGACACTCATCCCTGGTCGGCATGTTCTGAAAGTCAGTCGACAGGCCACCCCGCCTTCCTCTTAGTCACATGTCCCGTCCATCGATAGCGACACGTACATAACCTTCCGAGGCGACAATGCAATCTATAGCGTTAGAACAATACAGTATAATACCACACGTCGGGCTTATCATGCAGTCGAGTTATCCCGCGAACCAAGTCTCTATAACCAACCTACTGTTCCGGAATCCCCTTGATGAGGGCATGTTCGTCGCAAACGCAGTCGTACGACATGGCTACATCCATGTAGGCCATGTAGGTGGCGTCAGCTATTCATCTACCGGTAGATACCCTCAGCTTGCATTGGATTCTATGTAGCATGGCTGTCACAAGCAACCACCCGCTGCATGATTGTTGTTTACCACGTGGCTGCCTCACACTCTGATATGGAGGTCGTATAAAATAAACCATGATAACGGCAGCATTTATTTTGAAAACACTAATCCTCTCTTCATCAGAGTATGACGTATCACTCGAAATATAAAAAATATACTTTGACGGGTTGAGACTGATGATAATACAATTATTTATATCACAATTCGATTCATTTCACACATGGGGCTGCTCCTGCGGTTGTACGCAGCCATGGCGGCACTGCACGTAGTCGCGGCCTTCATAACGTCGGTTCCTGCATCCACGCGATACTGCTTCAACGAAGAAGTCAAGACAAAGCGTACCGCCCAACTTCGCATCGCCGTCCTCGAGAGCTACGATCCGTCCGACTATGGCATTCGGGTCACGGCGTTCGGCCCATTCCTGTCGTCGCCGTCCGAGTCCCAGGCAGACATGAACTTCTTCGACACCATTGTCAACACTCCGCCAAAGCTGAGCTCCACCGGCGCCCAAACCCCGTCGTCCGGCAACTCGTTCAGCTTCAACTCGGAGCACCGCGGCGGGTGGTACAAATTTTGCGTGGAGAACACGCACACGTCGTTTCAGAAGAAGGTGTTGTTCCACACGTCATATGGCCTCACGACGGAAGGCGAATGGGGCAAGGAGGACGAAGTCGAGGCCGAGATGAAGCAGATGCACATCAAGGTTGTAGGGCAAACGCTGTCCAACCTGGGGCTGCTCTTCGACCAGATTAAGTTTGAGCAAACGTACTTGGCCGAGCGAAACAACCGCCACTTTGAAACGCTCGACAGCAACTCGTCTCGCTTGTTCTACTGGACTCTGCTGCAAGTACTCCTTGTTGCCGTGGTCTACGGCACGCAAAGCTATTTCCTCAAGCTATGGTTCAGCTCCAACGGCCTCATTGGAACCACCGACCGCCGATGGGCGTAGCGCTGTCGAGTCAAAGGCAACAGCACCTTACTGTAACCGTACCCACCAAGCAGTAACATTAATCGTGAAGTGATGGGTGCTGTATTCTGATCGGTGGACTCTTAGTCACTTGTGTGGGCAGCAATATAAAATGAAGATACATCGTGAGGATAACGTTATTAGAGCATCTTTTCAACGGTAATTTCTTAAAGTATAGGTTAAAGTCAAACTTCGTTTTTACGGTTGCTATTTTGGCACTATCCGACCTTTTTAGAAATTACTTATGCCCGCAGAAAGTCTATTTTCGTATAGTAGCAACAAACCCTCGGGATAGTGCAAGAGTTTTTATTCTATATCCGAAACTTCGAATTGTAATAGTTAAGTTGGACGAATGTCCGATGTATTTGGCCGTGCACCCGATATATTTGGTGGTGTGCACGATATAATTAGCCATGTGCCCGTTTAATTTGGCACACCGAGGTCGTGTACCCGATATATTTGGCGGTGTGCCCGATATAATTAGCCGTGTGCCCAAGCAATTGGCCATCTGCCCGATGAATTGTGTCGTGTGCCCCATGAAAATAGAATAACTCAAATAATTATATTCCATGGAGTGCAAATCAGTTTTAGTGGAAACATCATGTGGTTGAAGTTCGGCGCACGCGCAGCGTGCGCCGAACTTCCGCGCGCTTTCCTCCAGCATTCAATGCTCATTATTCAAATCGCCAAGGAACGCACAGCATGGGCGTCGCTGCACCCCCACGAACTCCGGTTATGATGTCAACTGAAGTACTAGATATTCCCCTCTGTAGCCATGAGGCCCCTACGAACGCATACCTCTTTCCGCAAAGCAACGAGTCGTCGCAGCGTTCAGAAACGACGACGACTGCAAAACCGCGGCGTTCGCCAACGGGATAAAGCAAAGTACTGCTCAAAATTAATGTTGAATCCGATCGAGAATTTGTGGTCGTCGATGAAAGCCTAAATCAAGACACTCCGGCGTGAGCCACTAGCCGCGTTCATGGGCCCACCACCGAATGGTTTGACTCGAGATGAATTCCGAATTCAATATCTCGAGCGAATTGCTGAACAGGTTATCGATGGTAACTTTCGCAGCATTATTGCATTTCTTAAAAGTTTGAATAGGGGTCGATGCTAACCGTTTGAATCGATACGCGCTATGCCTCGAATACTTTTACGGACGCGCGGAGGCCATGGACGACATGGAAGTTGGCATGTGATGCCAAAACGAGGATGTTATGTGTATCATTTCGACTGCATTTTTTAATTGAGTTCAATTTTTAATTTGAGTTATTCTATTTTCATCGGGCACACGACACAATTCATCGGGCAGATGGCCAATTTCTTGGGCACACGGCTAATTATATCGGGCACACCGCCAAATATATCGGGCACACGACCTCGGCGGGCCAAATTAAACGGGCACATGGCTAATTATATCGTGCACACCACAAAATATATCGGGTGCACGGCCAAATACATCGGGCATTCGTCCAACTTAACTGTAAAAAGGTGTAGTAAGTTGTGTGACGAGAGTATTTATTGCAGATACTTCGAAGTATACCGGTACCTCGTATTTCGAACTAAGTAAGTAGTATTCTTAATACTATTAATACTAGTACGTAGTAGTTTCAATACTAATTATTAAAAGTATTCACGTCAAATTAAAACTTCGACGTATTTTGGAATACGGATAATTTCCGGCGTAGACACACACCAAATATCCAAAGTTCGAACGACAGTCACGCCACAACGAAAGTGTTCTGGAGGAGGCACCAGCAGCATGTTAGGCAAGGCATTTGTGGTGGTGACGGCATGGCTAGTTGGTGTGTCGACGGCATTGACAGTCAAAGTGCCTGGGGGACAGCGGGAGTGCTTTATTGAGCACATCAAGACGAAGCGGACCGCGTACCTAGAGCTCGCGGTATTGGAATCAAACGATCTGTACGACATCCGCCTCACAGCGCATGGACCGTATGCGACGACGCCGTCGATGGCACAGAAGGATATGCTGTTCTTCGACTCGCTCGTGACAACGGCTTCGTTGGATGAGACGTCGAAGAACGTACAACGCAACGGGTTCAACTTTGACACCGAGCATCGTGGCGGGTGGTACAAGTTTTGCCTCGGCAACGAACACTCATCAAAGAACGGCAAGAAAGTCGACTTCTCTGTGCGCTTTGGCCTGACCAAGGAGGACGAGCTTGGGCACGAAGACATTGCGGAAGCGTCCACGAAGGACATGCACATCGAAACGGTGAAGGCTTCACTGGCCCATCTGCAAGACATGTTCTCATCTATCCAGTCGGAACAAACGTACTACCTCCAGCGAGACAAACGACACTCTAAAACCGCCGAGGGCAACCAGTCGCTTGTGTTTTGGTGGACCCTGGTGCAAGTGCTGCTGGTGGCCATCGTCTACGGCCTGCAGAGCCACCTCATGACGCGGTGGTTCAGTGGCGGAGGGCTCTTGACCTCCAGTGGCAGTAGCAGTTCCAATTCGCGTCGTGGGTGGGCTTTGTAAGTGGCAGTCGGAGCGATAGACTTCCGATTGGCGAGTTTTCAACGCTACAACTGTTCATTTTGCATAAAGTAGCAGTGAAGTACCCCTGCGCCTGACAATCGTCAAGATAAGATGAACTGGCATGAAGTTATTGGAAATCGAATCATCGCTTCCAAGAATCCACCACCCACAGGATGATCAAAACACAACTATCTTTGCTAGGATTCGTACAGCTACATAGTATGTAATATACACGGGTTAGAGATTGCTTAAGGACCTGTGGAGATCAAAATGCTGCTACTTCCTCAAGGAAGACCGTACTAATCGTCTACTGCGTGATCTAGTCGAATGGTTGATGTACAGTATGATGGATGTCTCTCCAATAGGACAACTTGGTGTCGTGGACTTCAGGCATGTGCACACCACAAATTTCGTACGTTTTGCCCCAGAGCAATTGAATTTCTATGCAAAGCGATCATCAACTCTTTGGCGACGCAAATGTGGCTTGCGACTACGTCCTTGGAGACCATCCTCTTCCCAGGTGGTTCAATGTAGGAGCGTCAAAGCCCCATGCGTCCAAGAGGCAGTTGGGCTCAAACACACGCAACGTAGCCGGTTCATCGCGCTGTTGTACGCGCCCGTACCGGACCCATGCAACTTAGCGGGATGTTGATCGTGTACACTAAGTACCCTTGTCCATCCCCCGATCCGATTTCCTGTATGCACATGCACATGTCAATTCCTGGCCAAAAATATCAGTTTACAGTTCATCGCCAAAAGTGTCAGTTCATAGCGAAAAATGTCAGTTCGTGGCCACAAATGTCAGTTCATAGCGAAAAACTGCGACACCGTACGTGCATGAGTCCGGGTAGTTGTTTGCTTGGTGGATGGAAATGAACAGTACGCAGTTGCCGGCTTCGAAGGCAACTTAAGTGCCGTTGCCATGGCATACGTCGTAATCGACAATGACCACCTTACGAATGGACGACGGATACGTCTGCAACAGGTAATGCTCCGTAATGCCAATGCTGTTGAAATTACAAAACCCCATGTCTTGAAGCGCGTCGTGTCCAGGAGGTCGGACGAGGGCGTACCCGCATGCCACGTATCGATCCACCACGGCGTCGACCAACGCCAGCACCCCATCTACCAACAAGCAGGTCTCGTTCGCACCTGGGGAGAACTGCGCCCAATCGCCAGCATCTTCGCCATTCGGCACCAAACTCGTCTCTTGGATTGACTCAACGTATGCTCTGCCGTGGTTCAACTTGGGTCGCTCGCCGACTTGATGCTTGTCCAAGAGGCCGGTCGCCGCCAGAAGGCCATGGAATCACCATTTCGTCTCGGGGCTTTCCCATGGTGCAAACAGCGGCGTGTGTTCCGACAGACCTTGCCACGGAGCGTGCCACATGAACAGTTCCTCGATACAACTGTACAGTACAGTACATACCCCACACAGCCGGGAGGGTCGTTGTGATTTGTCAACTTGGCTCAGGTACAGTATACATACAGTATCACATTTTGCATTCCGGATACAGTATCCGAAACTCATACCTGCGATACAGTACAGTACTGCTTCTGTACTGCGCTAGCTTTCGAATGCCGTGGCCACTTCCAAGGCAAGAGGCTTATCGTTTTGGACGTGTGTGACGGTGAGACTATTCGCCTCCCCAGCCCGAGAATGGTCTCGTTGAGGTTTATCTTTCGGTACTTCACTACAAAAGTCTCCAGACGCAATCGTCTGACTGGTGGACCGGCCATCGAGTGGGCGTGACTGCCTCGGCAGATCCATCGCGGACCTCGAAACTCACAACACGATGGTCGTGGGCTCGCCGATGCCAATAATGTCGGCGTCGCGCTTCGGATGGGTCTGAAGGCTATTTGGATAAATATATACGTCGTCTTAGAACGAACCAACGACTTGTAAACGAACGAACGAACGACAGATAGCCGCGTCCTGAGGCACGTGCATGTCGACAGATGCGACCTCTCGCCACGCAGTATCGGGACTTGGTTGTCGTGAGCGACCGCTTCCTTGCGGCGACGACATGTGGCCCGTTGCGCAATCTCCAGGAACGATATCTATTTACAGTTAACGTTAAGAAGATATGTGATTATGCAGATACGTAGGTTCATGACTTGGCTGGTGAGCCATGTCGTACGGCCAAGCACCAGCAGCCGGTCGTGATCCAACCACCCCTTTCGCAACGTTACACGTTATTTCGATCTGGATCGGGATATTCGAGGCCAAAACTCGAAACCACGAGGGCCAGCTACAGTATTCGTTTGGCGATTCTTGGCGAGATATTGGACGACGACCTCGAGAGATATAACACTAACGTATTTAATTCATAGGCCATCCACGCTCACCACATGATTGATGATGATGACAACTGCTGCCTTTTGAAGACGTTTCTATGGCTTAACTATGCTACGGGTACTCTTTCTAGTGTGTACTACTACTACGTACGAGGGTGGTGGTGGCCTTGACGAGATTGGTTAAAGCCCCATGCGTTGAAAGCTATACACGTACAACATTACCATTCGCGTCAAATACAACCCCAATTATATATATATGTATATAGCACGTACTTTTCCTGGTGTTTTCCCAAGAGCGTTTGCAACTTAGCTTGGAACGACGTGTTGTCCTTGTATTTGGCCACTGCGGCATTCAAAATGGGCTCGGACACGCGATACAGTGCATGCAACTCGGCCGTGTACGCCGTCGACTTTTCCACATACCTACGCGGGCCGTTGTAGTCATAACGGCGTAGTGTTTGGATCGAAAAAGTGACAATATTCATGGAGGATGCTTACGCGTCTTGCCACATGTGAGCGTCAGCTGTGACGTCACGCAGGCCAGCCGCCTTGGCTTCAGCCAGCGCCTCTTCCATGGCACGACCGACGCCGTCCAGCACGGCAGACATGGCCGTCAGTGTGTACTCGGCCGTGACGTGCGATGGGACGTCCACCGCCGCTTCCACCGGCGGCGCTTGTCCGAGGGGGCTACAGACGACCCATTCACCAAACAATGACGACGATATGAATCGAGTTGGTTTGCACTTTGTACCTGTTTTCAATCACGCGCTGAAAGTTTTCAATGGCGCGACGCACGTCGGGGTCGGTGTGCATGTCGTGCACAGCGTGCTTGATGTCGAGTTCGGCGAGAGAATACTTGTCTGCGAGCTACACGAATGCCAAAATGATGGCGTTTACATCGTGGACGTGTGTGTATGCATTGTGCATTTTGAATAGGGTACAAGGAGACACGTACGGAAGCTTCCGCCATGCGAACGGCTTCGCTCAATCGCTGGGCCAGGATCGTTTGTACTTGGTCCTCGGGTACGTACTGGCCGAGGGCATTTGCCTCTTCCATGACCATTTTCGCCAAGTCGGGCAGTTGGGCCTGGATGATCAGACAACACATGTGAGCGAATGATCTCTTCGAGTGACAAGGAACTTCATACCACAATGCCTTCGATGGTCTCGGCCACTTCGTTCAAGTATCGCACCAATTGCTTCTTGGTCACGGGCGAGCCAGACGTGTTGGACTCCTCAGCCGATTCGTCATCTTCTTCAAAAGAAGACCCATCATCCTTGCTGAACAGCTTGGAGATGCTGAGCGCCACAATAGTCACGGCCACCGCGCCGAGCGCAAGCACAAGTCCCGACGGTCGCACCATGTTGTTTTCGTGTTGAAATGATGCTAAACAGGTCGTCCGCGCCAATCGGAAAACCCTCTAGAAACGTATACGCTATTAAATGATACAAGTTTCGTTGTTGCACTTTTGTTACAAAACAGTTCCAAGTCTTAACGTTGAGGTAACGTTAGTTTTGAAATATGTACACCAGTAACTTATTATTAATAATACTATTACATGCAATGTCGGCATTAGAAAACGTGGCGAACTGACAAGAAGTAGGAGCATCGACACTTGAACGTCTTGCAAATCAAAATGCAACAGCACCCCCAGGTATTATTACTATGAGAGTGAGCTGTGGTCGTGCTTAATGTCTATCGTTAGATCTCCCTCCAACCCTGTCATCGCAACCGTCTATCCTTGCGACCGACGGGGGTTTTATTCGACTTGCAATCCCATGCGCTGGAAGCTACGACGATACATATGAACGCCCGCCGTAGCTATCTACTATATACATGCATGATGGAACTTGTACGTACTTGACTTGATGCTTCTCCAAGAGCTCTTGCAACTGGGCTTGGAAGGCTGGGTTTTCCTGGCTGTACTTGGCCACGGCGGCATTCAAGATGGGCTCCGTAACGAAATACTGTTCGTGAATCTTGGCGGTGTACGCATACGTCTTTTCCATGTATCTATCGTCATACGTAATCACTCAAACGGCGATGTTGTTCACTTACTTTTCCTGCCACAAATGCCCTTCCAAGTTGACGTTCTTCATGCCGGCCTGCTTGGCTTCCGCCAACGCTTCCTCCATGGCGCGGCTCACGCCATCCAGGACCAACGTCATGATTTCCAACGTCCGGTCCGCCGTCAAATCTTCGGGCACTTCGACCGTTTCGCCCAACGGGCTATCGCAAGTTGAGGTGGTCGTTCGTTCGTTCGTCAATGGGTGTTCGATCGTTGATTCGATCAACGGATCGGCACGTTTGTGTGTATGTGTTGTACCTGTTTTCAATCACGGATTGCAATCGCTGAATGGCCGCTTGCACTTTGGGTTCGTGCTGGAGCTCGACCATGGCCTTCTCAATCGATTCTTGGTCAAAGTGATACTTTCGGGCCAACTACAACACATGCCAAGAGCGTCAGGTGTGGAAGTAAGTTGTGGTCATGCCACGTCATACGTACATCTTGATCGGCCATTTGCACGGCTTGGCCCAATCGTTCGACGAGCATGGCCTTCACTTGGTCTTCCGTGATCTGTTGTCCCGTGGAGCGTGCTTGCTCCATGACGGCTTGTGTCACTTGTGGCATTTGGCTCTACGCAGTATCGGTGAATGCTCGAAAAATGTGCAACAACGCTACACTAACCACCAACTCGTCCACGATGTCGGCCAGTTCGTTGAAGTAACTCGCCAAGTTGTCCTTGGTCACACCAGTCTGCGAAGACGAAGCGTCCCACCAGATCTTGCCCACGCCAGCAGCACCCAACACCGCGGCAACTGCAATCGCAACCACCGTCACGTCGCCTCGAACATGAGCAGGTTCGACAAAGGCACGAGGACACGAAGCCGACGACGTCGCAACACCACGGAAACCAGAGATAGATGATTTCATGGTGGTGCCAGGGATGCTCAAGGCAGCGCCGGCAGCAGGTGTCAGCCGCTTAGTGTGCAGGTGGCGCATGGCCGAGGAGGAAGCGGCACGGAACATCGTCAACGTCGCGCGGGTGCGTATAATATGACAAACGCATGCCATTCACTGCGTACCCTACCCCTTCCGAAATATTATCCGGAAATAGTACTCCGAAGTATGATTCGTAGAAAAGAGTGCTCACGCCATACTTGATTGGTATTTAACAGCAAATCAAATGGATATCAATTAGCCAACCAATGATGGCTCTTGTGAAACGTCGCGAGTGATAGCGCAGTATGTTCGGCGGCGGTCACCTCCAGCCTCAATGCCAGGCGAAGCATTTGATGAATGCGAATCATGTTATGTCATGATATTTTCGCGTATGATTGGCAATAACATGAGGCGAGTTGCCAGGGAAAGGTATCAGATACTGGGGGATAACCCATCCATGTAGGCGGACTATCCGACTATACTAGTATTGACAACTAGGTTGGCACACATAAAAGCATAACTAAGTTACTACTACTGCAGTATTGCGTCGTTTGCATACAGTACTGCCTCGTATTTATCGGACGCAATTATACTACCGTTACCGTGCTCTATCGTTACGCGTCTATTTCCATCCGTTTGGTACTTCGACGTTGACCGCCACCACCGTGTGCTCAACCCAGCATCATGACGAAAGCTCATTGTTCGTCAATCCAGCACCCACAGCAAACCCAACAGCTACGACGACATATTTCCCTCCACGACCCGTCGATGAACGCTGGCTTTGAGAGCAACCACGTCCGCACGCACAAGTACACGACCGCGACGTTTGTGCCAAAATTCCTCCTCGAATCGTTTCGCAAAGCCGCCAACATGTATTTCCTCGCGGTGTGCGTTTTACAGTGTGTCAAGAGCATCTCCAACACGAACGGCTTGCCCACGACGCTGCCAACCCTTGTGTTCATTTTGCTTGTCGACGCTGCGTTTGCCATCCAGGAAGACAAGAAGCGGCATGTGGCTGATCACGTCGCCAACCACCGCATGGTTCATCTTCTGAGGCACCCGTCATCTTCTTCTTCGATATGTCAATCATCTACCGGAACGGACCATAGTCGCGCCACTAGCGACGTAGTCTTCACGGCGCGGCCATGGGCCGACCTCCGCGTCGGCGACTACGTCCAGTTGTTCAACCGGGAAGTGATTCCTGCCGATATTCTAATCCTGGCTGTGCATAGTCGTGACCAGCGGCCACAATGCAGCAGCAGTCACAACGACGACGGTGGTCACCGCCCTTTCAATGCCGATGTTCGTGGGGCCATCGAGACATTGTGCTACGTCGAAACCAAGTCGCTCGATGGAGAAAGCAATATGAAAGTCCGAGAAGCACTCGACGTGACCGCAACCAGGTGTCGGGGGCCAGCAGACCTTCTAAAACTCCGGGGGCATGTGCTAGCCGAGCCTCCCAACAACCACACACACAGTTTTAGCGGCGTGCTGACATTGGACACAAGGTCGCCGACGACGGCAACGACATCAAAGGAGGGGACAGTATCGACCCCCATCACCCTAACCAACATGCTGCTGCGGGGGTGTACATTGCGCAACACCGAGTTCGTCTACGGCGTCGTGGTGAGCACTGGCGGGGACACCAAGATCATGCGAAGCAACAAACCCACGGCTTCGAAAGTGTCTCGACTGGATTCATGTGTGAACCAGTACATTGGTGTGTTGATCCTCATGCTCATCGCCTGCTGCTTGATGGCCGCGACGGGAAACTTGCTCTGGCTTTACTTTCACGAATCGCGTACGCCATACTTAGCGTTGTTGGAGCCACCTTCGTCGTCCAACACGACAGCTCCATCGTCGTCGGCCACAACCTCTGCCCTCACTACCTACGGCACGACGTTTTTCTATTACTTCCTGCTCATGTACCAGTTCATCCCCATATCGCTATATGTGTCCATTGCGTCGGTCAAGTACATTCAAGCATGCTTTATGATGTGGGACGTCGACATGTATCACGCAGCGTCCAACACACCGGCGTTGGTGCGATGTATGGCTTTAAACGAAGAACTTGGTCAAGTCACCCACGTCTTCTCTGACAAAACGGGCACCCTCACATGCAACACAATGGAGTTCCGCAAGTGCTCTATCGGTGGTGTCTCGTACGGGCGAGGGAGTCCCCCAGCCCGCTACTTGTCGTGGCCACCCCCAAGCCCCCTCCCCAAGCCCCTACCTACGACCACGACCCCCCACGTCAACTTCCATGGCCCTGAGCTGTATGCTCACATGGATGGCGCCGTGGGCGCCGATCAAGCAAAGAGAATTGACCTGTTTCTGACCGTTCTGGCTGTGTGTCACACTGTCCTGCCCGAGACGCCCTCGTTGATGACTTCGATCCGTCCAAGTGACGTAGACTCTGACCAGGTCAGTAAGGCCGATTGTTCTGACCCAGCGCTGACCGCCGTAACCTACTCGGCCGCCAGCCCCGACGAGCAGGCACTAGTGTGTGCTGCAGCGTTCTTCAAGTACGCGTTCGTCAGTCGCACGCAAAAAACGACGTCAGTACGCATCCACGACTCCCTCGTGACATTTGACACGCTGGCCATCTTGGAATTCAATTCGACGCGGAAGCGCATGTCGGTCGTGGTGCGTTCAAATTCGCCGAGTCGGACCATCTACTTGTTTACGAAGGGGGCCGATGGAGTTGTGATGCCGCGACTGGCGCCTCCCCGAGGGACTGCCGACCGGACACTTGTGGACCTTACGAACGGACATATTTCAGCGTACGCGAAGGAAGGGCTGCGAACGCTGGCGGTCGCGTACAAGGAGCTGTCAGCGTCGGCGTTTTCCAAGTGGAGCGTCACGTACGACGCGGCGGTGGCGTCGCTGGACGACATGGAACGGTTCAAGAGCGGGCAGCTGCCGAATGCCATCGACGAGTGTATGGACGAGTTGGAGGTGGAGTTGCACCTGCTTGGCGCCACCGCCATCGAAGACAAGCTACAGGACGGCGTCCCTGAGGCCGTGGGCACGTTGATTGACGCCGGAATGAAGCTGTGGATGCTCACGGGGGACAAGGACGAGACCGCCATCAACATTGGATACGCGTGCAACTTGCTCCAGCAATCCATGCGACTCATCACGCTCACGGCCAAGAAGTTTCCCACTGCCGCTGCCACGTCCAAGGAAATCACCGACCAGCTGTATCAAATCAGCATATCCGGAAGCGCGCCCATAAGTGCTCCAAAGATGTCGCGGGCGCCGTCGCTTCTCCGCAGCAGTCGCGCGCCAAGCCTTCGAAGTCGATCGCGCACAAAGTCGCATTTGACGCTGTCCCAGTCGCGCATTTCGCTGCGCAACACGTCGGCCGACCCGACGGCGCTCGTCGTGGACGGCGACTGCGTCTACCACGTGATGCGACATTGCCCCACAACGTTCCTCAACCTCGCTCAAAAGTGTAAAGTCGTGTTGGCGTGTCGCGTGTCCCCGGCTCAGAAGGCGGCCCTGGTAGCCCTCGTCAAGGAAAACGTGCCGTCCAGTCGGACGTTGTCCATTGGCGACGGTGCCAACGACGTGCCGATGATCCAGGAGGCCCACATTGGGGTCGGCATCTCAGGCCAAGAGGGCCTCCAAGCAGTCAACGCCAGTGACTACGCGTTGGCGCAGTTCAAATTTCTGCGCCGGTTGCTCTTGGTCCACGGCCGTGCCAACTACGAACGTCTAGCTAAGTTGGTGCTATACATTGTGTACAAGAACGTCCTGTTGCTGGTGGCGCAGTTTGCATTTTCCATGCAGACGGGGCTGTCGGGCCAGAAAATGTACTTGGAGTGGGGCGTGCAAGTGTACAACGTGTTGTTAACGGCGGCGCCGATTGTCGCGCTCGCCGTGATGGACCACGACGTCCGCGACGAGATTGTGCTGCGACTGCCGGCGTTGTATCGAAGTGGCCCGCTTAATGTGCACATCAACCATCGCATGTTTGGGCTCTGGGTGCTTTCGGCCGTCGTTGAAGCTGTCACGATTGTCTTGGTGTCGGTCGCGGCGCTCGAAAATAGCTCCGGCGTGGGTGGTGAGAGCCCCGGCTTGTGGTTTCTTGGGAACATCGTCATGACCCTGATCGTCGTGGCGGCAAATACTAAGCTTGTGTTTGTGCACCATCGGTTCAATGGGTTGAACCCGGTGCTGCTCGTCGGGTCCGTGGCCATGTGGGTTGCGACTGCCGTCACCGCGTCGCACTTTCCGTTGCTCGCGGGGATCAATTGGTACAACATGGTGGCGTTTACACTCGCCCAGCCGGTGGTGTGGATCACAGTGCCGTTCGTGATCGTCGTGGTGACCGGCTACAGCTTCGTCGTGCGAGCTATCGCCGTCACATGGTACCCGTCGGCGTCGGACATTGTCAAAGAGTTTGTCCTGGTGCAAAAGACTGCCAAGAAGTCGCCATCCCAGCGAGTGTCCAAGATTGCACCGCATACGAACGGACCTCCAGGTCCTGTAAGTGGACGAGCAAAGCTCAGTGGGACCCCTCAAGCTGGAAACTCCAGACTTCGCAGTGTCGTCGAGCTAGAGGCTTGACGATACAATTATTTTTGCAATAACGCTATTGAAAATCGTCTTACAGCCAATCAACGAGGAGATTGAGCTGTCTATACTATTTCCACCAATAAGAAAGAGAAATGGCCAACCGAGAGGATACTACTACTTACTACTAGTACTACTATTGTTGGTTCTGTCCATGATGGCACCAAAGATCGCCACATCGGCGGCACTACTCCTACTTCTTGCGGCAACACTCACACTTGCTGATGGACCTACGAAACCAACAGTATGGAAGCAAGGTACACTTACCGTCGTCCCTCCCTCTGTAGTTCCTCCAAGTACATCAACCATTCCGCCGACACCCACCCCCGCCATCGCGGCCTCCTCAACCACCCCGACGTCCGTTCCCCCTACCACGACTGACGTTGCGAACGCGACGACCTCTATCCCAAACGCAACAAATGCAACAAATGCAACAATTGGATATGTACCTACGAATCAACTCCCTGCACAGGGTGTGTTTACATACTTCGACCCGACATTTGGCAGGACGAGCCGCGTGCGCATCGTCGAGAGCCTTCCCCTGGGCGATTTCGACTTGGCCCCGCTTCCCAACACTATTGGCACCGCAGAAGCTTTGGCACTTCTCTTCGACAGCGCCATTCGTCAGTTGGACATATGCGCGATGTACTGGAACCTTCTTGGATGGGCGGATCACACTGCGTTCTCCCCGGACCAGATGAAGCAATTCGGCGCCGATCGCGGCGTGGCCGTCCTCGCTGCGTTGCGTAGAGCTATCAAGCGTGGCGTCGTGGTACGTCAAATGTTCGTCCTCTTCCGTTCTTATCGCGGCCGTAGGTTCGCATTGTCGGGTCAACAACGTTCGCGCCATTTCCAGAACTCGACGGACTCGACGTGGAGCTCCGCCTATGGGACGCCTCGTACTGGTATGGCGGTGGCATCATGCACCAGAAGCTAGTGCTAGTCGATCAGCAACACGCGTACCTCGGCAGCGCCAACATGGATTGGAAGTCCATGGCGCAGGTGATGGAGGTCGGCGTTGTCGTCGAACGGTCCCGCGCCATCGTGCTCGACATGCAGCGTCTCTTCAACCTATGGTGGCTCTGGTCGGATCCGGTGCTTATCAACCCGTTGGACCCCACGGGGGTCTTGGCCATCTGGCAGCCCGTAGACACGTTTGTGGAGAAGTTCCAGGCGGTGGTGCGCCTCCCGCCATGGACATCGTCTCTCGTGCAATCAGGATGGAGCCAGCCAAACCCGTTCAACGCCACGTTTGTGTCGTCGCAATTCAACAAGGACAACCAGATCACCGCGGTTTGGAACGGCGAGCGCTCGCAGGTGTTTGTGTCCGCGGCCCCAGAGGCTGCCACGTCATCCACTCGTACATTCGACGAAGATGGCCTCATTTACACGATTCAACAGGCCAAAAAGACCGTGTGTCTGAGCGTCATGGACTTTGTTCCGTATTCAACCTACAAACTGGACTCGCACAACGAAGGGTCGATCTACTGGCCGGCGTTGGTGGACACGATGCTGCAGGTAGTGTACGCACGACCCGTGGCTATCCGCATCCTCGTCAGTCGATGGGCACACACGAGCGCCGTGATGATCAAACACCTCAAGATCCTACAGACCCAGTCCAGGACGTGTCCGTGCGCCGGCGGCGTCTGCCTCGGCAACATCACGGTCCGGTTGTTTGAAGTCCCGGGGTGGGACGACACTGGCGACCACCGCAAGTGGCCCGCGTTTTCTCGGGTCAACCACGCCAAGTACATCGTCACGGACGGCCGCGCCAACGTCGGTACGAGCAACATGGAATGGGGGTACTTTTACAACACGGCCGGCACGAGTTTCAACACGGACAACACCGAGGTCATAGATTCGCTCCAGAAGATTTTCGATCGCAACTGGGACTCACCGTACGCCATCCCGCTCTATACGTATCGTTGAGTCGACAACAACGACGACGCCATCATATGTACACAAGAGTTGGGTTTGCCACCTCGTACTCCAGCTACAAGTGTATTTCCAGCAGAGTTTGTGTAGTAAAAGCGAATGGATTCGAGAATCGAATGATATCTCGGTGTAAACGTTGTATGGTGAAGGCTTGGTTAGACGCTAAAGTACTTGCATCCAAGTCGGTCGCACGAAGAGATGACTTGTGCCTGTTGGTGACCTTTCGACATGAGATGCGATCTTTTTATCCGGATAGTCATCTGATAAATATACTCCGGAGTAGTATTAATTGTACGCATACATATATCTTGGTTCATAAATTCTTCACTAAATTCCCTTAAATAGTTCGATTATGTCGAATCGAATCGATGCATAACATGGTGTCAGCATCACGATCGGCCTTTTGTATGGACTGTTGAAGGTTTGTCCACTTGGAATTCCCTGAAATAAGTTCTCACCCACCACTGACGTCACGTCGGCCTACTCTCCAAACGAATATGGGACGCAACGACCTTCCTGCACCTGTAAGCGATGCCGAATGGGCCATCCGCGTGGAACTGGCGGCGGCCTACCGCCTCTTCCACAAGTTTGGATGGGACGAAGTCATTTACGGCCACTTGACCTGCCGTGTCCCCAGTGAAGCCGACGACCGGGACGTCGAGAATGCCCACTTTCTCATCAACCCCCTAGGCATCCGCTACGACGAGATGACAGCGAGCAAGCTCGTGACAATTGACATCAAAGGCAACTATATCAACCGCGGCTCCACTGGATGGGACATCAACCAAGCCGGATATGTCATTCACTCGTGCGTCCACGAAGCCCGCCACGACATGCACTGCGTCATGCATTGTCACACGATCGAAGGGTCTGCGGTGTCGTCCATGAAGTTCGGGTTGCTGCCCATTTCGCAATTGAGTCACGTGGCCATGAGCGGCGGCGTGAGCTACCATGACTACGAAGGTCTTGCCGTCTCGGACGCCGAAAAGCCCCGGCTGAAGGCCGACTTGGGTCCAGAGAACAAGGTGTTCATCCTCCGCAACCACGGCCTCCTCACAGGCGGCCGCACCATCGCGGAAGCGTTCTTCTTCATGTACTATACGGTCCATGCATGCAAGATCCAAGTCGCGGCGCTTTCTGCCGGCATCGAGAATGTCAGCTACGCGTCGGACGAAGTGGCGCGCAACTTCAAAATCGGCATGGCGCCTTTCGTCAAAGCCGGGGTCGGGACTGAAATGTTCGACGCGTTGAAGCGCGGCCTTCCTCTGGACTATGCCACCTAAGTAGTAACTCACGACGACAATGCATGCATAAGTGTAGCCTTGGTAGATGATGCAATCTGGCGCGAATACATCATGCTCCGTCTACGAAGTACTTCTGTACCGTGCAGGTGCGGTCTCAGCTGACTCAGGCCACTGAGTACAAAGGTAGTACAAATCAGGCTCGCGGCACTTCGCAGGGGTACGGACTGATAGCTCTGGTTGGTATGGGTAGCAAGGAGCATACAACGCCATCGTCGCAGTATAATTCTGTCGATAGGGACTCGGATGGTTATGGTTTTTTGATGTGATGACTGTTTTGCATCTTTCATCGTTTCGTACGACTTTGCCGAGTAATGTCACCAACCAATCAAATGTCCCCGTCACCCCATGGTGGCAACCCGCGCACGTGTTTTTGTGCTGGACACGCCAAGTCGTACTTTCATGGCGCCACGTCACGGGTGGACATAGCCACGTTGACGCCCTAGCTTGCCCCTTATCTCTGCCGCCATCTTGGATCGACGAGGCCATCCTCATTTTCCAATTCGTGCACCTTACTTTACACTAGCTATAGCATGGGCCGCAACGATCTCCCTGCTCCAGTCTCGGACGCCGAGTGGGCCCTCCGCGTGGATTTGGCGGCCGCGTACCGGCTCTTTCACCAGTTTGGCTGGGACGAAGTCATCTACGGCCACTTGACGTGCCGTGTGCCCAACGACGCCGCGGACGACGACGTCCAGAGCGCGCACTTTCTTATCAACCCCCTTGGCATCCGCTACGACGAGATGACGGCCAGCAAGCTCGTGACCATCGACATCAAAGGCAACTACATCAACCGAGGCTCCACAGGTTTGGACATCAACCAAGCGGGGTACGTTGTGCACTCGTCCATCCACGAAGCGCGACACGACATGCGATGTGTCATGCACTGCCACACAATCGAGGGCTCGGCAGTGTCGTCCATGAAGTGTGGGCTGCTGCCCATCTCGCAATTGAGCCACGTTGCGTTGAGCGGCGGCGTGAGCTACCACGACTACGAAGGCCTGGCTGTGTCTGTGGATGAAAAGCCTCGGTTGAAGGCGGACCTGGGTCCCGACAACAAGGTGTACATCCTACGCAACCACGGCCTCTTGACCGGCGGCCGGACCATCGCGGAAGCGTTCTTCTTCATGTACTACACCGTGTCCGCATGCAAGATTCAAGTCGCGGCGCTGTCGGCCGGGATCGACAACGTCAGTTATGCGTCCGACGAGGTCGCACGCAACTTTAAGCTTGGGCTCGCCCCGTTTATCAAGGCCGGAGTCGGCACCGAAATGTTTGAAGCGCTCAAACGCGGACTGGCACCAGAGTTTGCCACGTAGGAAGGAACTATAAACCATACAACCACATTGTACTTTACCGTTTATACCAGTACCTTTTTGTTGCCGAATGAACTCCCATGCGGTGTTGCTGATATGAAGAGGAACCTCTTGGTGGATCTTCAAGGCGATCTTGAACCGCCGTGGACAGGTCGGTCGTTGTGGTCCACAGCTTGAAATGTTGTCATCCGGATAAATGCTCCATAACGTTACCTGTGATAACGTTTTTGATTCTATTTGATCACATACATGGCGGCGATGACGATGCTATGGTGCGCAGTATATGGCGAAAAAACTATGTTTCCCGTGACGATCTTACTCGAAGATGCGTATGTGAGCGATCTTCAGAAGGCTATCATAACTGAGATGAAAGACGTGGACGTTCTCCCAGCTAAGGTGAAACTGTACTTGGCGCGGAAGCAAGGCGAGTGGCTACGTGGCGGCTACGACTTGGAAGCGTTCTTGCAATCTGGGGTCAGCTCCGAGTATCCGAAGATGCTACCCCTTTGGAAGCTCACGATGCCCGAGTTGTTTGGGTCGAACTTCGAGCCCGCAGTCAACGTGATTCATGTGCTGGTGGCCCTTCCGTCCGAACCACCGTCGAAGAAGGCCAAGGTGGACTCAAGTGGCGTTGGACTTGGCGGCTCGATTGTGGGAACCAACCACGCCCAACCACCACAAGCGACGTGGAAGCCTGACGTTCCACCTGCCTTTTGCCTGTTGAACGACGATATGTTTTTCGTCGATCGAGACGATGCCGTGAAGCAACTTCAAGAGATCCATCGACACACATACATCCGCGCCGTGTGTGGTCGTGGCCTTGATTGGGTTATTCCACTTGCCGATAACGTCGTGGGTTGGGCAAGTCATCGCTTGGAGATCAATACGTCCAACGGTGCCGCGACGCATGGAAGGATCTCGACAAGCCCACCGACTTCCATAAAACTCTGATGCGATGCCACACCGTGCGTCTCGTGTTCAAGAGTGGAGCGTTGGTCGAGTCATCGTTCGACGCTGTACTGATTCATTTGCTTGTCAGACAGCTCCGGGACATGTTTGAGGTGCCGCCGGCGATTCTGTCGACTCCACCGCCGTCTGTCGTTGATTTCCTCGAACTGTTGACTGACGAAGTGGGTCCGCTGTTCATTGCGCTCGATGAGATTGGCGCTGCGTTTACATGCGACTCGTGGACCGATTTGAAGAGTCGAGATCGTCTCATGGCGTTCTGCCGCGCCATTGTTGGAAACTGGCTGTTGATTCCAAACATGTTGTTGGTGCTGCTTGGCCGAGGCCCGTTCCTTGGCCTTGTTGGGAAAATACCGACCCAAGTGAAGATTCAGGCCAGCCCGTTCACAATCTTCTGTCGGCTAAGGCTTCGCCTCCTTCGGCAAGGTCCGATCAAGACCATCATGGCCAAGACATTTGTCGACCTTGACGGGACCGCCACGATCAAAGGTGCCTATGGACTGGAGGACGATCAAGTGGAGGCGGTGGCCCAGCACCTCTTTCAGCAAACGTGTGGTCACCCGCGGTCCCTCCTGATGGCGTTCACAACGTGTCAATCTTATGCGGAACTCATGGCGTACCATGCATGCACCAGTCGAGATTGAAAACCAAGCGTTGTTTGTTAGCGAATTGAGAAAATACAAGAAGGTCGTGACGGAGATGCTGACGGTGATCAAGTGTGGAGAATCGACGAACCTCACAGCTCAAGTCAAAGATCCCGGCGGAAAACTGATCTCGTTGGACCAAATTGCCAGCAACTGCTGTATTGCGTGGCAAGGAACTGTGGTCGAGGTGGATGACGTGCTCTTGACACTGGGTCTTGCCGTGAAAAACTACTCAACCGCCAAGGTCTCTCAAGGTACCCTTGCGAGTGAATGCGACAAGTTCAATCGCATGTTCGAGGGGTGTGCAGCCGAGCCGAAGCGCTTAAATGTGCTGGTGGTATGTGCAACCAAGTACGACAAGGGCTTCTCGGACGAGTTCGGCAATCGAAAGGCGATGGTGGCCCCAAGTGACGCCTATCCTAACATTGCGCAAGTAATTTTGCTGAATTTATCCACGCCAGACAACCGCGCGGAGTTTTTTTGCCTAAACGATGCGCCGGACTTAGCCTCGATGTTGGAAAAGCGCATCGCAAAAGTCGAAGTGGAATTCAACAACTAAGACCAACGAACCCCAAGTGCAAGTGCAGAGGTAGAATAATGCGTAGCAAGTGCACCTTCAACATTGGCTGAGTGGAAGTCATGACATGTATTAGTTTGGAAGGGTAGTTAGTGAATGGGCATTTGGTGGAGTCTACCTGCAACGGCATGTTCGACGCGACCGCTCGACACGGAGCAGCTGGCAGCGTTCGCGTACGAACTACCCCCCCCCCGCATACACACTGTTCCTCAAAGACGAGGCGAAGACCCGCAAAAAGAAAACCGTCAACCGCATGCTCCAGGCGTTGAGATCAGGGCCGACAAGCTGTTCCAAAGCCAACCAGGAGCCTTCAGCGAACGATGCATCGTCGGAGGAAGATGGAACTAGAGATGATGACGACGACGGGGATTTGGTCACGCAGCGCCATACTGGGACGAGGGCGACCTGGAAAACGAAGTAGAAATCCAAGTCTAACTTCCACGCCTCGAATGTGACCAACGTCGCGTTTGACGCCAACACGCTTTGAAATAGTTGCGTAGTACTGTACTACTGTACTACAGATGGACAGGTAGCAGTTACCTATCAGTTACAATATTTCCAGTTACAGTTTCGTTCGGGTTTCAGTGTTTCCACTTCTTATGTCGGAGGAGATCATGGCAGCTGAAGACCACGAGAGTTTGGAGGAGCACATGCAATTGCAGAGAGTCTTTCGTATTCTGACGATTGACGTTCCCGACAAGCGGTTGGCACGCAAACTGCAGGTCCGTCCAACTCATAGCAATCACTACCCAACAGACACGTTGTCTTTGGCCGCTTTACGAGCTCAAGGTGTAGGTGGTCGAGGCCAAGCTAGCCGAGCTGTATCACGCGTCATTGAGTGACAGCGTTGTGGACGCCAAGACCCGCGACCGACACCACCGCGAAGGCAAACGCTTGGAAGAGTGCAAAGCGGCGTACTTGGCTGAACGACACAAATTGCACGGTGCGTCCCTCCAAGTATAGTGCGTGGATGACGAGACGGATGTAGCCGGCGGACAGGACGACCGGCTCGCCACGCACCGCATCTCCAAGGACGTGCTGGCCGAAGTGCTCGAGAGGTTGGGCATGCCCGTGTCGGCGGCGGAAGTGGAGGATATGGTGTGGGAAGTGAACGACGGGCTGGACGGCGCCGTGTCGTGGGACGAGTACAAGCGGTCGTTCCTGCGGTGCAAACACGACAAGACGTATCTCGAGCCGACGTTGCTCTTCCACATCACGTGCTTTGTCATGTACGACCGCGACTGCAGCGGCAAGGTATATATATATATATATATATATATATATATATACATGGTCATGATACAGCATCACGCAGTAGATGCAATACGAGAATAGGTCTCGATGGACGATGCCATGCATATGTTGTTTTTGAAGTATGGTAACCACATGGAAGCGGAAATGGAAGCATTATTTGGCAAGCGCCTGCGGGACGACGAGTTTGTCATGACGTTGACGTTTCCGCAGGTGTGCAAGTTGCACCAATCTCATTGTATCCATGTGCATATTGGATCCACTACTCATTCACGATACGTAAGTTGACCTCCCATTAGTACGTCGAGGCGCTGGAACGCCGGCGGATTGATCAAATTGACCAATTGGGGGTTTGGGGCAAACTCGGCGCCGCCAAACGACACGCAAAAGCCGCTGCGACATTGTCGACGCCAGTGAAACCCCCCGTGTAGCAGCCTTCAATCCGTCACTCGACCTAGAAGGACTTCATTTGACAGTACTTATTTAGTATAGCGGTATACATCATCCACGTATGCAAACTTTTGTATATGGCGAACGTGGGAATACTGGTATTTCATGCATGTATCACTTCTGCAATACTTCAGCATCACTTGGCTACCGGTAGTAGATACCGTTCATTCTTGATGGAGCTACAACTATTATATGATATATTAGACCTGGTTATGTAGACTACAGGCTACGGGACATAAATGTTCGGCGCCTTGAGCGGCACGTGGCATGTTACTATGTATCTACAGCGACGATGTGCGGTGATCGTGACGGGCGGCCATGCTTTAGGTGGTAGTGTGTCGTGCACAGTTGGTTGTACCGGGCGTTTTTCTCGCATCTGTCATACTGACACCGCCGCAGGGTTTTATGGATGGCGGTGAGGATTTCATCAAACGAGTGAGTCGATGTGCCCCGGTCAACCATCGCTTGGGCCTGCACGTGCAGTTCTTTGCCGTGTTTGCAGCAAAACCGGTTGCGCTGGGCGTGCTTGGTGCATTCGGGAAAGCAGCACATGGTGAACGCAATGGTCATGTTGTCGCGCTGCTTGCACTGCAGTTTCCCCATCGCAATCAACAGCTTCTCGTGAGCCGTGCAGTGTCTGCGGCCTTGCCGCACCTTGAAGCACCCATCCGTGCGGCACGTGCGCGTGGATTGAGACCGCGGCGAGAGCTCGGCAGCGTCCAACTTGTCGGCATGCTTGAGACACATGTTGGATGCGATGTTAGCCTTGTCACGGCACCGTGGAAACCCACAAGGAATGCTCACGACATGGCGGTTGCAATAGAAGCCATACCCATGTACGACTTTGGCGGGGTGCTGGCACCTCGCAAACTGACAATTTTGCTGGGGATTTTGGACCAAGGTAGCATCGGTGGGAGGTGGTGTTGACGGAAGGGCATGTTGGATAGTAGTCCAGGACGATTCTTCTGATGACGTCAGCGAAACTGGATGGGACAGAACGAGGTGAATCGAGTCCAAGTTCACGTTGACGATCACATTAAGCTTGAAATCGTCCAAGGTATGCCACTGCAAGGAAGTGTCTAGCTTGTCCTGGAAAGCAAACTCATGCAAAATCGATGGTGGCGGTGATTGTGGCGGCGATAGCAAGCAATCTGCGTCAAGATACATGCTATCGTCGCATCCCGCTGGTGCGAACACGAGCCTTCGGTCCATCAATCTTCGTGTTGGACTGTGAGCCAAGGTTTCAAAGGTATGGATTGCGTGCACCTGAGGTTTGTAAACAAACCAAAATATCGAACACTTGATGTTCCCGTCGAAGATTTAGATCCGCCAATCAGCGATGACCAATACAAACACCAAGATACCAAAACCGTGTACTTTTTATAGTGTTGAGCTATAGTTTACACTATTACATACGTATAGGTCGCAGTGCGTCATGACGGTACCTCACGAAGTCGGACCCGTCCATTCCTATGCACTGAGCAATACTTTGTCTCACTCATGTGATCCAATAAGCTTACTGTACGTCCGTCCCATCCCCATCTCGCCACCGCTTTCATGCATGTAGTACGTATATATGCCCTGTCAAGGTTAACAGCCAAACGATCTTTTCAACGGCTCGCCATTTCTCGTTCTAGGAATTGAACCAATCAGCATGGATATGTAAAAATATGCCACCAATCAAATCGTTCGAACCGATGGGGTCAAAAATATACCCCACCACCCACTGTAGTGGTAGACCGACCTCCATCTTCTGAGGCCAGCCACTTGTAGCGCTGTGGCACTCACTCGTGCGTCTTCGGTGCTTGGCAACAACATGCAGATAACGTCAGACGTCCTGCGCCCTTCAGATGTGTCCTCAATCCAGCTGTACATCGTCGATCAGTGCAACCGACAAGGCAAGACCATGTACGTCATGAACGCTCTGCACTCAGGTACTCGGGCGAAGTGGGCTGTCGAGCACAGCTACTCTGAGTTTCTCAGCCTTCGAAACAAGCTGAACATGTGCATCAAATTTGCCAGACATCGATGTCCAGGCTGCGTGAGCTACTCGCGCATGTTGGATCGATTCCCATTTCCTCCAAAGAAGCTATTCCATCTCTTGAACGGTGTAATCGTGCAACGGAATCTCCAGCTCTCGCGCTTCATGGCCAACGTGATGTCACATACGTTCACGTCCACGCCCAAATGCAACTTATGCGGTGGTGCTGCATTTGACTTGACGAAAGCATTCCTTTTGGACGGCGCAACGTCCATGAACGGCGCATTTACCATGACCGCGATTGCCGACTCCTTGACCCCACGGGCCTTCTTCGTCGAGTATTGTCGTTCGGCGAGCAAAATTGAATGCTACAAAGGACGCACCATCGTTAAAGTGGTCCAAGTTCAGCGAATACCGCTGGCTGCCCTTGTGCCTCGGCCCCAGCCACCTTCGCCGTCGACGGCTCCAACCTCCGTGTGCGAAGACGAAGAGTTTTCAACGCTGGCACATATCCTCGACGGCGAACTTGGGCACATCAACAGCGTGTCCGTCGTCTAATCCCCCTCATTCCTGCTAGCACCACCGACAGAAGTGGCGCAACCTAATCCTATTTGAACATGATTTTGATTTTTGTAGCTTTCTGTATTTTGTTAATTATTGTCGATCTGAGACATCTTGGGTTTCGTATACTGTACTTCGAAATATAATTCAATACCTCAAGAACCCTGAAACCCAGGGGGGAAAACCTGTGGAACGTGTAATATAAATGCCAACAAAGGTTATGAAATATTGGAGGTTCTATGAAAGAACTACGTAGTGTGACTATTCAAGGAAATACTTGTGAAAACATCACATATTGAAAGTATTATACAGCATATGTTATGTTAAAACGAATCAGTAATTGCATGAAACAAGTACACTAGCTCAAAGTGATAATATTACTGAGCCGTACCCAATGCAATCTATGGCGACAGTTTGCATGCGGTGCTGGTGGGCATCGTCGTGCCGGAAGTGGACACTGTGGTCAAGTTAGCCAATTCGTTCGGGATTCCAACAACGACCTGCTCACCCCCACGTTTAAACTCAAGCGCCACGACGCCAACAGGGTGTTCTTACCCTCCCTCAACGTCTTGTACCCGCAAGTAGGATATCTTTTTTTCATAGATATGTTATAACCATTCAAGCAGCTGTCAATCGCTAGCCTGTATTGACAAGGCAAGTGGTGGAGTGCAGCACAGTCAACCACAGAACTTTTGCTATTCTGCCATTCAACATTCCCTCCAAGGTGAATACTCTATTACCTTTCATGGGTTTTTCGTTTATACCAGGGTGTGCAAAATCGAGGATTCACTGTGTCACGCGCGTTGCGCATGGTGTGAGTGCCACGTCCGTGAAATATCACTAACGTTACCGGTAACACTCTCCCCCTTAATCAACCATCGATACCACCACCTCATATACACGGCACGCTGGGGAACCTGCATGCCACTTCATGTGAAGCTTATACACGCACACCCACGAAAGAGAGTGATTTCTACGTCCACAACCATAGCGTTGGACAGCGGCAGAGTACTGTCCTACAGTAATAGATAGATCGATACTACTGATTGTACGACTAATCTGCGTACGTATTTCGAAATAGACTTACATTTGACAGGGTTTACTACTGTATGTACCGATCATGTACGATAGTGTACGTATGTATGTTGACGTACATTTGTTCAGCTTGGACAGAATGCCACGTGGTGGTACTGGTAGCACCAAGCCAAAGTCGCACCTTTTGTCAGTATGTATTCACCACAAACCAGTGCATTGAATCATACTTATGCGCTCTTGGCCTATTGACCAGCCAACGCCATGCCTAAGGCACGTACTTTTATGCAATATCTCCAAGAAAATGTTGCCTTTTGGAATCACCACCGATATTCTGGCGACACATCTCAGATGATGATGGGAGAGATGAGATGCCAAAACCGGCATGCATACAAATGCCTTGTTTAGGAGATTTACTTGACAAATAACGCACCTTCTGGAATTGGCGGCTTCTGTTGCGTTGAAATATTGCAAGGCAGTCACATCAAGACAAGTCACGGACTTGGAACGTCTCACAGGCCACCAGTTACTCCTCCGCCATCAGAAGCACCCACGAGAGAGAGCATCATGAAGACCAGTTCCACACCGCGTAGCTCGTTCATGTCAACTGCGTCCCCGCGAATGTCCTCGTCGCCATCCTTGAACCTCGACGATGTGAACATCAAGACGTGGATTCTCAACTCGAGTTTGATCGACAACATCACGTACTACCGCATCTTGGTTCGCCGCGGCTCCACGAACGTGATCCAAGAGACAAAGCGTCGGTACAATGACTTTCTCGAGTTCCGCGACAACCTCTTGGATCTATTCGAGGCCATGCCGACATGTCCTCGGTGCATGAACATTGCCAAGGCCGTCGCTGCGTTTGAATTCCCCAAGAAGCACTTCTTCTCGGCAAAATCCAAAGTCGTCATCAACTACCGTATGCAAGCGTTCCGCAACTTCATCTCGATGGTTGTGACCAAGGTGTTCAACCCGTCGCCGAAATGCCCGACCTGCGGCGGCCAAGTGATCACCCTTGTCCTGCGCTTCCTCTTGCGGCATGCCACCATCTTGCCCGAGAATCAAATCCCCCGAGACATGCCACGACATACCATAACCACCCCCAGCTCGACCCGGAGCGACGCGACTGCTGCAAGCTTCTGCAACTTTCCTCGCTCAACGTCGGCGCCCATGTCGAGTCTGCGCGGGAGCATCACAACGTCGACGTCATTGTCGAATGGTCCCGCTGCATATCCCTCTTCTGCGCATCGTCCGCTCGTGCATGCAGCGTCCGCTGGCGCGCTGCTTCCGTCGAGCACCCTCACGGCGGCGCCGGCGTCCAAGTTTTCATCCTTGCAGCGATACTCGGTCCCGCAGGAAGAGCAAGAAGATATGTATGACGACTTTGATGAAGATATCACGAAACAAAAGCAACTGGTGCGCCCTCCGGCCACGTTTGACAGCTTTTTGCACGACAAGGACAGCAATCGCAGCTACTCTGCTGTGTCTGATGACTTCGACGATCTGCATGCTGATGGGACGACCTCAGCGACTGCTGGCGCCGTTGAACAGCCCGAAGGCGAACGCACCAGCGACAGCTCGGACGACGAGATTGAAATGACCGGTGTCTTCACCACGATCAAGTAGGAACGGGGAAGTGTTACATGTGGCCTAAGTTATTTACATGGTATGCATATAGTTGTGCAAGTTATAGTGAACAAAAAGTCTGGCGAATGTTTCCAGCGTAACTTGTACTATAACTCCTCGAAGTACTTGAAGAGGTTTTTGACCACTTGTATCTCAGTCAAAATAGGTTATTGCCTTGATAATACTGGGTATTATACTTCGATGTAGAGAATTTCACTAGAAATCCGATGTTACTCCTTCGAGAGTCCTAATTAGAATAATTCGAATATCTTGTTATGGTCAAAACCGATCAGGCATGATGCTCAAGTTTCACTGTGCTTCCGTATAATATCTGTAAACCTAATCTAACTGTAAGCTTAGTACTGTATACCTCGAAGTAGGTTATAGACTTTTCTGGTTATATGTAGAGGTTTGGGTGGAGGAGATCTATATTACCTGTACTACAGCAAATATGATAATACCTGTATAATATAATAATAATTGTACGTGTAACCGGTAAACCTATCAATCATTTCCAATCGGAGGTATTATTAATAGGACTGTAACGTTATTAATACTAGTACTACGGAGTATCATACTACCAATATTGAGGAATCTATCCCAGAAAGAAAAGAGGAATGATGATCAATTATATTCACTGCTCTCATCAATAAGTTCTGATAATTCTTATCTGTTCTAAGGATGGCACTAACTGTAACGTTATACTAGTACGTATAGATATTACAGGAATACACGGTAGAGGTTTTGGTACGCTACGTGATACAGTGGAATTATGCCAAACTGCGTAACGTTAAGCTTATTACAAGCTTACTGTTAAAATAGGTTACCAGTATCAGTAGGACACTGGTAATAATAGTAATAGGTACAACTCATATTAATACGTGTTTTATTTGCTGTTATTCAATGTTTTAGGGCCCTCTGGTAACATGTAAAATTACTACGTAGTACAATATTCTGGCCCAAAACGACATTTTGGGGCCGAATTCACAAAATCTGATAAGACTTGAAACATGTCTTGCTTGAAGAGCTTTAACCCAAATATATGAATTTCAAGTGGGATCTACACTTTGAGGAAGTCCAAAACGCCATATTAAAAAATGGTCCTTTTACCTCCGTATCGAAAATGGCATTTTTCGTTTATCCCATTTTGGCGGAAAGTGGAATATTATTTTTGAAATGTTACCAGACGCACCCTTATTATTATACAAATTACTATTAATAGTACTGACAAGTATTATCAAATTTTGATTGTAGAATGGTTTTAATACGTATGTTTTTTATACTTAATTGTTGTATGCAATCTACTTGGAACTGCCCTAAAAACCTAAATGCTACTGTACTTGGAACTGCCCCTTAAACAAAAAGAGGTAAAAAAGTAGGAAACTGTACTTGGAACAACTTTTTCATTTGCTAAAAATATAGACTGGGAACAGTCCCTTATGGCCTGTTCGAAGTAGTTTCACCCAAATTTGGGATTCTAATGCTATTTGATGATATGACTCGCGAGTCATTTGATCTCATTTAAGCTTGTACAAACTATACAATACAATGATTAGTGTATATGTGGTTTTGCCCAATACGGAGGTACTGGGCCGAATCAAACGTTTGGATTGGCAGAAATTCGACATGACGTGATTTGATTGGCTTAGGCGGTTCTCTGAGGGCTCCAATTTACTGTTAGACAATATACGCGTGTGTTTTTTAATACGTAGTACGTTACAGTAACCACAATACAGTATTAATACTAACGTTAGTCGAAAACTGTGATCATAGTCCTAATTATTTCTTTGATGTGAGCGAAAATCCGAAATTAAACCCAATCCGGCAGTTTGAAGCTTGAAATAAGGAAGAAGGTATCATAAATCAGGAGTTTGACGCAACAACACTCGATCCTTCATCCTTGAAGCAATATATATCAATCACATGGAACGCGTGTACTCGGCGGTATTTGGTGAAGATGCGCAGAAAGCAGCTTTGATTCATGAGACCCAGACCAAGCACACGGAGTACATGGAGTCACAGCACTATGAAGATGTCGGCCTTGGCATCGACAGCGATGACCACGACGCATCGTGTGAAGTGCCCGTCCAATCGCTCACACCGGAGCTGCTTGAGCAACACAACCTTCAGATGCAACAAGGTCGGTATCACGACCACTCGCTACCTCCCTCTCCGCCGTCGCATCCTCTTGCATCGACATCAGCAGCAACACCAATCCGTCGACGACCGTTGTCAAAAGATGGGTCGCACGCCACCGAACTGTCCGAGCTCGGGGGTGCGTTGAAAGCCGGTGCCCGCGCATTTGTCCTGGCGTATGGCGCGAAGGCGTTCACGGCAGTGCTACTTGCCTCTCGCAAGTGGGGCGTCGATGACACCAACTCGTACGCGGACGCGCTGCGACTCTTGTCTCAGAGCGACACGCTCCGCTTCGGTGGGTTTGTCGGCGCCCTCGTCGGTTCATTCCGCGGCACCGAAGTCCTGTTAAACTACGTGCGCGGTCCCTGTGCCCCCGACGATGCCACGCACAAAGCCATTGCCGGCGCCGTGAGCGGCCTGAGCCTGTTTCTGGACACGCCGTCCCGTCGACCTGTGATCGCCCTCTACATATTCATTCGCATGCTCGACATTTACCTTCGCCATGCCCCGTGGCAGGCCAGGCTTGGCTTGGACGACTTGCTCCTCCGCAAACATCCGGTACTGACAAAGTACACGACGGAGATTCTGTTTGCGTTGGCCAACGGTCCCATCATCTACGCCGCCGCCTACAACCCGCGCCTGCTGCCCCAGGTAAGCAGTAGTCTTGAAACGTATTGCACGTGCTAAAGCAGGTAAATTGTATGGCCGCCCTACATACACACATGTAGGGCGGCCATATGTACTAGATGGGGCTACGTTTTCTCTTCTTTTACATTTATTCACATTTAATGTGGGTATACTAGTATTTTTATTGTGCTTTCGAGTGAAATTTCGTGTTGTCGCATGGTTTCTCGTTGGAATTAAATCGATGTGATTGGCTACTTCAGATGAGCTCAACATTATTAGCCAATCAAAACCTTCTCAATGAAATTCAACCAATCAGATCGATTGTGAATGGGTTTGGTTGGCGCGATTCGATTGCACCCCCTCCCCAAATTTGTATCAAATTGACAATATTAGAATTCATATGAATGTCCATGGCAACAACACTCGCACATGCAGTACTTCAAAGTACTTCAAAGTAGCATGATTCTGGCTTGTGGGATAGTTAGGTATACTACTATTACTACTATGATTACTACTACGACTACTAGTAATATTGGAGTGTTCGATGCGACGGCGTTGCACCTGTTTGATATTGATTCTATTGAACACTTAGAGCTACTACAACTTTATCCTAAACGCAGGCAAGTTGACCCACCATGGCACGGATTATGTCCTGCGACGTCGGTACCGCGGCGAGATTGACGCTGTGACAAATCAACTCGTCGAGTTCACACCTTGCCAGCCCCACTTTCACCGGTACCAACTGTATTGCTTCAGACGTCGTTTGTGTTAATTTCAGCATGTATCGATGTCGCTTGGTACCATCTAGTAGTTCATACAATTTTCTATACTTAAGCTATGTCCAAAGCAATACTACTTGCTGATGGATGGTATTGTCGTTTTGCCCAAAATTTGGTTGACTTTTGTGCTGATTTTTTGCCAAATCTATCGAACGATTCTTTGTACGGACTTTTGTATGTAAAGATGGTATAATCGCACTAGTTTCATTCACACACTACTTCGATGTTGAATTGGGCGAAGAGTGGATTTGATTGGCTACTTGATTCGTGTTCTGGGTTTTGATTGGTCGATCTTTGGTTGTGTGTTGATTTGGTGATTCTGCTCATTCGATTGAGCATCCAAACACTCCAATTTCGAATCGCCTTGACAATATGGATATAGGGAATCTTGTGTAGTGCACACTGTCAAGGACTGGCTCACGGACGGCGTCGTGCGCGCCGCTAGCTTGTACATTCCCGTGCACTTTACACCGTTGTTGCTGTTCAAGCACCGCCAATTGGTGGCCACGCCAGCCACGACCCTCTCCCAGACCGCTTTTGCTACCTTCCGGTCGTCCGCGTTCTTGTCCTCGTACCAGGTACATACATGCTCGTCGTCCGGTAGTCGTTCGACCCTTCTAAATCCGATACATATTGTGCATTTCACCTACATTTGGACTTGGGAGTCAATTTGCCCAATAGCTTTCGAATCTATTTGTTTCAAATTCAGCTTGTAGAAAAAAAATACTATACTACTAGTATACAACTATTCGTATTTGTGTGGTTTTGCCCAATGCGGAAGGGTCAAACGTTTGGATTGGCAGAAACTCAGCAGCAGAACGTGGTTTGATTGGCTTAGTCATTCTCTCAGTACATTCGATTCTGGTGAGGGCTCCAGTTTCGATTTGACAATACTACGCCGCCTTGGTGGTCATATGAATCCCAAGACTGACAGGATATTGTCCTTCTCACACAAATTCGGACTGTTCAAAAGTGAAACCGTTTTGAATGAACTACTTTGCGATATATCTTGTATTCACTATAGTACAGTGAGTTGAATGTGCAACAGTTTTTTTCTTAGAAAACGTCTTGATTGGCTGAACAATTTCAGAAATCTTGTAAACGGGGGGTTTAGAATGGATTTTGATTGGCTAGTTCAATCCATTTGCCAAGTCTATTCGATTATTCTTATGGCGACTACTCCAATTATAATACGAACCGACTTGACAATATACGTGGATGTACATGTTGTGGATATTCTAGGCGCTGGTCAAAGTGTTTCTTTGCGCTGCTCGCAACATTTGCCAAGAAGACTATGCACTGTCGGCACTCGGGGGCGGCGTACGTTGTTGTTATTGACATGTTGTTTCGACACATATATATATATATATTTATGGACATATATATAAATATATGTATGGTAGTTTGTCGCGGGGTTGAGTTTATTTTGCGAAGACCCCAAGCGCCGCAACGAGCTGATGCTGTACACAGCCGTACGCAGCCTCGACATGCTGTGGGCGATGGTCAAGCAGCACAAAACCGTCGCCGTCCCCCGATGTCTTCGACACTTTGACGTACGAAATCCAGATGCAGAGGATATATATATATTTATATATATATGCTAACTTGCCTTTGGTTGATTCGGAAAAGGGATATATATTTTCAGAGGGGTTGTAGGTGCTGTTCTTTTGCGTGTCCATGTCGGTGATTCTGTCGCGACGCCCGGAACACATCAAGCCCACGTATTTGTCGTTGCTGCGGTTCATGTTTGGCCCGGCCGTGGTGATGATGATGTCACCCCCCGACGAAGCAAATCACCCGCCAAGTCACACACCACAGGACGACAAAGATCGTCAACATCCCCCACCCCCACGTCATACAGTATTGATGCTGTAATTACATACGACGCAAACAGAATTAAACTATTGTGGATTCGATACGAATTTCCAGACCCCGTCGAATCGAATCACGAATCGACGCTATTGGCTAATCCATTTTTTAGTGGATTTGATTGGCTCTTGCAGAATGGACAAGTATATTCAACCAATCAAAACTCGAGCGAGATTCAATATTGATGACTAGACAAACCAGGCGAATTTTGCAAGTTTATAGCGAATTCACAATACCTTTTCGTTATATCTTGGATGTCGTTGTCAAGACTCCATTTCCAGATACAAGTGGGAACCACTGAGACGTAAGTACACCGTCGAAAACAACGATATAACGTTAATAATGTCAACAACTCGATATCCACTTTGTGAGTGTCGACCAAGAATGCTCGCTACTGTTTACTGGCAGAGGAGTTACAGGACGTACATCAAGCATTAGGACAAACGGATACATCTGTCGAGGGGTCAATATATATATATATATATATATATATATATATATATATATATATATATATATATATATATATATATGCTTGCTCCTAAACCACTAACTTACAGTCGTACGATCACATTTCTCCCCCCCCTGCATCAAACACGTCGACCCGTCCTGCACATTGACTTGGTATACAAAAGTCGTCTTCTTTTTTGCATTAAAATCACATACATGTTGATGTTGGACACGTTACAACGACAGCTTGTGTCCACTGAGCGTGGTAAAGTGTGGCGACGCGGCCGTGTTGTTGTGGGCGTTGTTTTCCTTGGCCAACGATGTGTTTCGGTGGTGTTGGTGGTGGTGGTGGTTGCCCAGCAGCGGACACACCATGTCGTACAAAGCACAGAGCTTGCAGTGGTCCACTGGGCCATCGTGCAGCACGCAGTGACTCGCCTTGGTCGCGTATTTGTAGCACTGCGAGTGGGCGCAACGAGGGGCGGACGCGTGGCGCACGCACGTGGTGGGGTTGGAGCCCAAGATGGCCACAGTACACCCGGGGACGGCGCACGAGTTGTCGAGGGCGTGGTCCGTGCACAAGCCAGGCACGGCAACCATTTCCTCGCAGTGGGGGGCCACACACAGCGTCGCGTTCGAGTGCAAGAGGCACAGCGGGGCCTTGGTTACGGTTTGGCAGTCGTCAAAGTTGCACGCCCGGGTCGGCGGTGAGAACGACGACGCTGTCGCGTTGGGGGGCGTGGTGGCTGCACCTGCCTTGGCCGACGACGAGTCGGCGTACGCAAACGACCCGCTGGCATGCGGCGGGGGCCACGCAAAATGATCCGATGCCGACGGGGGAGGCGGTGGCGGGGGGGAAGGATGGGGTCCTTGTGGTTTGGCATCGAACGACGACGACGAAGACGACGATGCAAACGTGGACAGGGGAAAGTGCACGTGGGGCGACACCCCCAGACACATCTCGCACACGCCTTTGCCCAGCACTTGGCGGGAGCACGACGGATTCGCACACGTAGACGACGCGCGCGACGACGGATACGGCGCGGCCGCGTCTTGGAAAAACGCGGCGGCCGACGGCTCGTTGTACTCGATGAAGCCGTACCGAGGATAGGACGATGCCAGGGGGTGGCTGTGGTGGAGTTGTTGGTGGCGAGACGCCGATGTCGGCTGGTACGACGAAGTCTGGTCCCAGTACGACGTCGAGGTATTGGACGCAGGCTGTTGGTGGCGGTGGTCCGATGGATGCTGCTGCTGTTGCTGCTGCTGATGGTGGTGGGGGTGATTGGGGTGATCGGTGGGTTTCTTTCCGTAGTCGTCGTGTAAGCTCAATTCGTCGGCGTACAGCTGGTGGGGGTGTTGTTCCCGTGATTGTTGCGAAAGATGATGCTGCTGCTGCTGCTGCTGATGCTGTTGCTGTATTTGTTGTTGCTGACTAGCGTGGTGGTCGAGAAGATCGATCATGCCCGACGAGGCGGACGCAGCGTTGGACGCACCAGGGGTGGCGAGTGGGTTGTTGGTCAAGTAGTCGGGCTTGAGCTTGCCGGAAGGTTGCTGCTTCAACGAGCTGCCCGAGCCAGTATTGCTGTGGGCACTTAGTTTGGAGGCGGCTTGCTTGCTGCCGGATTTCTTTTCCCGCTGCTCGTAGTGCGGTTGGCACAGCCAGTTGCAATACACGGCCTGCGTGCATTGGGGCTCGGAGCAGAACTTGAGCACCTTTTCTTTCGACGTGTCGGACGAGTGCAGCGCCAAAGACGGGATGTCTAGCCCCTTCTCCGCCTGGCCGCGCAAGTGATAGTGCGTCGTGCAGAGGCGGTCGCGCTGGGCGTTCTTATCGCAGTCGGGGTGCGTGCACCGTCTCAACTCGCGCTGCAGCGTCGCGAGTGCTTCGTCAAACGTTTGCGTCGTCTGTTGGTTTTCCACGAGCTGTTGAGCCTGCTTGATCAAGTCGTTGCCGTGGATGCGACACAGGTGGTTTCGCTGCGAATGTTTGCCGCATCCGGGAAAACAGCACATGGTGTACGCGCTGTTTAGTCGGCGTTTGTTGATGGCATGGGGCAGCTGCCCCGTGGCCATCATAAGCTTCTCGTGACCACGACAGAACCCCCGGCCTTGGTCGTTCTTGAAGCACCCCTTCGTCCGGCACACGGGGATGCTCTGGGATCGCACGGCCAACGCCTCGTCCAGCATCGTCGTGCCTTGCTCTTGGTGCTTGGCACATCGGGTGCCATTCGTCGGGGCCTTGTCCCGGCAGCCAGGAAAGCCACACGGGAACACAACCGCATGCCGATTGCAAAACACGCCGTAGGACTGGCTCACTTTGGCTCGGTTGGGGCAATCGTGGTACGAACACTTTTGAGCCGACGCGTCGCCACTCAGTTCAATCGTCGCGGTTGGAAGGGCGTCCAAGGTCTGGGGCAGCGCCGCTTTGGGTCGGCTGTTTGGGCCCGACGACGAGGGCTTCTTGGCCGGCACTTGAGGCGGCGACGTGGGAGCGGCGCTTGCTCGAGCTGACGCAGGACGGTTGCGACGGGGACGAGCGGCGTGGACGCTACAAGTGGTGTCTGGAGCGGTCACCGCCACCTCACAAGCTATGGCTTTGCACGTGAACGATGTCGACGACGCGCCGTCGCTACTACCTCTGCCGTCGACGGACGACGAGCCATCACCGCCATGATGTTGTGACGGCGGCAATTCGGTCTCGGTCTTGGCCTCCACGGCACCGCTGTGATGATGGTGGTGGTGATCTTCCATCAACCTAACTGACCACGACGACGACGACGATGTCTGCGAGCCAAGTCACACAATGAAACGACCACGTTGCTACTTTCTATGACCAAACTGCGACTCATATTTTATTGTAAGTGAAACCAAGTTAGGCACGACCACCATACAAACAGCAAGATAGAATCGTAACCTGGAATAAATATATCAGCCGCGACCAACGTTCCGGTCCCTTGCACTAGCGCTCACGGTTACAGTGTGTCCTCTGCGGTCCTTCGCACTTCACAACGTCGTGGCCTTCTATGGCCTGCGATGGCCTTGATGACTTCGTTAGATAGTGGTGTCGACAGCCTTTCTACGACTGTGCGAACTTCCGAACGTGGCTAAGACCGTAGGAGATGATGGCTTGCGCCGTCGGCAGGCATTTGGCGTCCCTAACCCAGTGTCTCAACAGTGGGTGGTGGCTGTATCATGAAGCCATTTTTATAAAATAACTTGCATTTTGTATTCCAATTGAATTAAATGAACTGCGAGGGGGAAAACTTCGAAGTACCGCACTGTATCGTTACAAGTGACTGGTCCTTCTCGGCCGCAGATTGGTGGATTCCAGCACTGTCACGTTTGAAAATTCGAAATTTGAAGTGCAAACTCGACCAACGAGGAAGGTGGGACGGCGTTAGTGATGATGCCAATGACATGCAATGCAGGCATACGATGACCCAAATGATAAATCGACCTCACATTGGTCTGTGATTGTGGTGAACTTCTCTTGCCCCCCCCAATGCTCAAAGCTCGACGCCCATCTGCTTCGAAGTACAGGAGCTGTATCACACGTGTTACAGCTACCAGGGGATCGACTCGTTGCAGCCCCACATCCCCAAGAGTTGTGTGGTACAAAATGTACTGTGTGGAGGTACCTAATGATAGTACTCAAAACCTACGTACTGATGAATTTGTGCACAGTATCAGCAATGACGACTGCAGACAGTCGCGGCTTAGGTAGATACAAGTACCGGTACACTCATTGGTGGATTCGCCGTCTCTTTGGCTTTCCGAACGGAGAAAAAATGACTGGTGGTTGCGAATTTGAATGCAGATGAGCTTTAAACATTACACTACTAGTACCTATAGTATGTGCACAGCATACAGCAATGAACACAGATCTCGCACGGCCTAAGGTGCCTGCCACTTTTCCCCCCAAGAATAGACAACATGAAAATCCCTGACAGTGCCACCAGGTAGTGCACAATTCGGGCTCAATCCTCGCCACGGCACCTCTCGGACTTCAGTACATAACTCGTACTCACAGTCAGCACTCACAAATTAAATATACAGTAATACTACAGTACATTACAACAAGTACTTCTACCCGCAATAAAAATGAGTACTCCAATGAGTACAATAAGTACTGTAACGATGTACAGGTACTAGGAAAGTAACTGTCACATCCAAAAATCTATTTATAGATCTTGAAACGGTCATGGCATTACAGTATTGGCTACATAACTGTGTGGTTCCCGTCAACGACAATCCATGACATCGACAGGACTTCGGACGAGCGCGACAGCGTTGCTAAAAGGGAATAGTATTACCAACTCAACGATATCCACGGCTCACTCGGACGACGCGCTCCACGATTTCCACACAGCCCCGTCCCATGAAATCAAGGTCGTGACTGCAAAACACACTCCTTGTAGTGTACGCTGAACATTATTATGTTAGCCAGGGGAAGACTACTACGTATCCTGGACGCGTAACGAAGCAGTCGACGGGTGTATGGTTTGCAATACCAGGTTCACACTCTTCCTCCGACGTCACCATTGCCGCGTACGTTCCACACGGTAGTGTTTTTGCATATCGTTTGACAACCCACTCGTCGTCGTAGAGCTGTGGCGATGTCGTGTGCGGACTATGCGCCGAGTCCAAGCGCGAAGTGTACGGCTTGGTTGGCATGCATCGCGTGTGCGACTCGTGCTTGACCAACGGCGTGTGGATGGACCCAGTGACCAGGCGCCGGTTGATGAAGATCGAGCAAAGCCAAAGCCTCGCGCAAGAGTACGACGATGAACATAGCCATATCATGGAAGACAGTTGTCCAAACCACGACGATTGCGACAACGACGGCCGACCAGGGACGCCACGGGATGAAGGAACCAACGTGGGAGAATGGTTGACTCTGACAAAAGGAAAATCCAACGACGAGGGAGGCCAGGACGAAGGCAGCGAAGATGAACATGACCATACGTTGGCGAAAATCAAAGAGTTTTATACTACGTTTGCCCCTCAAGACTTGCACTTAGCGACTGCTCAATTGGCCCATTACGGCCCACACCAACGAACCCTCATGTGGCGCATGTTGCAAGCCCATTACAACGTCTCGTTTGAAAGCGCTATGAAGTGCATGTACGTGATGTCACGATTCTTCCATTTTGGATACTGACGCGGCCGATGATAGGTGGAATGTCGATGACATTCATATCCATGGCCAAGACGAACCAGTCAACCCAGACAGGTGAGCTGCCAGCGCTTCGATTTTGGCCCGTGAAAACGCGCTTGGTGTGTAGAGATGCATCGGTGCGACAACCTGTTGGGGGATGTCGTACAATATTGCCAGAGGTGGAATGTGCGAACAATGCACAAGCCGACGACGGCAGTGAGGAACGAGTCGTCGAGTAAGTGAATGCTACGCGTGACTGTGAACTCATCTCTACCTTGTAGACCGTTTGTTGCTGAATTGAATGTGACAAACGATGTGGAGGAGTTCGAACAACAGCCCGAGGAGGAGGATGTTCCTCCTTTTACTACAACCATTGACGAAGTTCCTTTCAATCAAGAGCCATTGGTAACCAACGACAAGTCGAAGATTACACCGCAGCCGTCGATTGAATACGAAGAGCACCTTCCTGAAGATACAGACCACACCGCCATCATCCAAATGTTTGAGCTCCACCAGCCCCTTCCAACAGTCCAAGAGGCACACGAAGTCGTCTACAGTCCATCTTCCAACGGCGGTTCAGATCCATCGGATGCGAGAATGCCAAACAACGAAGGCATTGCTCCTTTGAAATCACTTCAGCGCCTTGCTGAAGAAGCGAATCTTGCGTACGGCCAGCACTTATGCCACCTGCATGAAATAACTTCCAGTGGATTTCTAGAGTTATCATCGCGCCTCCACTCGAGAACTGCGCAGAGTGTGAAATCGCCGAAGAAAGAACCCTAACGGCGTCGTCGTCGACGAACGACAGTGCAGCAACCTCCACAGAGGACACCTTGCAGACCGCTCCTTCATCAACAAACTCACAGTCACTCAACAAGCAATCCAAGGCAGCTCTGCCCTTGTCGTACGTCCACCTCCATGCATGCCACTGGGACTGAATGGGATGACTTAAATTTTCTACGTCAGACAAGTCGCCGTAGTTGCATTTGGTCGGCGGCAATGGCTATGGGCCGGTGGTGCGTTCGGGCTGATGTATCTCAGCAAGCGATCAACGACATGGTCAACCTGGATTCGAAACGTCGCAATGTTGTCGCTGGTCGCTCCCTCCTTGCGGGCTTTGGTCATTGCGCTCCTCATCCAGCCCCGCACAACGCCCACCCCTCTGCCCGCCACGTCGACTTCCACTCTATAAATTTCCTATTTCTTGCATTATTGTCGCCCCAGTAGATAGCAAGCAATTCCATCATAGCAACAGCTTCTGCCCTTGTACAATGTTAATGGTACTGTACATCGTAGCATTTCTTCGAAGCTTCTGGTACAATTGCCTGCCGTAGACTTCCTCTCTCTCAGGCTTGTTGGACACATTATAATTCAAGAAGCAATGGAGAATATCGGCTGAGATTCACGATCAGGGAATTTTCACCGAAACGAACGTGAAACCGATACAATCTTAGTCGACAGTTAAGCCCACTACGTGTACTGCACACTTCTTGCAATACCAATACTGTAACGACCAAAGCGCCTGAATTCGTTGGCGACACCATATTTGGCCATGCCGACGTCTCAGACAACCTCCTCTGTCCAGCCACAGCATGAGCCGCCATCATCCAGAATGACGAGCCCACCGCGGTTGTTAACCAAGCAAACGTCAGAGATCACGCCACAGTCGGTTCGAGTCGCGTCCATCTTTCAGCGGCATACATCGATGGAATCGTCGTCGCCGTCCAGGTTGAAAATGCAGACCAAACTGCACTCGCCCACCCACGCCTTCAAAGTATCGCCGTCCGAAGACAAGGTCACGTCACCAACAAAGAAGATAAAAAAGCACCTTCGACAAGGCTTTCGATTGTTTGCAAACGCTAGTTACAAGGACTTGCGCGAGCCAGAGATGCAGTGGAACCGCGTGCCGGCACCTCCAAAAGACCCACGAGTTGAGTTTTCCACTTTTTCACTGTGCTTTGTGGGTTTCAATAATAGTTCAGTTGTGTGCGTAGTCCGACGAGCCGTACGCCGTGTGGTGGGTCGAAGACGAAGGCTTGCTCGGGTGCATGATCTGCCACGTGCCTTTTGGCATGTATTTCCGTCGTCACCATTGCCGAGTACGTCCCCCACTTCAAGTGGCCGTGTTGGTTGCGCCAACTCCTTTCACGCACAATATGGATGTAGTCATGCGGGGACGTGGTGTGCTCGGACTGTTCCAAAGCCCGCAAGGAGATCCCTGGACTTCTCGGAAGCAGCCATCGTGTGTGCGACGCATGCATGTGTGACGGCACATGGGTGCAGCCAACGGGACAAGGTGCGAACATATCCCCCACCATCTGCCAACCATCACAATTCTCAACTGAAGAGTGCGTACAGAAACGACAGAATCGGCCCAACGATTGCAAAGCTCCGATGATGATACGACCCAAGTCGAATGGGTAGAATTTAACGACCCGCTTCCTCCGCCACCTCCGGAATCCTCGTCTGCATGGGGGTTGCAAGAAAGACAACACAGCTACGCTGCATACGACGAAGGGAATTCATCCCCAGGGCTGTGTGCGCCGCCTTCGAACCTCTGGTACAACGATCCATCTCATTTACCTTCAAGGCATGACCTTAACCTTAACGTTTCACAACCAGTAGCCTCCCAATGCCAGTTCCGGTGGTCGAATCGGCATGGGTCGCTGATTTCGAAGACGGCACCGCTGTCATTGGCACCAAAGTTGAAGGGCAATACAGTATGGATGGATTGGATGTTACTTTACCCATCTCGCCACTCGAGGTATACACTATCATGCTGTCCACCACCCATGCCGTCCACTCATTTCGTTTTTGGTGTGTCCTCAAAGGTCAACGATATGTCAGCGTGCTGTGGCATTCGTGGCTGTTGTGTGATTTCTTAGACAACCATCATCACTAGGTAACATGATGAATTTTACTGGTTTTGGGGAGGAATTACACGCGACAGAATCAAGTCTTGCATTTCAACGGGCGAAACTCGGGCCACAGAGGTTGGCCTTCGGTCCACGTTCGGGTCTGCCACGCCCATCACTTGTGTGGCACTGCGAAACGAAACCCGTCGACTGAGGCGCTGTCGCTTGCGTCCAAGGGGTTCGCTTTCAGCATGCGATGGTGGCTCTTGGTGAAGGTTGTAGTACGCCAACAGGCATTCTTGGCGGTAATACTCGGTGATCGAGTGTTCATGAAGGTCGCTAAACCGGCTACGCCATAAACGGCAAGGAAGGCGAGACAAGTCGAAATAAGCTGCGTGTGTGGCAAGGGGAGGGCTCTGCGGTTCCTCAAGACTCGTCGGCATGCCTTAGCAAGTTCTGTGTGCGAGGTATCGGTACTGGACTTGGAGTGTTACGCCACTGTCGTGGCAAGCACATTCCAGGCCATTTCCTGCTGCCATTACATATGTGCAAGTACTGGGGCCAGTTGGAATTCTCCTAAACACATGGAGCGATTACCAGCTGGCTATCAAAACGACTCTTGGATTCGTGATTCCCCAAAAGGGCGATATGGTTTCAGGGGTTGTGCTGGGCATGGGAACGTTGACCCCATTCTCTCGAAGTATTTGAAGCGCTAATGACTTTCTAGGCACTCGACAAAGCTATTAATAACAAACACGAGCTTTCAACCCTTCACGTTGCTTCTGCATTTCAATACTTCGAAGTTGTTGGTATCTATTTTCCGTCGAGCCCATTGTGACCTTCCGTTGCCTGTAAACATTGCTGAAGTGAGTGCAGTAAACGTCATTATCACCAAATCACATTTCTTTCCGTAACCACCACCAGAATCAGTTTGATAGCCATTGGATCCCGGTGTAACTGATTGCTTATCTCACCTGGATCCACTCGACATACCCCCAATGAAGTGGCTAGGCGTGGTGAGCATGTTGGCTACACGTATCGATGCCACCGTGACTACCATCGCGTGCACCAAGGTCACATCGTTTGAAGACCTACTAGCGTACTGGTGCATTTGCTCCCCGTGTCACCTTTGCACGTATAGTCTCACGCAAGGATGTACGGTGGTCGATTCGAATGCCGTCACGATGAGCGATGGCAGCGACGTTCGCACTCGTCAGCCATCGCTCGATCCGACGGACTGGTTTTTCACGAATGCTGACATCACGCGCACCCGCAACGGCATCGCTCGCACAGACATCTCTCCGTACACGTCCAATAATTCCGTGCTCGTGTTTGATGCCACCAGCGATTTCTTCCGGGCCATGTACCAGGATCTATTGGGCACCACTGCGAACGACGCCCTGTATTTCAATGCATGGACCCTTGGCAATGTCCCGTACATCCCAGACATCGACCCGACGAAAACGGTGCAAGCTGTGTGGGCTGACCTCGTCGCCCGCAACGTTAGCCTCAACGCCCTCGTGTTTGAAAACGCCCAGGTTCTTATACTTTTGCCATCGATCAATAGCACCATTCTCACCACCAATACCCTAACCACTCACGCTTGGCGATGGGAACTGTAGGAATCCAAGCCAGTCGCGGAGATGTTCAACTGGTTCCAACAAGGGCCTTCCAAGGGGTCGTCACAAATGGCCCTCGATAACCGCATCACGGCAGTCTCTGGATCAGTGCATCAGAAGTCCACGGTGCTTCGAACCACCGGCGAATGGGTGGCATATGTCGGAGGGGTAGACCACTGTCGAGACCGATGGGACACCAAGTTCCACAATAGCACTGCACTGCGCAAAGCAACAAACGTCCAAGTCGGTTACGACGGGTGGGTCGACGTGCATACGAAAATGCAAGGCCCGGCAGTGCAAGACATCCTCAACAACTTTCTCAGTCGCTGGAACGACCCCACGGCTCCTATCATCACGCCCCTCTTTTCGCTCTTGACATCGTTGCCCACCGCCTACAACAACCTCATTCGTCCCCTGCCACCCGTGGCGTTGCCCCCACCCCTTAAAGTCGTCAACGGCACCCACAGCGTCCAAATCACTCGCACGTACAGCTGTCAGTACAAGGGCTATCAAAATTTTGCACCCCAAGGAGAGACGTCGATACTGGCATCTCGCATCAAGGCCATCCATCAAGCGAAAAACTACATTTACATTGAAGACCAGTACTTTGTTCACGTACCAGAACTCCTCGCCGCCCTCGAACAAGTGCTCCCGACGATTCAACGACTGGTGGTCGTCACGAGCTTGCGCAGTTCGTTTTCGTCGGCCGCCGGCTACGACAAGTACTTGTTTGACATGGTCGCGCCGTTGCAAACGAAGTTTCCCCACAAGTTTCATCTCTATCGAACCATCGACAGCATCTACGTCCATTCTAAGGTCGTCTTGATCGACGACGTGTACTTATCCGTGGGCTCGAGCAACTGGAACGTCCGCAGTATGACGTCGGATGCGGAACTGACCGCCAACATCGTCGACTCGGCCACCGTGCAAGATCCTTCTGGTGACACGACAGTCACCAAGTTGGCGCGGAACTTTCGGCTCGCCAAATTTGGCGAACTGACACGGTTTTCCATCGACTTTAGCCGCATGACTGTCGTGCAAGCCACAGATGCGCTGGTGTTGTATGCAACTTCCCCATCAAGCAACCCATTCATTGTCCCCTACGTGGTCACGTACGAGCTCATGTTTGAACTGTACTCACCAGCCGTGCAAAACTTCTTTGAAGGCGACGGACGGTGTCTGAATGTGTCGGACGACTTTTGTGCTACCGTGTCCACTAGTGACTACGAGATTGTGCAAATTGCGTGTCAATGCGCCAAGGACAAGGTTAATCTGGACGTGTGTCCAGCCATGCTTCAGTACAACCACGACCAAACAGCGAAAAACTTGACATCTGCCCGCTTTCAAAAGATCTTGGCCATTTGTATCGCCGTCGTGGTGGCGGTCGTCGCACTTTTGACTACAGCAATTGTGTTTGTATACAAACGATATCGAAAACAAAGCAAAGTGCCGTAAGAGCCCCCGACGACCTCCCAAGCGATGTAGAAGCGACACGTATGCTAGCCGATGCAACAATATGCAATATCTGCACATGTACTAATACTTACTTGACTGCGTCAACTATCGAATCGATTTCTGTAGAACTAAAATACTAAGCGGACTCGGAATGGAGTGATCGCAGCGCTGGCCTTGTACAGTGCAACCATATGTAACTTCAATTTCTACTGTGATGGAACCCTCCTGTCATATGCACTCGACTTGCTGAGTTGTGTATTGTGGGTTGCATGGATCGTAACCCTGATCGCTTGCGTTTAAGCTTTGCAGTGAGCGACGTTATGTTCGTTGTTTCAGAATGCCCTCGTTTGTCATTGAACACGATGCAGCCTTGACCTCGTCGAGTTGCCAATCCTGGTCATCCTTAGTATAGTTGAGGCGAAGAGCCAGTACTTGCTTGTATTCGCCCGGTGGTTTACGTACAGTACAGTTGTATTGTCCGTCGTGGTGTATTCTCACCCGTGCTCAAACTGGATTTGACAGGTGTGAGCTTTTCAATGGACTTTCAGTTCAGCCAAGTTGGCATGAAAATGTGGCCACACCACTTTGTATACTGTCAACAGGTATCTTCCAAATGTAACCGTTGTGAGCCGTTACAAGTGGCTTGTCGAAAGGGCGTCACACTTTTCCTGCATGGCGCCGCCAATACACCGCCAACAAGGTTGGGTTGGCTGGCGGCACTTGGCCATCCTGCTATGGACTCTTCTAGTACATGACGCATACGCACAGACAAGCTACTCCCCCGGCCGAGCCGATACTCGAGTGGAGCAGCTGAACCTCAACAACTCGTTTTCTTGTTCGGGGGGTCCAACCCTCTGTCCCGACGCTGGTACATTCAAATACGCAGGGGGCAACCTCACGCTCACCATTGTGGAAATGCGCAACTTGCCGCAGCTGGACTCGTTTGGCCCGTTCTCCCTAACCACGGATGCCTTCATTCGAGCAACGTTCGGGGTGGACATTCTGTCGTCGGATCCGCTATTAAACAGCTTGAATCCGGTGTGGCCACCTTGCGTACAGCGTGGTTGCCAGGGCAAAACAGACATCAAGCGTGACCTCGCCTTTGGCTACCGCACGTCTGGAACGCCGTTTCTGGTCGAAGTGTTTGATTATGACGACGGCATGGAATTCGGAAACGATTTCATCGCGGCGCTGACGGTGCACGTGATCTATTGCTCGGCATTCTCCAGCATCGTGCAGTTCACCCCCAACGCGGGCGAGGACTCGTCGTTTGCGATGCCGAAGCAGCCCGTATGCGTGGAAGAGGTGTGGCTTCCACTCGCCGCCGGCGTATGCATCGACGCCAGCGGCAACTTCACGGACGTTCCGTGCATGCGACTTCGTCAAACCGTGGTGCCGTTTCAGGTCAAAGTCGAGGAAACGTTCGTGACAAGTGCCCGCGTGGCAGGAGGTATGGGGGGCTTTTATCCCGATGTTCCGGTGAGTTTGTACACGAGTGTGTACGGCCGGGTGTGGACTCCGGGTGACCAACGGTTGCAAAACTACTACAAAATGTCCAAGTCCCAGGGGGGAATCCTTGTACGGCCAGACAACACGCGAGGGATGAACAACAACCCCGGCAATCAATCGTTGATCCCAATCTACGGCTTTGCGCCGTTTGCACGGGTGACGATGAACTTTGACGCTGAAATGTACGTGTTTCGACGACAGACTGACATTGAAACAGACACACTATTGGGGCCCCTGGAGTGGCTGGACCCCACCCTGGGATGGGTGAAACAACAAGAGTCGGCGCAAGTGGTGAACGTGGCCGAAGACTTCGACGCCGTCTCGAGAAACTTCACCGCGCACCCCGTCAACAAGTACGGCGACGCATTAGGCAACGGCATCATCCTTGGCGTTAACATCCGACAAGATAACCCCGACGTGACGCTGTCCATGTACTTTGCAGTGCTCGTGCCCAAAGTCCCAGGCCTTGGCACGCCCCCTGTGTACTCGAAAGAGTTTAGTCGGGGTGCGTTTTTCCTCTCGGCATTGCAATTTGGGCCGTCCGTGGTTGTTTTGTTGTACATGAGTGTTCAGTATTGCCGTAAGATGCACTGCCGACTCGACCGCGTGCAGTCGTACTTGGCAGGCATTGCGCTTCAACATCACCAGCAGGATACTGACGACAATGCAAAAGGAGCCTCAACAGTCATGACAACCACTACACCTCCGTCGGTGTCGGTTCCAGCAGCGACCGCAAAGCCCAAACCCACCAAGACTACCAAAACCAAACCGTTGCCAGTCGTGGCCATGCTCTTTCTCTGCTACGACAAGTCGCCCCACAACGAGGACTATCGCAGACACATGTATTACGCTACGATGGCCGTCAACGTGTGCGTGTTGGCCCCCTTCTGCATCTTGATCACATGGGGGGCCACCGCCGTGTCCACTGTGACCCCCCCCGCGGTGGGGTTTTTCCTCATCTTTATCGGGGGCGGGGGACTGGTCGGGGTCTACGCGTGCGTCAAATGGCAGCGCTTGGGGTGGCGCATGACGCGAGAGATCATGTCGTGCATGGCTGCAGCGTGCATTTGCGGCTTCTTGTTTCTCTTTTGCTCCATATTTGCCGACCCGCGAGTGTTTTATGGCGGCACGCCGATCGAGTTTTTCAGTCTCACGGCATTCTCGCTCACCCTCAACATGCTGCCTATGATTTGGCTGACGTTTACCAACGACAAGAAGATCATGAAATCGTTGGCCCAAGTGTTGGCGGTGGTCACCGTGGGCAAAAAGGTCGGCTTGCTCAAGAAGAAGTTCAAGAGCCTCGGTACCGTCGGGCTCAAGTTGGCCACGGCCACGGAATCCCTCCGCCACGAGCGCGGCATCAAGCCCGTGTCGCCGTTCGACGCCCTTCTCGGCCCATACTATTCCGTTGTGCGCACCATTCCCGGGTTTGCCCTGGCGGATATTCTGCAATCTGCGTTTGTCAACGACAAACCCACCAAAGCCAACCGGCGCCTGTACCTCACCGCGTTGGCCATATTGGTCATATATGCGATTGTCGGCTACGTTCGCAGCGATTACCCGACCCAAGGTATTGGCATCCTAGTGACGATTCTTCTCTTGGATGCAACTCTGGCGCTGGTCCTTCGAGGCCACTTGACGTGGTCGGCAGGGTACATTTCATTGCTCATGGGCTTGACTCGGGTGAGTTTGGTGGCCACCTGCGGTCGGTACTGGCTATTGGGGCAAACGATGTCGTTTGCCATTTTCGGCATCGCCCTGTGTCGAGAAATCGTCGGCCGCAACCTTCCGCGCATGAGCTCCCAAGAAGCGGGCGGCATTACGTTTTTCGGACACGAATACCAGCACGAAAAGCAGTTGGATTTGAGCGCGACGCCGGAATTTGGGCTTGGGTTTCTGTCGTTTTTTTTTCTCTTCTTGCTTGTGGCCGTGGCGTTCACGACTGACAGCGCTACGGGGGTGAAATTGCCCATGTTTGGCCAATTCTGGCCGTTGTGGGTTTTCGGGGTGCTCAGCTTTGTGATTGTGCTCTTCACCGGCATCGCGCTCGCGAGCTCCCGGGCGTTCTTTCTCATGAAGCAGCGCCTGCTGGGGGAATATGCCGCGCAAGTGTACTTGTACAAGCCTGGCTTTCGGCTCCCGTTTATTCTGGCGGCTGCGTCCGAGCTCATGGTCGTGATGTCTGGCTTGTTCCTGTGGGCAGCCACCAAGTCGACGTTCATCTTCTTGTTGTCCATCTTCTCGCCCATCCTGCTCATGTTGTCCACGGTGGTGTTCGTGCAGTGGCGCAAGAACGATCACCGGCTTGTGATATGGCCACCCGAAGACGAGGACGACGAAGTGGATGATGAAGAATTTGACGAAGAGGCTGAATTTGCCAAGGAAGCCGACGCCATGCGAAACACATTTGTCCTGCCATCGCTACGAGGGGGGCAGCTGTCGGACGACGCGTCCAACGAGTTCAAAATGCCCCCCCTGCCGGTCCTCAAAGGCGGGGGAGCGCTTCTGGGGCTTGGGGGCGGGGCCGCGTCGGTGCTGCAGCTGGCTGGTAAAGCGAAACAGCATCCAAAAAATACTATCGAAGACGATGCAGACGATGCTATGGAAGCTGCTGCAAACGAAGCCAACGACGTTGAGAAACAACAGAAAAGTGATACGATGCTGGATTTGGAGGCTGGAGATGCTCCCGTAGATCCTACGGGTCCAGGAGACGCCAATGTAGACGCGGCGGCAAGTCCCCCACCTGCAGAAGGGGGGACCACCACCACCCCTACGCCGCAGAAAACTAAAAGCACGTGGCGTGAACGGCTGCGACAATGGATGGACAGGATCAACTGTCGCCGTCGAGGGGGAAAGTACCAGCAAGTAACCTCGCCCCGAGACATCCCACCAGCAGAAATCGATTTTGAGAAAATGACGTTGTACCAAGCATTTCGGCAAGGCTACCTCTTGCAGGAAGACTATTTGACTCTGGGATCGTTTGCTGGTCTCTTGGCTTGTTTGTTTGTGTTTGGTGTGTTAGCGTCGTTCACGGAGGCTCCTGGATGGTTTGGCCACTTGCTGTGGGTGGCCGCCTTTGTGCTCATCTTTTCCGTGTCCCCCGTGTTCAAATGGTTTCACGTCCTGGACATTACGTCGGACATCCGCCAGAGCGTGCTTTTCAGCACGTCTTTGGCGTGGATCATGGGGCTGTACCTATTCTTTGTCGTACAAGACATGCACTTGTACGACGTGCAGTCTCTTTGGATCTTTACCGTGCTGGTGTTTTATCCCCTCGGTTTGCTGCTCATCGTGGCCCTGTGTAAATGGCGCGACGACAACTGGGTCTTTTCCAACTTTATCAGGCAAGCGTTCTTGGTTCTGTCTGTGGTCCTCCCCTTCTTTTTGTTTGAAATGTACATTTGGGTCAGTGTTCCCGTCGGGGGGGGGTTCACCTTCGTCGTGTTCACGGCGTACACGACCATCTACTTCTTGCGCCAGTGGGTGCTCAACGACTACTACCTCGCGCCTCGGTACCAAACGATCGCCAACCAAATCATCGTTACGTGTGCGGTGGGGTTTGTCACCCTCGCTGTGCTGTTTGGGGTCAACATCTTCTTTTGCTTTTCCATCGCGATGATTGTCCTCTTACTCAAATTTGTCATCAACATCGTCGCGATTCGCATGTCTCGCGAGCCGGACGCAGTGGTGTTCTACTCGCCGTACGTGTTTCCTGTGTTTTCATACAACGCTGCAACCAACAACGTCACGGATGAAAACAGCGAAACCATGAACGTGTACCACGCCCTGCTCACGGCGTTCGTCTGGGGTTGCATCGGGGTCATGTTCTTTGACCCGCTTGGGTTTGGCATTGGCTTGTCGTCGTTTGCGCTGCTGGCGTTCATCGGATACACGGCCAACTTGTGCTCGGTCACCCCCGTGCGCATGGGCATTGCGGCCAAGTACGTGAATGAGAGCATCTTGCACGAAGCCAGCGCCGTGGCCAAGGGAGTGTTTGACGATCGACGCCAGCCATTGATCCTCGAGTCGGCGGAATTCGTGGATCGCGAACGCCGAGAGAAAGAAGCCGAGCTAGAGTACCAGCGACTGTCGTACGGGAAGCGCAAATCTGCAGTGGACGTGGCAGCCCTCGAGGACATTGGCCGCGTCGTGGCGACTCCGCCGCGCAAGTCGGCGGCGGACACGGCGCTGGAAATTGACGACGCCATCTGGCAGTGTTCGAACCGTCTGCTGGACGACGGGTCGACTGGCAAACGAAGGGATGCCTTGTTTACGTATGCCGACATTGTACGAGACATGCTCCAGCACGGACGAGGGCCGTTTGGGTACGTGGGGCTGTTTGGTTTTGGCTTCAAGGCGCTGGTTAAAGTAAAAAATCATCGAGTGACGCAGCTGGTGCAGCGCATGGTGATGAAGAAAGGACAGGAACTCCATACTGCGGCGGCGAATTCCAAGATGCTTCAACACGCAAAATCGTCGGTGGTCGCGACGACAGCCAAGCTCAACAAGACTATCAAAGCTACTGCTAGCGCGAAGACCAAGGAGGTCGAGCCACCGCAACCCACCAGTCCTGGTACAAACACCAACAATCCAAGCGGCAACCTCAGCAACATCGACGTCGACATGGACCCTGAAAGTGGCAATGCTGTGGGGATTGGTGGCGACAGCCTGCCTCTGATTGTAGCTCCCTCAGCCCCAGTGCACGTCATCGAAGAATCCTACGAGTTTGTCGACTCGCTGGGCCACTTGCACGGGTTGCCAGCCAAAGACGCCACTCTCGACTTGGAATTCTTTGAAGAAACTCGATGCATCATCCATTTCCAGCTCATGCTGTTGAACGCCGCAGACGCCCGACTGTCGCGCGAGCGCGTCTTGTTTCAAAAGTTTTTGCGGGAGAACCGGTTCAAACTCATGTCCAACGGCATCAACCCACCGGCGGACATCTTCAAAACGTCGTCGCATGCATCGATTGACATTCCACTCGTGGCCACATGGCTCATCTCCCTCACCCGCGAAGAACGCCAGCGATTCCATGCCCTCAAAGCGGCCTTCAGCGTCGAAATGGATCGCAAGGACGCGATCGTGGACGCCGAAGACTCGGCCAGCGTCGCCCACCAATCCGAAGTGCGAGCGTATTGGAAAACGCGAGAAAGCGACATGTGCCGCAAAATGTACGAGGAAAGCGTGGCGAGACGTGTTCGCCGCGAACAGGAAGGCATCGCCGTGGATGAATCCGTACTGGAAGCTGTGACCAACGCGCATGAGGCCATCTCGGAGATTGAATCCGGCTACGCGTGCAACGTTGGCCAGTACGGCCGGTCGCTGCAGTTTGTCGACCCCGAGTTCCCCCCCACGTTTGCGTCGCTGGCCGGATGCACCAACGAGGCGGAAGTCGTCGATTGGAGGGTGTCCACGGCCATAAACATCACTGCGGGGCTCTTTGACGGGGGGACCGACCCCGACGACGTCCGCTTTGGCCGGTTGAACGACGGATGGTTCCTCAGTGCCGTGAGTATTCTCGCCGCGTCGGGGGGCGTCGACGACGGCAAGGTGGACCCAGTGATCGACAACTTGTTTATCACCAAACAAACGTCACTAACGGGGGCATATGCGATTCGGCTGTTCAAAAACTCGCAGTGGGAAACCGTGATTGTGGACGATTACTTTCCCGTGTTGAGTGACAGCCACAAGATGGACATTTCGGCGGGCGCGGCGTTTGCCCACAGTCGGCACTTTGAAGAATTGTGGGTCCCCCTGCTGGAAAAAGCCTACGCAAAGTACTATGGCGGGTATGCAGCACTCGAACAAGGATTTGTTCACCACGCGTTGGAGGCACTGACAGGACATACATCAGAAGAGATCTTTCTGTCCCAGGCATCGCGCGGCGCCAAGAAGAAGACGTTGTGGAAACAGTTGCTCGGCAACAAGAGCAACCGGTTCCTCATGGGGGCGGGCACAATCACAAGCGACAACGCCGACCACGAGATTCTGGACACTGGTCTTGTGTTTGGCGCGTGTTATTGCATCTACGATATCCGCGAAATCGACGGCCATCAGCTGCTCAAGCTCCGGAATCCGCCAGGCGACCATGCTGAGTGGCGGGGGGACTGGGGCGACGACTCTCCTCTGTGGACCCGCCGCCTCAAGAAACACTTGGGCGTGCTCGCCAACTCGAATGACAATACGTTTTGGATGAGCTTTGACGACTTCTGCAACGCGTTTCGGTGTCTGTATGTGTGCAAGTACTACGACCCAGACAAGTGGACCAAATTGATTCGACACGGGGCATTTTCCATTAAATGTGATACCGCCAGTGGACTTCCCACTCGCCATAACCCCGACTGCACCCTGGAAAACAACCCCCACTACTCCCTGGGGGTCACCCGCCCCACTGAAGTCATCATCACCGTCACGCAAGTGGACAAAGCCGGACTCGCGCCAGTTACGGTGCTTCCCATCGCCGTGTACATTGTGCAAGGCGCGATGGCCGATCGAGCGTCTCGTGTGAAAGTACTTGACAAATTGCACGTGATCAAGCACAGTGGCGCCCCGGTACGGGAACGACAAGTGTCTCTGCAGTGTGTGTTGCAAGCCAGAACGTACACGATCTTGATCGCTGCATACAAGAAGGACATGGAAGGACCGTTTCAATTGACGATTCAGAGCAACTACGGCGTCGAGGTCGACCAGATATGGCCTGCCGTGTGGCGCGAGCCCAAGGCAATGAACCACATGGAGAAGATGGCCATGAAGTTGAAGGAGACAGTCGAAGACACGGCGGCCGGCAAGAAGTTGGTGGCGAATGCAACGAAGTACAAGAACCGCATCGCCGCTGGGTTGGAGGACGCGTTGCAAGACGAGGGCGATGACGTGGCCAAGCTCGAAGCCGACAAGGTAGTGGAAGAACAAAAGACCAAGAAGAGTCCATGGATCGAACAATGGGACGATGCACAAAACAAACCCTATTACTTCAACAAGGAAACTGGGCTCTCCCAGTGGGATATTCCCCCAGATATGTAAACTAGTGGACCAACTCGACGCTCTTGCCGCTCGCCTTGGACCACTTGAGCAGCGCTTCCAGCATCACGGTGACGTCCGCCGTACCGGTGACGAGCACTTGTTGGCCCGGGATGTCGCACGCGACTTTCGTCACGCCTGCCGTCGTAGGAGCCGCGTGAGCTTAACTTAAGATAAATGAATCATTCGAAGTACCTTCGATCTTGTTGAGGATACGCTCGCACGCGCCGGAGCAGCCTTCGCAGGTCATACCCACTTTGAACTCGGTCACGACGTCGGACATGGTTTGAGGCTGATGTGAATTTCGGAAATGGCATGGGGGGTGAGTGGCATGTTGTCTAGCCCCTACAGCGACGGTGATTGGTGGAAATATGACCAATCCGATCTCGCGGATCAATAATTGAGTCGATTGTTGATAAACATCCATGGAATTCCTCGTGTGCTTTTCCGACGACCCGAGCTCCGCCTCTTCAAAGGAGGTGGTCAATGGACATGATGACTCGTGCACTCACGAGAAGTTTGATCATCATACGTCACGAGGTCTAAATATCTATGTCTTGATCATATCTATTGGTTACTCCAGTACAGTACTGTACGTCATGTCCTTCATGATCTGAAGCTGAGTACTGTATGCAGTGGAAATCTCATCACCGTGAACGTTACAACAGACGTCATGGCTTTTTTTGGTGCGCAGCAATGTCAATACAGTACATACTAGTATACTACTAGTACTATGTAGTATTACTGTACTTCATGAAGAACTTGTCAAGTACTAGTACTTATTGTTACCGGTACGGTATGCAGAGCATGGGACAATGGGAAATTCTGTGTAACGTTGGGTTCATACTACTGTAGTAGGTGGCAGTGCCAAACATATCGTGTGTGATCATTGCTTGGCTGTAAATGGAACAGCCCTGGCTCGCCCCCAATTGTATTTAGCGTTAGTAGCGTGTCCGCCGTTGCGTGGACGTGTCAATCCCACGAGCACTCGGCACTCCATTGAAAACAAATGTGAGCCTGATGATCGACAATAATATACGAGTAAATCATCTTGTGCTAGTATTAATCTGTGAGAGGGATTGCGTACGAAATCAATTGTGGAAAGTTGTCATCTAGCGCCATGGCGAAACAGCCCCACAATTTGATGTCCATCACATACCACGTGCGGTGGCCCCAACGAACGGCCAGCAGCCCGTTGAGTACCGCGGACGCAGCGTCCATGTAGTACACGCCTTGGTGCACCCAGTGTATATTGTCGAATAAATATGTACTTGCCCCCGGAACTCACTAGCAGAGACATGGCTACATTGGTTGCGGGCAGGTCTGGCTTGTAGAACACGCGAGTGCTAACGCAACAAACCACGTTGCAGATGCCAACGCTTGCAAGCAACCAGTTCGTCAAAGGCAAATTGAGATTTGGGGTACGTTGTCGGTAGGTTGTCGAAACACAGCACGTTGCCTCCATAGTACGACAAGTTGTTATCCATCCGAAAGCGTGGAGGGCGAGGAATGAACGTCAGGTCCACCACCAACCCAAGGAACGGTGCCAACAGTGCTGGATCACAGTTTTGCATTCAACAGGGCTTGGAGTTCCGAATACACCCCCCCTGAGGGAGGTGGGGGGGACATAGTGCACGTCCGCAGAACCAAACGGACCGATCTGGTCGTGAAAGACAGCTTATTGATCGACGAGGTGGCTGTTGTCGTTGCCGACGGCGTCAAACATGGACACGTCGTACCCGTAGTGTTCCAAATGATTGGCATAACCCCGCACAATGCTCAGGGCAGAATAACCAAAGAGCACAAGTCATTTCGAAAGTTCCAATACGTGGCCACAGTCGTCCATGACTCTCGCCCGAACGGCTTCGACTTGACGGCCACCGTTTGCCGTTGTTGCATTTTCAAACTCGATCGATTCCGACGACTCAAGTTGGCGCTGTTATGATACTGCAGTTCGAGTCGCATCAGCTTGCGGAACACCAGGTACAGTACTTCGTCGTCGCGTTCGACGGGCGATCTCGCAATCACTGGACCGCTTCCAATGACTCTTTCAGCGCCAATCCGATGATGACAGTCCACTCGTTGTAGTTGGTCGCGAGAAACAACGTCCAGTTTGTATTACGAGCAAGTTTCGATGTAAGTGGCAGCATTGTCGGTGTATTTGGCCAAGCCCCGCTTAGCCCTCGCGTGGGAATGGGCAAAGTCCTATCACCGATCAAAATCCACCCAGCAGTATTGGGCGTTGACCGAGGCCGTGGTAGCCGTGGACGTTGTTCGGATGCTCCCAATGGCTCGTACGAGGGACGACTTGGTGTCTGAATAAAGCGACCGTACGCCGAGGAGTAAATGCCTTCGACAACGTCGCTCGCATAACTTCGTGGTGATGTGGCATCGGCAGAAAATAGGTCGATCAATTGGGTGGGAACGTTGCTGGGGAGAGCCTCGAGCTTGGCGTTGATCTCGCCTACCAAAAACACGGCATACCCCGAGTCGTTGTAAGCAGGTCAATCCATGTCGTTGGCGAGTGACGGGGACAAAACGTACGCATATGAAACAATATATTTGAGAGTGAAGGCCAAATAGCATAGCCCACCCGCAGCCTCGAGCCGGGATCGAAAGGAGCTCGTGTCCACTTTGACAGGTGGGTCTGACGGATCGTCGTCAAACGGGATCACAGTGCTGTGTCTTGTCAAGGTGGTGTCGACAACACCCGTAGAAATCGACTTGTGAAGCGGGAAGAGTCCCTAGCCCCCTTAATTTAGTTGGCCTTCGCATAGAGCGAAACCGAAAGTACGGCTACTGGAATAGTACTGCAAATATCACAATGACTAGATCAATGAAATCGGAGGCAATCTTTCTATTTCACCCCCCATTAAGAGCTTTTTTGGAGCGAGTTTGCAAGATTCCATCTACCTATTTGAGTCGGCCGTGGATATACGTGTCATCAACCCTACCGGTAGCTACGTAAGCGTTCATCCTAAGACCGCACGAAATATGCAACTCTGCTTCCATTGCTCAGGACTAGTAGAAGCCATAGTTAGAAGTATGCATAACGAGACATGGGACGCACAAAAGTCGCACCGTTTTCCGTGAGAGGTCAACTAGGTTCGTGTTGGTGGAGTAGTGCTACTGCAAGCTGCACATGATATGATAGCCTCAAGTTCTTCTGCACCAACGTTGCCCCCAACTTCACTAAACTTACGTCAATAATCGCCGTAACGTTACGTGATGACGACTTGTCGAATTCAAAAACGTACCCGCAACGCCACGAGCCTTGTGACCATTCATTGCACAGACGAATGCAAACCACCGAATCCATGCCGAAGTGGGGAATGTGTAGCTATCGATTATAATCAGCTCGTAAAATATTGTTCTCGAGATGCGACTTTGGCGTCCGGTGTTATTTGTGATGTGTACACAGACAGCTCTGACGGCCTCAGTGTGTAGTTTTTCTCTGAGCAAATCTGCTTTGATTTGCATGATAACAGTAGTAACGATGGGAATGGCGAGTCTAGTGTAAGCATTTTACACGTTTGTCAATTTGCTCATGGTTTACAATATTAATACTACGTAGTAGTACATGATATTGCTCTTCAATAATGACCCAAAAGTTAAAAGTTGGTAGTTCTTCTCACGATTCAAGTATTAATAGCATCTGCGTGGTGCGACCAGGCACCAGATGTCATTTTCTTTTTCAGAGCATTCACTAGTGTGTTGTCGCTTCGTTTTATGTGATACTCCCCCCCGCGGACCAGGGTACTGGAATTGTGGTTCAAGGTGCATATTTCTACAGTAGTTTAATGGACCCACTCAACCTCATCGTGACTACATGTATAAAATCTTCCATTGTTGATTAACGCTTCATCGTTCTTTCTACGTGTTTTGTGATCTTGGCGTTCTGCTGCTTCCAATGCTCAATGGTGGTCAGGCACGACGTGGACGATGGGTCCGTCGATTTGCTGTGCGCCGGTGGGGGCGGTGTGAAGTGGCGGCTCACGCCAGACCCAAAGCCCACTCGCTCGTGAGTCACAACCTTCTTCACGGGCGTCGGGGCCCCCACGCTGCTCTGCCCACTCAAGCTGTCGCGCCGTCGCTGTTGTCGTCGCAGCTCATACCCTGGCTGTCTCAATTGCGAGCGCGACAGTTGCTGCTGGCGTCGGCTACCGCTGGTCTTGCTTTCGTCGCCTAGACACACAACACACGAAATCAGTAAAAACGATGTCCCAGGAATCCATATTATTGAGGACGGTAGGTAGGACGTACTCGCCACACTGCAGCCATCGTCTTCATCCTTGGCGTTCGCTTGGTGGGTGTTGGTTTGATGCTTCCACCATTCTTCGTCATCACGCGAGTTGCGTATCTTGTCGCGCCATTGGCAAGTGCAGTGGCCTTGCTGTTGGGCTTCTCGTCGACGATACAACTAGACAGCGCAGCCAATCATGCATGGTTACAACCAGGACACATCTTCACGCATGCAAAACAACAGACATACCTCGATCATTTCCTCGGTCGTAGCCGCCCGCGTGTCGGCGCGGACCTTGGCTTGCTCTGCCAGCGCCTGCTTTCGGAATCGAATCAACTGAAGCAATTGAATCTCCTTGAGTTTCTCGATTTCGTCCGAGCTGGTGGCGTGCGGCTTCATCTTGTCCTTGAGACTCTTCAGTTCATCCGCGTGGCTTTTCTTGACAGAATCCATGGCCGACTTGTGTTTCCACCGCAAAAACGCCCGCTGTACACTGCACTTGGTCGCAATCTCCACGCGCGTTTTGGCCACACACGACCGATTGTGCGTCTCCAGCACGTGAATCGCAGCGATTTGGCATTCGTTGGCCAGCTCCATCGCTTGCAACACCTCGGACGCGTTGACATGGAATTCCGCTTGCTTTTCGATCTCGTCGTCGTTGGATGCGTCGTTCATCGTGTCTTCGGAGACCGTGCCGTCCTGATGGTGGCGGCGCCAGTCGGTCCACTTCTTTTGGTACTGCTGAAGGCGGGAAAGAATGTTGCGCAATTGAAGCACGTGGGCGTCGTCAGGACTTACGCTGTTCTCGTCGGCACTGGACGACAATACAGCAGTTCCTTGCTGCCGCTGCATCATGGCCACCAATTGGGTCAAGTCGGATGGTGGAGACGGTAGTGTTGCCAGTGTGGTCTCGACTTCGGTCAAGTCGTTGACGAGCACGTCCAATTGCTCGATATGTGTGTGCATCGACAGTGTCGGCGTTGTTTTCATTTGGGATGGTGGCCCAGACCCGCTCGTCGTTGCTGCCAAACCACACAACTGCCTCAATCGAGCCACAGTTTCGGTCAACGTTGTGATGGCCGCGTCCTGCCGTGTCCACTCGTCCGACGACGGTGCCTGGGTCGATTCAAAGGCTCGCACCAGATCGTCCACATTCGTCGACGTCGAAGTCGGCACGTGTTTGATCAAGAGTGGCACCACTTTAGCATGCAGGTCATGGCTGTCTGCTTCGAGCGCTTCCTGGCGCTGTGCGTACTGCGCCATCGTGTCTGCAAACTCTTGCGTTTGAATGTACTGGTGCCACTGCGCCATGTCCTTTCGACCATGTGGAACGTCATCCACGAGATCGTCTGGTCGATTTGGGGCCATCAGGTGGTGGTGCATTTCGTCCAGTTCGTCGCACAACACTTGCGATTCGCGCTCAATGTCTTGTAGCCGGGTCGTGTACTGGCGCAAGTGCGAGTCAAACTTGTCCGACGCAATGTACTCGGTCCATCGCGGCAAATCCATAGACTGCGTCGACAGAGCCACGTCCGCTGTGGTGGCGATTGCGAGATGCATCTTATGCAGCGCCGCACAGATCGCTTTGTGGTGGCCTTGGCCTGCACATTGTCGTAGCATGTCGACGAACGGCTGCGAGTGGATGTACGCCGCCCAATCTGACGCGTCCATCGATGGCTGCATTGCCTCACGCGGCCACAGCACCGCGTGCATGTTTTGCAGCGCGTCGCACAGCGCCTGTGTTTCAGACGTGGAGGCCGCGTGGGTGCTGCCTTGCAGCGACGCCACCCAGTTGAAAAACGCCTGAGACGAGACAAACTCGCCCCAACCTGCAATGTCGTCGTCGCGGGACGGAACATCCAACGTCGCCGTCGTCGCAACTTCTTGCTTTAAAATTGGTGTACTGCAAGGATTCTTGTTGGACGTCGCGAGGGGCGGCGTTGCAGAGCTCGTGGGGACAGACACTGCATTGGTGTGGGTATCGCAGAGGACACGCAAGGCCTTGCACAGTTGCTTGGACAAGGCTTGGTGGGTGTGGACCAGTTCAGCAAACGGCTGCGATCGAATGTACTGGATCCATCCTTCGGGATTTTGAGGGAGTCCAATCGCCGAAGCCGTCGAGTTCTCGGCGGTCGACGCATTCGTTAATGCAGTGTGCATCGTCGCCAGCGCTTCGCTCATGTGGTCCAGAACTTCTTGCACCTGGTGCACACCCTTGGCCAATGGACCTCTTTTAGACGTGGCCTCAGCTTGATGGACATCGTTGGTTTGGACGTCGTTTTCGTTTTCGTCGTCGGTAGTAGTAAACCCAGCCAAAAATGGCAACACCACGTCGCGGACGTCGTCGCTGTCGCGTTCAAGGGCGTCCATTCTTGTCGAGTACTGGCGGAGGTTGTCTGCGAATTCGGCCGACGTCGTGTAGTCGGCCCACTTCGCGAGGTCCATGCTGGCATTGGCGACTTGGGCAGGGTACAGCAAGTGGTGCATGGTCAAGAATGCATGGTTCAGCGCATGATGTTGAGCTTCCGACACCACCACGGAGCGTGCCATGTCCTGTTGCCACGTGTCCACTTGGCCTTCGCGGGGCAATGACGGGGACAGCGGGTGCACCTCATGCATGGCCGCTACGAGTTGGCGCAGCAGCCGCTGGCGGAATTGCCACGCCGATCGAAGCGTGCGTGCAATGTTGTTCTGGTTGGGAGCAGTATCGCCCTCATCATGTCCGCTTGTGTCAGTGTCTTTGTCGTCGAACGTCGCGACAATTTCCAGCACCACCGACATGATGTCCTTCCCAACGCCGTCGGGGAACAGCGACGCCATGGCCACTGGCTGTTCGCCCCCTCCAATGTCTCGGGACCTACGTTAACCAGTTCAACCCAACTTACTAGGCATAGACGGATCGGTTAAGCGTACCGGTGTACTTGCTGGTTCAGACTCTGCGCCTTGTCGTTGAGGTCGTTAGCTTCTTCGATTGCTTTCAACCACGTACCACTGCTGCCGTTGCTGTTGGTGCTGCCGTCCAAGTCGCCCACATTCATCATCGCGTCATCGTCATCCAACGTCGTCGTCATTCGGGTTGATTTACTGGCAGAAATAGCATGAATCGACGCTTGCACGTTTTGCAGGCTGGACTGGAGGTCCTCGAGACTCCAGTCCCGATCGGACGACATGGTCGCTTGCAAGCCCAACACGGGGCTCACGTCCTGGACAAACGAAGCGACCGACGATGGCAGCGCCCCTTGAGCAGGGACATCCTGGGCATCTGTCAGCTGGTCTTTGAGCACGCCCACGATCGTGTTGAGGTTTTCTTGGCCCAGTCGCAGCTGTTCGTTCTCGGACAGGATCAATGCATATTCGTCGGGGAGGCTGAGGGGTTCGCTAGTTGTGGCCGTGGTCGGCCTCGTTGCTAGCAAACGTTCGAGCTGGCCGATCAGCGCCACCTTTTCGTCGATCAACTGCTGCAACGACGCTACATTGGCCGTCAGCGTGGTTACGGACGCGTGCAGGTCCAGCACCACGGCGTCCTTCTTGGAAAGCAATTCTTCCAGCGTAAACAGCTTGGTGTTCAATTCCGCGCACGTGAGTTTGTACGTTGCGTCAGACTCGGCCAACTCTTTGGTGGCGTTGTCGAGTTGCAGTTCCAGCATGTTGCACTTGTCTGCTAATTCGTCGTGGACACGAGATAATTCCATGTGGACTTGGGCTAATTCGTCGTATCGGTCGGTGGCCAACGCCTCGTCGGCCTTTAACGTGCGCACTTCGTCGTTGAACAACTCTTGCAAATGCGAGATTTCTTCCTCCTTGGCCACCAACTCGGCCTGCCACGCCGTTGTTTGAACGTTCCACTGTTGCTGCGCCGCGACCAGTTGCTCCGCCACTCGAACCTCGGCCGCTTTGGCTTCCGAGCAACGGCTTGCCTCGTCGTTCAATTCTTCCGTGCGAGTGTCCAATTCTGACACGAGACGCTCCAATTCTGCGGTCAACCGATCGTTTTGTCGTCCAAGCGACTGCGCGCTGCTCTCGAGGTCACTGTGGGACCGACTCAGTGACGCCAGCTCGTGGTCCTTTTCTGGCACTTGGTTTCTCCACGCATCTCTTTCATCGATGGTTCGCTTGAGTTCATCTTGGAGGGTCTTCAATTCCTCTTGCAATCGATGGGTCAGTTGGTCTTGCGCTTCCTTTGTGGCGTCCAACTGCTCGCGCGACGCGGCACTGGCTTCCAGCTGCGCCTCAAGGTCAGCTACCTTGGCGTCCAACGCGGCCTTGTCGGCCGAAAACGCAGCATCCGTGGCCACCCATTGCGCCTTCTGGGCCTTGAACGCGTCCAAGTCGGATGTCAATTGAGCGTTTTGAGTTTGCAATGCTTGGATCGCATCGTTCAGCTCGACCTGGGCGCGACTTAACGACGCAATTTTGGCTTGGTGGTCGGGCACGGACATCTCGAGCGCTGTCTTCTCCTGCGCGAGCAGCATCACTTGCTTGGTCATCGTGTCCTCGGACTTGGTCAGCGCCGACACTTTTTCCTTGAAGCGCTGGACCAGCAATTGCAATTTCGCCACCTGGTCTTCCTTGTAGCTCACGCTCGCCTGTAATTCCATGCGTTTCGTGTGGTTGTCGTTCATTTCCGACTCGAGTTCGGTGATTTGGTCGACCAATCCACGGCGCTCGGCGGTCATACTCGCGTCCCGGGCGTTGCATGCTCGGATGTGGTCGTCGTGGTCTCTAGTGAGCGTGTCCAGTGCCTCTTGCAACCGCTGGTTGTCAGCGTGGATTCTGCTGGACGAAGACTCCAATTCACTGTGGGAACGGCTGAGCGACGCCACCTTTTCTTGAGTTGCGGGCAACAAGTGCATCTCCAACTCGTCCTTTTCGTCGCGCACGGCGGTCAGTTGTTGGGCGAGCGACGTTTCAGACTTGGTCAAAGCTGCCACTTTGTCTTTGAACCGGTCCAACAGCACTTGAAGAGTCGATATTTGGTTTTCTTTTTGTACCAAGGACGCTTCCAAGTCCTTGTACGTGGCAACTTGTGCGGCCAACTGACTCGCCAGTACTTCCCGTTCGGCACTCACCGTCGCCTTTTCGAGTTCCACAGCCGCCAGCTTTGCCTTGAGCTGTTCATTTGCGTCGTCGGCAACCTTCTTGGCCACCTCCAACTCACCATGCGATCGACTTAACGACGCCAGCTTCTCCATTTGCTCGGGCAACGTCATCTCGAGCGTCTGCTTGTCGTCGTGAAGTTGAGTCAGTTCCAACATCAGCTTGGCTTCCGAGGAGGTCAGGGCCGCCACTTTTTCCTTGAACCGGTCCACCAGCGCCTGCAACTTGGCCAATTCATTGACCTTGTCTGACACGGAGGACGTGAGCTCCGCCACCTGTTCTTGACTTTGCACTTGCGCCGCCGTCAAGGACACGATTTGAGCACTTAAGGCCACGGATTCGTCGCTAAAAGCCGCGTTTTCTCGACGCAGAACGTCCACTTGGTGCAATGCATCTTCCAAGTCCGAGCCCAACGTGTCTACTTGGCGCTGCAAATCACTTGCCGCGCCCGTCTTGGCCTTGAGCTCCGCCGACACGACGTCCAATTGGTTGGTCACGGATACTTCCGACGCCGTCAACTGTGCGACTTTGTCTTTGAATCGGTCCAACAACTGCTGCAACCTGGCCACCGTGTCGTGCTTATCGGTTGCGGCGGCGTCGAGGTCGGCTTTCGATTGGGCAAGGGCGCGCTCGAGTGATTCCAGTTTCGACATGTCCTCTTGTTGCCGCAATTGCGCTTCCGAGGTCAGCACGTCCTTGGACATCGCAACGTCGTTCAACTGGGCTGTCACATGGTCGAGTTGGGTTTGGAGAGCTTGAACTTGGGCGTCCTTGGCCTGGACGAGCCCTTCAGCTTGCTCGAGGGTGGTCGTCAGTCGTTGCTTTTCACTCGCCAAAGACTCGTTCGTTGAGACGACGGCCTGCCATTTGGCCGTGAGCGCAGACAGTTGAGCCAGCAAGTCTTGAATCTTCAGCTCGTTGGCTTGGATTTGACCTTCAAGGTGCAGTTGGTTGGCTTCGAATCGTTGCTTGTCCGCTGCCATCGTATCTTTCGTGGCTGTCCACGCCGCGGTCAGCTCGACCACTTGAGTCTGCAAACCTTGAATTTCCCATTCTTTTGTCTGCAATTGTCCTTCCAACTCCATTTCGGTGGCTTCCAGAGCCTGCACAGTAGTCTCGTGATCATGCTCCATCGTCGCCAGGTGGGTGTTGGCCGCGTCGATGTCGGCTTTCAACTTGGATTGAGATGTTTTCAGTGTCGCCACCTTGTCTTTGAACCGCTGGAGCAGCACTTCCAGCTGGGCAATGTCGCCGTCCTTCTTGGCGACGGCGGACTCTAGCACAGACACCTTGGTCATGGACGAATCCCGATCAAACGTCACTGCCGCCAGTTCGGACTCGAATTGCTCTGCAACTTCTTGCAAGTTGGCCATCTTGTGCTCTTCGGCTGCCTTTTCCTTGGACAACGTTTCGACCAAGTCCTTCAAACGATTGTTTTCCGACTGCACTGACTGCGACATTGTCTCCAATTCGCTGTGCGATCGACTCAACGTCGCGAGTTGCCGAACGGTTTCAGGCACTTGTTGCTCCAACACAGACTTTTCTTGCGTCAATGATTGCAACTTCTGCAGCAACTCTTGTTCCGACGACGACAGCTGGTCCAGTCGAGCGGTCAAGTCGGCAATCTCCTTGTCTTGCGTTGCGGCCGCTTGCTTCTTCTCTGCGACGGACACTTCCAATGCCTTGCACACCGAGTCGCTGTGTGTTAGCTGTGCTTCCACAGCGTCGTGCGCAGCTTGGAGTTGCTCAGAAAGTTGTTGCAGGGACTCGACGTTGTCCCGCAACGCGGTCTTGTCTGCAACATGGGCCGCCGCTTCACCGTGTAGGACGTTGTACGATTCCGTCGCTGCATCCAGCTGCCTTTGCAAGTCTGTCACTCGATCATCAGCAACTGCCTTGGCGTTGCTGAGCTCGTCAACGTTTTGCTGCAGTCGTTGCTCTGACTCGGTGAGCGCGGCCACGGTGGCATTCAGGTGATTGCGACCTTCGACGAATTCCTTCTGATGTCGCTCCATTTCCGCTTCAAATTGAGCGCATTGCCGCAAACTCTCGTCTAAGTGCTGCTCGAGCGTCTCTACCCGTTCCAACGCCGTCGACTTTTCCAACGTCAGCGCGTCCACCACCGCCTTCCACTTGGCCACCTCGGTCGCTAATTCATCAGATTGGGCGAGGAATTCGTCCCGAGTTGCCTTTAACCCGTCGACTTCTGCTTGCTTTTCGAGGCGAAGGCGGTCCACGTCGTCCGATAAGGCCAGTCTGGACGCATTTAATTCGTCCATCGCCCGCTGCAAATCCGCCACCACGGCTGCCTTTTCGTCTCGCTCGACTGAGATCGCCGCATCATGTGCTTGGACGGTGGACTGCCACGTGGCATCCCACGAAGTCACCGCGTCGTCGTGCAACCTCTGGAGGTCGCGGAGCTCCACACTCCACGCAGCTTCTTTGGCTCGATGTTGCCCTTCCAAAACGGCAAACTGACTTTCCAGAGACGATTTGTCACTTTCGATCGTCGCCTTTGCCGCCGCCATGTCCTGCAGTTGCTTCATGAGCATTTCCTCGGACGTTGTCAGCAACGCCAGACTGTCTTGCAGCGACAGCACTTGGCCTTTCAGATTGGCTACGTCGCTGTCGTACTTGGCACGAGTTTCGCTTTGGGTGGCCGCCCACTCCTGCGACGTGCCTTGCATGGACTCTAATTGTGCCCGCACCACGGCATCCCAGCGCATCACATGCTGTCGTTCCTACGTGGCATCCATAAACAACCACCAATTTGCGTGTCCAAGCTAGTTTCTAGCTCAGCAACTGGGACGCACCTCTTCGTGTTGCATGCGCGCCAGTTCATACGCCTCGCGCCATCGATCGACGTCTATCCGCAACTCGGCCACGACCCGGTCCAGCTCGGCCAGTTCTTCTTGCGCATTCACGAGCTGGGTTTCCACTTGGTCCAGCTTTTGCTCGACTTCGTGCTTTTCTTCGTAGATCGAATCGAGGTCGTCCGTGAGCACATTCACTTCACGCTTGTACTCGAACACTTTCTTCTGCAACGTTTCAATCGCATGATCTCGCTCCACGACGGCCTTGGCGTACTCGGACTTGTCGTTGTTTAGACGGCGCTCTAGCTCGGCCACGCGGGCTTTGGTTTCCTGGATTGTCTGGTCTTTCATCGACACGGATCGGCGCAGCGGCCGCGTTTCCGCTTCCGCGGCTTCCAGCGATTCGTGGACTTGCTCCAACTATAAAACAAATATTGTCACGTGGATTCGAAAAATTTGGAGTGGGGTGCTCAATGAGCAGCATCAAATCGGCAGACAATCAAAGATCGACCAATCAAAACCCAGATCAAGAAAAAAGTAGCCAATCAAATCCACTCTTCGACGAATGCAACATCGAATTAGTGTGCAAATGGACGATCTTTACACACAAAAGTCAGGACAAACAATCGATCGATAGATTGGGCAAATAATCAGCACAAAGTCCAAGTTTGGGGTAAAAGAAAGACAATAACACTCGTGGGTTGGCAACTCGCCCAGCAAAAGATGGGCCTGCCTACATCGACATTGTACCTCGGCACTCAGCTCGTTGACTTGTTGGTGTAGACCTGCACACGCCCGACACGGTTCGTTGGTGGACGTTGCTGTCCCACCCACCGGTCGCTTGCGCAACTCGTCGAGCTCTTCCTGCATGATCTCCTTTTCTTCGACGATGGCATCCACGTCTGCGGAGATGATCTTGATCTCCCGCTTCATCTCGTACACGTTTGTTTGCAACGCCTGGATCGTTTGTTCGCGTCGTGCCAGGTCGGCTTCCATCGCTTTGCGTTCTTCCATCACGGCTTCGTGCGCTGCGACCATCGGATTCAACTTTTGTAGCAACAAGTCCACTTCCACTTCTTGCGCCTCCCGTTCCTGACGCAGTTGGGCCATTTGACCGTCCGTTGCTGCAATCGTGGCTTCGTACGACCGAAGTTGCTCGGTAAGTTGCCCGTTTTCCGCGTGCAAGTTGCGAGCCACGCGCTCCAACGTGTCGTCAATGGCTTTCGTCGGGGAACTCTGGCCTGGCTCCACCGACCCAGATTCACGCAGCGCGTGGTTTTCCCGAGTCAAGTCGCTCAACTGATCCAACAAATCGATCAAGTCCGACCGGTGCAGGTCGCGACCGTGCAGAATTTCCGCCCGGAGCGACTCGATCAGGTCGTTGCAGACGCCGTCGAAGCGATGGTGGCACTCGGTGCTATGTTCCAGGCCCTCTGCGTTGACGTGTTTGTGTAGAAGTTGCTGGCCGGCGACTTGGTCGTCCAATTCCTTCTTGTAAATGACCACGCGTTGCTGCAGCAACGCATTCTGGCGACTCAAGTAGGCCAAATTCGCACTCGGGACGGCCAACTCGGACTCCAACGCGCGGCTGTGCGCGGTGGCGGCGTCGAGCGCCACCTCAAGGTCCTGCACTTGGCGTTGCAACCCCGACATGGCATCCACATACCCAGTGGCGTTGTTGCCGTTGGAAGGAGCAACTTGCTGGGCAACTTGCAGCTTGAGCTGGTGGTTGAGTTTGGTCACGTCTGCCACGTGGCGCGCGGCATCTTGCAATTGCGTCTCCAAGTGCTGAATGTGTTCGTGCAACATGTCGACATTGTCTCGGTAGTTGGCGTGGACAGAACTCCGCAACTCTTCGATGGAAGCGTCCACATTGCGATGATGGCTGGTATGTGGTTGGTCGTCGTCGCCATAGGTCGATGACGTGGGGCTCCAGTTGAATTTTCCTAGAAAATACCGAATCAAGCCATGCCTTGGAGGTGGAACTATGGAACCTCGTACCAATGGTTCCCACGGAATCGTCATTGTCCCCTGTCAGCGACATCTGCCGGTCGTTGCTGCCATAACTTCCAGTCCGCAGCGCATTGAGTTCTCGCAACATGGCCTGAATCGTAGCGTCCTGGGACCGAATCGTGTCACGCAAATGGGCCACGGATGACTGCTTGTCCAAGTCGTCCAATGCCCAGAAGGCCAGCACCTTGGCATCCCGTACGTCGTCGCTGTTGTTGTTAGACACAGACAGCTCCTTGTGCATCTAGTTCGATCGTCAACGTACGAACAGTATGGAGAAATACACGTACATGCTCGCTGTCGCGGGCCATCGTCACAAACTGCTGCTTAAGGAATTGCACGTCCACGGGCCCTTGCGTGACTTGGAGCTGCGTGGTGTGCAGCCGCTTTTCGACCAGGCCAAGAAGGATCTCTTGAATGACGGCATGCTCCAGCACCTGCTGGCCTTGGTTATCTTCTTCGTTGTCGGTACCCGTCAACATGGCTGGATCGTCCTCGCTGTCCAAAATGTGTGAGATCCGCGACGAACAAATCGCTGTCATCGCTGCGCGGTCGAGGTTGCGCCATCCTTCTGTCTTCTTGGACGGGTCGTTTGTCCGAAAGTATCCCTGCACCTGTCGAAGCATCTCCAGCATGATGTCCTGGCCTCGCAAGAGTACGCCGGAAGGATCACCGTCCATCGTCATCAGCGGTACAGTATGGTATGGATGGACAAGGACTTTCTACCGGTAGGCTGTTGGGCACGAGTTGACTGTGAGTACCGGTACTCCAAGTTTAACTTCGAACTTCGGTTTAAGGTGATGGGTAGCGCTCGAAATATGTTTCAAACGTCGTGGGCCGCAGTTTCCGACGTTTTTTAACGTTTAAAACGTTGTCCAGTACACTGTATTAGCACACCTTCTTCGAAATTCGATTGTTCAAACTTTTCAATCGTTTTTATTTGTGTGACCTTGTAAAGATCGAAGTTGTACATATCAGTAAGTGCGGTTTTCCTCGCGCCTTTCCAAGATCGAGTTCGAGGATGTCGTACCACCGATCTGGCAGGACAAGGCGGCGCCTACCACAGGAAGAAGTGCACTCTGGGCATGGAGAAGGTGTAGTAGACGATACGGTATATTTGCTCGCGGGCAGTGGGCAGCGTGGATGTGGCGACGGCCGCGCGGCATCAGCTTCGTTCAACGCTCCAACCGACATGTGTTGCTTAGGCGACGATTTCGGCACGCTTGTCGTGTCAGATTCGCAGGTAGTGCACCACACATCAAACTCACGAAATTCAAATGAACCATCCTTTCACGATGACGTATTCGCTCACTCGCAACTTGCTTGCCTCTCTTGTGTAGAACAACACGCTTCGATTCCTCGTCCCGCCGTCTTCGTCATTCAATGGGGACAACGACACTGAGCCCCGCGTACAATCCCTTCGTCACGCACGCTTCTCATCGCCGCGCGGCCTTGCTGTCACGTCATCTTGGGACCGCACATACCTCCTTGTGTGTGACTCGGGTCACCATTCCATCCAATGGGGCCAGTTGCCGTCGACATGTCCACTGGACGAAATGGCCTTTGACACGTTTGCCGGCACCGGATTTCGCGGTCATCACGACGGCCCAGCCGACACGGCGACGTTCCACCATCCATGTGGCATTTGTGTGGATGACACTGAAACGGTGTACGTTGTGGACACGGGCAACCATTGCATTCGTGAGATTCGACGAATCAAGAAACACGTCACCAGCTCCAGATCTGGCAAGTCCACTCACCATTGGGTCGTGTCTACCATCGCGGGATGTAGTGGCAGCGGGGGGATTAGATACAAGGCGGTCGTCAAGAACGAGCGGGGCCGCGTGTCCAATCACGCGTCGGGGTATGCCGACGGACCAGGGGACAGAGCGAGGTTTCGAGCCCCGACGGGCATATGCATGGGCCAGGGATCAGGCGAGCTGCTTGTGGCAGACACATTCAACCACTGCATTCGCGTCGTGTGTCGAAGCAACGCTTTGAATGCATGGACCGTGCATACAATAGCAGGTACTCAATCGGTTTCTCGAACGATATGCTAGTCTAAATGACTGTCAACGTGTGGCTTTGTAGGGGGGATTCAAAGCGGGCATCTCGATGGCGGATGCGACGCCGCCATGTTCAATCAACCCGTGGGCATTTGTCGAGCAGGGGACAGTTCGTTGTTCGTCGCGGACAAGGGCAACCACTGTATTCGCCACATTGGAGGGTGGATTGGCAAACTCAAGTACTCTTGGGTCCGCACGATTTCGGTGGGGGACTTGGCGCCCAGTTGGCGGTTCTCCAAAGGCGTGGAACCTCCATTTTTGCTACCCAAGGGCCTCACGGTCCTGCCACCGCGCCATCGTTGGTACTCTCCAAGTCAACACAATCACCACGAGAACAACAACAAAAGTGCCCCCCAACACGTGGTGGTCGGTGTTTGTGACACTGGCAATCACCTCGTGCGCGTGGTATCGCTTGAAATAGAAGATTCAACGACTTTCGACAACAGCAACGCTGAACGTCAACCGAAGTACGTTGGGGTGTCGACAACCCCTTCAGCCACCGCGCAGGTCGACTGGCAGGATCAAGATGTGTGGCTAGTGGCCACACCTGTGCCACAGTCTCCGCCTTTATCGCACAACCAAGCGACGGACGAACTTGAGCGCGTACTACTTTCTATTTGTTTCTTTCATGATGCAGTCGGAGTGCTCATATTTGGACATGCGCCTGTAGTTGCGCCAAGAGAACCATCGCCTTCGTCTAGAAAACGCGGCCATTCACGAAACGCTGGCTACAGCCGCAGATTCGGTGCGTGTCCCTCCACCTCCGTCGCTGTCTTCCTAACATCAAGTGATATCTGTAGATTGAACACTTGACAAGACTCTTGACTGGACGGACAGCGTTGACATTATAGCTCATTCGTCAGCCATACCTCGTGCACTACAGTATACCCAGCCAAAACGTCATTTTCAACGATCATTTTGAGTTCCCAAGGAATCTAGCGGTGCCTAGATTAACCTGTAAGAGCTGTCGTCCTATTCGCAGTGCTGGCAGGTGGTGCTACGTGGTGAGCTTTCGCTTGTTCGAGGATCTCAATCACTCGCGCGGCATCTTCTGCACGCACTGGCGCCGGTGTGCCATGTTGAATGGCATCTGCCACTCCTTTATAGTACGCCACGTAGTTGCCTCGCTGACTCGGGACTCGCTCGCCAGCGTTAGGTCCCTTCGTCCACGTGCCCCACAAACTTTCGTCTTCCACGCCAAACGTTGGATCAGTCGCAGGACTGCCGCCGATGCGCAAGGATGCTTCCTGTGCGTCGAGGCCGTACTTTTCAAACGAGCCGTTGGTGCCACGAAGGATGAACTTGGGGCCGATCTCAGCCACAAGCATGCCAGCAGTGACTACCACCACTAACCCACTGTCGTACTGGCACGTCAAATGAAAGTAGTCGTCAGTGCCGACGCTACTGCTGCCGTAGTGTCGTTGCGTCTCGACTTTGGCTAATGCATCCGACATGTCAGGAAACAACTTGTATTTCTACATTTGTGCCATAGCAATCGTATGTATGGCTGTACCTTGAATTGAAGCTGGGGGGCCAAATAACACGAGCATCTGGTCGACTAGATGCGAGCCGAGGTCGTACAGCAGCCCGCCCCCACCGATGGCAGGATCTTCTTTCCAGTTGTGCTTTGGCTCTGGACGGAATCTACGTGTAATCGAGGTAGGTTAGATGGCATACATCGTGCAATTATGAATAAATTCACACCGATCAAAGTGGATTTCGACATATTCCACGTGACCCAACAAGTTCTGACGAAGGAGGTCTTGGACCGTGAGGAAGTCGCTGTCCCAACGGCGATTGTGAAACACGGTCAAGAGCACGCCTTGCGACGCAGCGAGGGCCACCAGCTCCATCGCTTCCGCATGACTCACACAGAAGGGTTTGTCCACAACCACATGTTTCTTGGCCAGAAGCGCCAGCTTGGCTTGAGCGTAGTGCAGGTTTGTAGGTGTGGCAATCACGACCACGTCAACAGGAGGCGTCGCCGCCAAGAGAGCCTCCACGGAGCGCACGATGGTGGCGTTGGGAAGAACCGAACGGCTGAGCGATTGAGTGCGTTCAACAACGTGGGTGACCTCGAAGCGACCACTTGCCTGCAACAGTGGCAAATGGAAGAACGTGGCAGCAGTGCCAAACCCGACAAGGCCAGCTCGAAATAGCGCTGAGGTTGTGGTCATGTTGCAAAATGTAAGGAGGTTGACGGTGATGAGATCTGGGTGCATGATTTAGCCAATCAGACTCGATTGAAACAAACACCTTCGGCAAAGTACGCAACGGGAAGTCTAGCGATGACACTCGCGTTTGTTCCGAGGTTCAACAATTGTCCATGAGTTTGCCTCAACATACTAGTACCGATATATCGTGTATGACGTGGCACACTGGTAGCGATAGCCAGGTTGTCAACAAACCATGTGAGCTTGCACAGGGGCGGTTACATTGAAACTGCCATAGGCATCAAACTGACGACTCCGCCATCGATACTAGTATGTGCAGCAAAGACAACTTAACCAGTGGCATGGCCGCTGTGGCTGTGACTGAATGTGTGCGTCCATCACATGTGCAATTAGCATTTGCCTCATCTAATCGACGTAGACCATTGCCTTGCTCCTGTTCGGCATTGGCGCAGGGCTGTCCGACTCGACCAAGTTCCACATGGCTCTTGGCAGTCAAGTACACAGTGTCGGCGGCGGTGCGTGATCATGGTCATCTCTCGCCCCCTTGCGTGGAAATGTTGATGGTGGAGGCGTAGGGTTTGTGTTCTTGTCGTTGTTGTACCCCGTTGTAGCTGGAATTGGATTCATTGGAGCGAAATACCACAACAAATTCCTATTGCTCGTGGTGAGTCGTGCCGGTGTCTTGACTCTTGATTGTTGACCTCCAATGTCAAAAAGCACATGGGGGGATTGGTGGCGCTGGCGGTGATGCAGACGAGCATCGCGACCAGTGGATTAGTCCTTGCATCGCCCGACTACTCGTACGCGTTTCAAGACGCCTGTCTCACGAATGTACGTCTGGATGTCTCGTCTACGTTGCTGTTGGATTGAGCGCCCATACTGATATCCATGTGACAGAACTTTTTGAACAACCAAACGCAACGCGAACTCTGCCAGCCCTTCTTTCTCGTATGTAAAGTGTACAACAAAGCACATTCTGTGACACTGGGCGGTAGAGTGACACATTTGGGGGACTGCGCTTGGCGTGGCAAACCTTTTACGTCGAATCGTTGGCCGATCAAACTGCTGGCGCCGTACGTTCGTTATGGTTACGAGCAACTATCACTAGAACGTTTGTAGGGCATGCAAAAGTTGCAAGATGCGAACGTTTGCTGTGGTTTAGGACCTCCACGTCATTGCCAGGTTAGTGTTATCGTTGTCCACGAATTTGAACGTTCGGTGGAACTCGTAGAACGACACAAGGCCCTTTCCAAGCAGCCGACCGTCCACGGACTGGCCGACTCAACAAGTGTGTCCGACTACAACAAAGGTTGAGCCATGACTTTGAACTATCTGCTTCACATACTGGTATATTGCGGAATCCGACATCGGCAATGCTAGAATTCTGGTGATTACATGCCGACTCCGCTATGCTACGCTGGTGGGAGCTGCTCGTTCGACTACCCTATTGGAAGTTGTGGCATGAGTGGAGCCGGCTTGTTTGCAAAAGGGTACCACTACAACCTAGCTGAAATACGAGGGGTCGTAAAATGTAGCTGACGGTGCTGTGGTGGTAGTTGTGCCAGTGCGTTGCATCGAAATATGGCCTCGACGGTGCGTCCCCTGATCGCTGGTTGTAGCTACTCAATATGTATATGCTAACGATTTCACGCAGCTACAAGGACTGTGCATAACAGTGCAAGCCCTGTTGTTCTTCACCGTACGAAGCCGTCTGGCAGAGTTTTCTGCCAACAAAATGTGAAGAGAATGCATTGACATTCCTCGTGTAGGTCTTGTTTGGCTGCTCGACCATGTGCTTGATGTTCAAGCGCAAAGACGAGGACGTACTGCCATCAGGGACCCAGATCAGCATTCGGCCAAAGGAAACCAAGGTATACTGCAGTCGAGAGATAGCCCAGCTGGAGAAGGACTTTTGACACAGACGCTTCATTCTCACCCACAAGTGTCATCCCACGCATGCCCACCTTTCCCCGTTGTTCCTGGCTGAATGCATCCAGATCGCGATTTCTAGCCATAAGTCCTTTGTAGCTCGTTCGTGTGGTGAACTTTGACAACCGTCGAGTTGTCCAATCAGATCTGGAAGTTGGGGTGTTTACTAAAACCAAGTGCTTTTTCAATTTGACGCTAGCCACATTTAAATTCGCCCCCCATCTATTTAACTTTGGACCGATTACGCATGTTTATATGGATAAATGTAAGAAAATAAAGTGGGGTGCATTATAATCGGTACGTTAAAAAAAGTCGTGCCATCGGCCATCCCAATGCAAAACTGTCACCTTGAAGTGCATTGCTGGGATGGGCAACAAGAAGAAGCAAAATCAACGGAAAAAGGCTGCTGCCACCGGTGAATGCGGCAGGCCTGCCGCATCGGCCTCCCCAGCTGAGCATGCGCTTCCCATCAGCGAAGCCACGCTTGACGCATGCAAGGCCATGCAAGACGAAGAGATGGAAGTGCTTCAAGCCATCTACGGTGACGACTACAGCGAACGCAAAAGTATCAAGGGATTTCCTTCGTTTGCCATATCGATTTCAAAGCAAGGCGAGACGTTGAGCTCCAACGGTAGTGGTGACATCCAAGGCGTGGCCACCGTGAGCCTGCGGCTCCAACTGCGAAGGGGGTACCCAGTCGCAGACGTCCCCGACGTGGACGTCGAGTCGTCTGATGGCCTCACGGACAGCGAAGTCGCGACTCTGGAAGAAATGTTGCAGGACTTGAGTCGCGAGAAGCTCAAGCTCGGTGAAGGCGCTGTGATGGTCCACGACCTGATCGTGGCCACGGAAGAGTTTTTGCTTCGACACATTAAGGACCAGCGGTCATTCTTTGATCAAATGGTCAAGCGGCACCAAAAGCAAGCCGAGCGCGACGCCGAAGAGCATCGACGGACGAAAGCGTTGGAGCAGGAACAGGCCATGCACGAAGAACAGCAGATGCAAAAGGTGATTCAAGCCGACATTGAGAAAAAGGCCAAGATGAAGCACAGAGGGGGACAGCAGCACCACCACCACCACCACCACCACCACCAGCCTCCTACCGCCACTGCCGTCGACCATGCTACCAGCGTGCGAACGACGGCGGCTGGACGGTATGACTCGTCGGACGAGTCGTCGTCTGGCAGTTCGGATGGTTCGTTTGGGGATTCGGATTCAGACTCGCGGGTCGTGCCAGCGCAGCACTCGACGTCCCGCTACTGGAACGACTTCAAGGAGGACAAAGTGCTCGGTCGGGGCGGTGGAGGCGAGGTCCTCAAGGTCCAAAATCGACTGGATCGGCAATGGTATGCGGTCAAGCGTATCAAGCTCGACTCGAACGACCCGACGATGAAGAAGAAGATTCTGCGCGAAGTCAAGACAATTTCTCGATTACAACATCGCCACATTGTGCGGTACTTTCAGGCGTGGATTGAAGGAAGTGGACGGCACGGGGACGACAGCGACGATGACCAAAGCGATGGCTGGTCGGACGAGGACGAAACGTCGGAATTCATGTCGTCCAGCGATAACAGCAGCAATAGCGAAGAAGAAGAAGACGACTGGCTCGGCCATAGCCGGTCCCGACATCACTCGACGACAACACTGACATCCACAACCGCGGCAGCGGCCCGGACAAAGCCACGGGCGACGTCCAATGCAGCCATGTTGATACAAGATGATGATGGGAGTAGTAGTAGCTCCAGTGACGACGAAAGCAGGAGCGGCGGCGTCAAGAGAGGCCAAGTCGTCGTCACGGATGGGTGGGAGTGGACGGTGGACGCACAAGCGAGGGAGGCCAATGTACATCACCACCACAACGGCGGCGGCGGCGGCGGCGGCGGCGGTCCCGTGGCAGGGGGTCCTCGGAAACCGAAAAAAACGACCAACGAAAAGCTGTTTATTCAAATGGAGTACTGCGGCGGCAACACCCTGCGCGACGTGATTGACCAACTTTCGCTGTGGAAGTCGGAAGACAAGGTGTGGACGCTGTTTCGACAAATCCTTGAAGCCATTGCGTACATTCACAGCGAAGGCGTGATTCATCGCGATATCAAGGTAACGTCACGTGATCTCTACTACTTCATATTGTCGATTTGATACAGATTTGGGGAGGGGGTGCAATCGAATCGCGCCGACCAAACCGATCCACAATCGATCTGATTGGTTGAATTTCATTGAGAAGGTTTTGATTGGCTAATAATGTTTAGC